TATGTAAATAAATTTTTTATTAGTACTGATTCTAAAATTTTGCCTCAATTAAAAAAATCGTAAAAATGTAACCACCTAGAATTCTGCAATTTTAAAGCAAAATAAATGATGTAACACAAATAATTGTTGTATAAAGTTGATTGTAATTCTTATTAATGAATATTTTGTGAAAAAAAATAGAATGAAATAAAAATGACAAACTTTGTGGCATGTTTGTAGATAAATAAAGCTTTCTATAGTCCTTCAATATATTCATATTGAATACTGAAGCACACGTGTGTAGTCAATAGCAAACAGAATCTTCAAGTTAATAAGTGAGATGTTTTCTTTGACTATGTCATTTTAAAATGTCAAATCTTTTTTTATGTTAATTTTCTTTCGTAAAATATATAATTCCTTTCAAGTTAAGAGAAATGTTCTTCATTTTATTCATGTTTTTAATTAAAATTTCTATTTTATTTTCAATAGCACAACGATGTATTGCAGTATATAAATAAACTAGGAAATATAAACATTCCATGAATTCTGACTGCTTTAATTTTGTATATTAATTGAAAAATTCAATTCAACTGAATATATCTTCTCCAAAAGAAGACAACACTAAAGAATAATTATTGAACTGATTTAATATACATCTGATTCAGATTTCTCGTCATTTCATTCCTGAATTGTAAAGTGAAATTAAAAATTCATGGAGCCTAAGATAAAATGATAATTACTATAATGACACAAGGTCAAAGGACATTGATCGATATGCATGAGGAATAACCAACTGGACGACTTTATTTGTAATTTTAATTATCAGGTTAATCAATTTAGCAGCATTTACAGTTTCAAAAAACCAATAAGTATACTGAAAAACCAGATTTTTGGATGAACTTATAAGATTACATAATTTAATAAACGAGTTTGTACAAAGAAATTTTTTCGTCTCAATGATAATGAAGTGAAAAAAAAATAATATTAATTATATTACTGTTTCCATAATTAAGATAAATAAACTGGGTTGGGCCATTTAAATATATGATTTAATGATTCACATTTTTCTTATCGAATTTTTTTCATTCCAAGCTTGCATATTGGAAATAAAGACATGTATATTGAATATAAATAATGGAAAAATTTACTTAGATTATTGACTTTTTAATGATTAGTAATTATTATAAACACTTAAACATAATGAATTATATAAAATATTCAATTAATTTAAAAGTGTAAAAAGTAAATAAATAATAAACATTTTCGTTGTATAATTGATTCTACAGATGCTGATGTCAATCTATTAATGAAGCCATAGATTACTTCATTTTATCGGTAATAATTTGTTTAATTAAATTGTAGGCACGCGAATAAGACATCGTTAATGGCAGAAATGATATACACATGGATTAGAGGTAGGATTTTATGAGTCCAGTACAAGTATCAGAGAGTTGGAAAACTAATCACAGTCAATGTTAAACCAACTTGATGTTTCATTTTTCATGGTGTTTTTTTATAAAACAAATTTTTTTTTTTTTTTCAATTTCTTTAATTAATTTTTTATCACATTTAAGTTGGTATGATCGTGATGCTTTCAAGAAACATTCAACTAACTACATTCCTTACCCTTTAATGATTGTACTTATGTCCCCACATGAAGTCTCGTTAAACTTAATTGATATAGGAAGTGTTAAGGTAACCAGGAGAATAACACCATAAAGTCTTGTTGTATATGTAAAAGATCTATTCTATATCTATCATTTTTTAACTCTCCCGATAGTTATTAGTTCGTAAATTATTTTACATACTTGAAAAATATATTGAGAAAATTATTTACGATGAGAAATATTTTGTTTTTAGAAGAAATAATTATTATAATATGACGATACTAATTAATACTTTTAATATTTACTGCTTTATAAACTATCATTATAAAAGAAATCAAATCATTTTAAATAAATTAATAAAGCAATGAATAATTAATTTCAATCACAAAAATTATTGCTACTATAATTGTCATATTTTCTAAATAAAAAAAGATTGAGATGATTATAATCAATAGTTATTTTTCACTTCAACTCAGTTTGTATTGTCATCACCTGTTACCAACAGGTGTACAGCGTGAGACAGAAACGAAACCATATTATCGCGTAAAGAAAACGACTTATGATTTTTATAATCTCCATAGTGTTCATAAAATGAAACGTTCAACGTTACTTTTTATGATCGTTTACTGCTATAAAAACATGGCGAAACCAACTCACTGTGGTTGTAAAGAGAGAACCCATTTCCCTGCCCAACCAGATAGAAAGATTTTCAATACTCCGAGGTTCATAAATTTAGAAAGAATATAGTTACTTACATTTCAGGAAATTTGGCTAAAAAATATTGATTTTCTCTGCTGAAGGATCCTAGATGATTTAATTGCACTATTTGTTAACTGACACATCACTTTAACACTGTAATACGTCTGTAAAAAAAGACAAAATTAATTAATTAATATTATTAATAATAAAAATAATAAAAACTAGGTTAGCTATCTATTAATACAAGAAGAAGAAGCATTATTACATAATAGTTTGGAAGTAAATTCTAGAGCAGACTGACCCGAGCAAAAATAAACAGGCCCAAAACAAGCCCATTACAGGTCTAAATTTCGAAGGAGCCCTATTTAAGCCCAAAAATTTTTTTTAGGCCCACAACACACCCAATTCGAGCCCAAAAATATTGTCCAGGCCCATAATACGCCCAAATCAGGCCTAAAACTATTTTGCAAGCCTAAAACACGCCCAATTCGAGCGCAAAAATATTTTCTAGGCCCAGAACGTGCCCATTTTCTAAGATCATATTCGACAATGACAATAAATTATTCTAAATGTAAATTTGTAGCACAAAAGTTAATTTAATGATAAGTTTTTATGACAATTTTTTTTTCTTTTCTAGATTTTTAAAATATTTTTGGGTCTGGATTGGGCACATTATAGGCCTCGAAAATATTTTTGGGCGCGTGTTGGGCCTGCAAAGTATTGTTTCCTTTTGGCGCGCCCAAAAACTGATCATTTTATTTATTCGAGGAGTCCTGGGATGTTTTTTCTAATTTTCTATATGCCTGGAAAATTTATATTTTGCAATTGAACTTGATTTAAACTTTTAGATTAATTTTAAGGATTTGTTTAAAATTAAAAAATGGCCAATTGATTTTACTAATTTTTCAAGAGGTCTGAAATGGTATATGAGAATGAGGTTCTAGTTAGGATAAACACATTAAGCAGAAAGTAATGATGAAACCAAGATATTGAAAGTCATGGATAACATTTCATGAATGGGAATGATGATCTAGATGAGTCACACCTGTGATTATACTAGAAGTGGAGAACCAACAACTTGGATTCTCATTTCATCCAACAGCAGTCTAGATGTTAACTTTATTTTCTAATAATCTATTATTATAATAATTTAAGATTAATTTTTTATTACTAAGCTAATTAGTATATTAATTTTTGCAAAATAAGAATTATAATAAATGATTCATTTTCATAAACCCTTTGATGTTTTCGGAAACAAAAAAAAATAAAGATTTCCTCATCACTTAATTAGCGATGTTGGCAATTAATATTTTCAAATAAACCATTCTCCAAAGTTATTAAACACGTGAGAGAATGTCTGAGAAATGAATGAAAGGTATTTTGACGAGGACGAAATTTTTTTTTCTATTTTTAAACTCTCCCTCGGTCGTAAATAAAAACTTGTCAATATATGCGATTTTAACGAGTATCATAAGGAGCGATCAGTTTGTCTTGTCGCCAAGAACTTTCATCCTTTAATGAGGCTTTTACCGAATATTTCAACTGAATTTAAAGGACAATTAGCTGTATCCAAGTCTTGATAATCACGTATTTGGTTCAACTGATTAAAAATCGTCACGTCAGCTTTTCAATACAGTTAAAGTAACATTTTGTCAACTTTTCTTTAACTCCCGGAAGATATTGCAAATCCTTCAAGACTTGAGGGAATGAGGCAACTGGAGAAGGACCGCTTGTTAGATCCCGTTGTACATCACGTAAAGAGAATAAGAGGATTTCGTAGGCGTGGTTCTTTCAGGTGATGATATGGAGGCATAAAAATGTAAGCTCGTGCCGCTACGCTTCGACGAATCTCCTCAAGAGACACCACACTTTTCGAAATTATTCCGCTTCGCTGACGATAAAATACTTTGAAGACGAGACGTTAATTTGTTTAAACGTATTCATTACTTTCTTTTTTTTTTTATAAACCAAAGAAAGAAAATTGTCGGCCAATTTTCACTAACTACCTCATCGATAATTATTAATACTTAAAGCATCAAAGATACCATTTTCACATTATTAAACATAACATCTATTTTACTCATCAATTTAATTAGTTAATTTATGAACATTTATCTATTTTATATAATAATCTATTTTAAAAAAAGTTTATAATATTTTTCAAGTTTAAATAAACATTGATCTTCTTGTGTCCACTTTGCCAAGGTCACGAAGTAGCCATAGTAAATGGAGATTCAAGTGAAGATGTCAAGATTATAGTTCTAAACATGATACAGCAATGATGATGAAATAAACTTCCCGGTGTGCTCTAACTCTTATTGCACATGATCATAGTGGAGACGGAATATCACCTCAATATGGTGTGGATATCCGTTCTCATGACTTCCTTATACGCCCCAGCATTCGTAATGCCAAGTAATTTTACGAAAATAAATAACAAAAAATATAAAAATGTCTAAGAGAAACATTATCGTATTAATAAAATATATTGAAATCAAGAAATAACGGTTTTACGCTGTAAAGAATGAAACATCTTCATTTTGGCAAATCATATGGTGCTTCGTTGATTCATAGAGTCATAAATATCGCGGCACTTTTCTATTGAATAAATGTCAAATGATTTTTTAAAAAACGTAAAAATCTTGTAATATGCTAATTCACTATGAAATCATCATTATTTTTTTATTTTTAATGTTTTTTTTTTTTCATTTCTAGAATGCCGATGAAAAAATGTTTCTATCGTTTCTTCTATTCATTGGTTTCCTCCAAGTCGTCACTCTTTCAGCACAAGAGATATCAGTGGTTCGACATATTGATGGTGATATTTTTACTGTTAGGGGTGAGTTAGCAATGTCATATTTAATATTTATTAATCACATAATGTGTGATTGAATATTTTTTTAAAATCATTAACTTGTTTAAAAAATTTGTCAGACATGAAATATACAACTTGTTTCTTCAGCCCGGTTTATTTAATTGCTTCTAAGCTCATTATTTATATCTAACGACTGATATTCGCATAAATAAATACTTTAGTGTACTCAATTTTACAACTCACTTAAAATATAAACCTGATTTTAAATGAATCTTTAATCATTATAATTATTAGAATAAAAAAAAATGAATCCCCAATGAAAGTAACTTAAAATTATGACAATGTAATTTTAAAGAAAAATATATATATATATATCTTCTTAAAAAATACTGTTAAATTTTTTTTTCTCTCAAGGTTCATGTTCAAATGCGTGTTCTGATCTCAGTAGCTCAACTGCAAGCCCTTACCGACGTCAAACGTTGACATCAAGCAATGGTGCCACGGCATCTTCTTCAACCGTTAATGCTACCTGTGTCTGTCAATGCAAATCGAGTCTTCACTTGTTTCGTGAGGACCTGAATATTTGCGTGAACGATATTCCCGGTATGTTTTATTTCTCTCATTTTTCCTTTTTATCTTAAGACGTTTCAATTTTTTTTTTTTACAAAAATCACACGCAATCTTTACTTTTAAAAACTCTTATTATCAATACATTAAACTGTCGAAACATGAAATAACTTAATTATTACAATAATTTAAAATATTATTTAAAATATTTAATTGCAAAAATATCATTCTAATTATTACTGTAAAAATATATAAATTCATCGACTGTTTTCTTTTTTTACGAGGTGAGATAATTAATACTTATTTGCAATTCAGAGTGTTCCTATCACTCCCGAATTTATAAGGAAGAATGATTGAAGAACTTTCCATTAAGATAAGAAAAAAAAAACATCCACCATATTAAAATGTTTATTAGCGATATTCAGAGAAGTCAAGAGAAACGATTACTTAAACTTTCCAAAAGACTGTAAAAATAGACAAACACTTTCTTATTCAATCATTTACCACTAAACTAAATTATTTAATAAATTAAAAATTATAGACTAAATTAATAATAGATAAGCCTAATTAACAAATGATTAGTTTAAGTATTGATAAAGATTTTTTATCAATTAGTATTAACTCTATAAGTGATGAGCAAATTCATCATTTGCATGCATAATTAACCTGAGGGTCAAAAAGAAGAAGATTGATGAAAAATGACAGTTAGAAGTCGTGTTAGAACAATAAATAAACGTCCACCTTCTCATTAGTCATAAAAACTATTACATGAACTATCTAATAATCAATCAGAAGCTCCAGAAAAAATAACGTCAACTTTCATGAAATAATCACTACATTTAACATGAACATACTCATTTCTAGAAGTTAAATTAATTCTCCACTAGAGGAATAACAAATGGCATCAATTAAAAATATGAAATATTTGTCAGCTAAAAATTTTGGTGGAATAAAATCTAACACTTTAATGAAAATTTATTGTTGGAAGAATACGTATAGCCCGTATAATTCTAATTGACAAATGTGATAAACGTGTATAAAGTGTCAAACATTAAACAAATAAAATATCTGAGTACCGCAATGAGGTTTGAAACAGGTTGAAGGGGTCATGATAAGCAACTTAAAATTCGTCCCAGCAGGAGAAGTCACTGTTGACTGCCGATTAATTAATAATGTCAAGTTGGTCTAGCAACTTTGGTATTTCTCACTGAAACCGGACTTGTATTATTTTTTCTCTCATTCTTCAGAAGGTATACAAATAGTTACCCGTATGCTAGACCTTTAAATTCACTCATCAGGTTTAATCAGATGTAGTTAAACGGTTTCGCTAGTTTACCTGTTGATGAAGAAATTATAAAAATTTAAGTACAAATAATGAACAACATCATCAATTACAATTATAGGTTATTTATATTTATTATTATGTAGAATTTAAGAAACAACTTTGATAAAAAAGCATATCCTACATCTCAATTGTTGATATAAATAATGTGATTTTCAACAAATATAGAAAAATAAATATGTTTAACAATTTTTCCCCTGTCACAAATAGAATGCAGCGTCACGGGCTTTGTCAGCAGCTCTGGACTTGTTGAAAAAATTCCCTACGTTTTTCTTCCTCAACGTGGACAGATAATTTATCCCCAAGCGGAAATTCAATTCCAAGGTAAAGTAAGCTAATGAAAATAACAAGACAATTTATCTCTTATAATTTTAATCTGATGTACAGGTGTTACAACACCAGTCTGTGGTATTGCTGGTGCTCAACAACTTGGTAAATCAGGTTGGTCGGAGTTCAGGAACTTATCAAGCATAGAAATACCCTTTAAACTATTCAAAGATCAAGAAAGAACTTTTTTACAGGTGATGATCACTTAAACAATGAGACTGGAAGAATTTTTCAATGAATAAAAATATCTTTCTTACAGTGGGTTGGAGAGAGTGGACTTAGAGATGCTGCAGAAGGCAAAGTGGTTATTGTAAGACTGGTTTGTAGAGATGCTTCACCAAATCCAATAAATCCTGGAGTTTTTACTCCTTGTGTGGCATTCAGAGTTGCTGGATCACCATCCAAAAGTAGTATGTACATTCAAATGCTCAATAAATGTGTCAAAGTATTTATAAAATTGATGAAAATGAATTAAACATTGGTTTAGATACACGAGAAGTAACTTTCATGTCAACAGCACAACCACACCAAGGTCTTTCAACAATTGAATATACCGCCATAGGCATCTCATCAGTTTTGTTAGCTTTAATATACATTGCCAGTGTTTCTCTTTATCTTCACAGTCGTAAATCTCGTCGAAAAATAATTCGTGATCCTGAAACTGTAATATCAAGTGGACGTGAAAGTAGTGGAATCATAAAAAATAATCCTCTATTGAAACATTTCGAAAGTGCAGATGCCAATAGTCTTCGCAGTGAAAGTGACAATGAAGAATTAAGTATACATGATGAAGTAAATGGATTCAAAAAAATAACTTCAGCTGTTATTCATTCGTGTGTGGGAATGTTAGAGCAGCCGGAAGGTTCTTTTGGATCATCAATAATTGCTGAACGTTTACCAGAGGAGGATGTACGAATTGTGGAAACTGCAGACAATCAGCAGGATATTTCAGTACTTCCCGGTGTTCAAAGAAGAAAGTTATACTTTAATCCAGCTTACTTTGACAGGCAACTTCTTATGGTAAGTATGTTTGTAAGAATATAAATCAGTAGCCAATTCGAACTTAAATGTAATAACCATAATTGCTGACAGGCACCACCACCAGCAGCCATTGAGTTTTTGCTCAAAATTCGCGAAGTCATTTCCATTGCAAAGCATAAATTAGCAGCAAAACGTTTCATTCCTACACTGTCAGCTATTTCTGAAGAAGAAGTTGCATCTGACAGGTGCAGTTCATCAAATAAACGTCCTGGATCAGTTCAAAGTTCCGTAACAAAATTAAGAAAATCTCAAAAATGTTCTGGTTGCCCTGGATGTTTGGAATCAAGAAAAAATAATCTCTCATCAGCACTTCCTGATAATTCAAGACCAATTCCTGGTGAAAGTCGAGTTCGGGCGTGGTTGGAAGACATCAAACCTCCTGAACGACTCAATTGGGGTACTGAGGAAAATCATAAAATCATTCATGAAAATTTCAGAAGCTTTGCCAAGAGCTTGGAGTACTTAAAAGACGTTCGAAAAGATTTATTAAAAATTGATCAAACGAAATTTGATCGAAATTCTCCAACAAGTTGGAAGAATAATCCTCCAATGTTAAAGACATTACATTACATGGCTAAAAGTGAAATCCTTGGTGATGATGATCGTAACAGTATCTCTCAAAGATCTACCAAGTCTATGTTTGAAGATACAAATTATGATCGATTCTGTAGGACTAGAAGATGTAATCTTCAAGATAAAAATGCTGATCCAAATGATGTGGTAAATGAAAAAATAAGAAAAGCTATTGAAAACTCATTTATTAAACAAATGGAGGAAAATGCTGCGATAGAAAACCAAATGATAGAAAAGAAAAATCAGAGTGAAAGATTTTCACCTGATGGAAGTTCAGAAAATAATCTGGACTCTTTTAATTCTATTAAGAAAGGTATTGAAACGTTAGGAAAGAAAAAGAAGTGTAAAGCACCTGAACCACCTGTTCGAGAACTTCCTGACATGATTAATGAACTTCCGAGCTCTAAACTGCAAGCTAAAAAAATTATGGATGCAGTTATTAAAGAAATGGTTGACGTTAAAGCTCTTGACCATCATGCAAAACTTGTAGACATAGATTATGAAGTTGATAGTCTTGAAAGAACAAATAAACAGAAATTAAATGTCAAGAAGAAAAATCATCATAACTCAAACAGTGATGATAAAGATATCGAAGTTGAAAAAAATCATGAAAATAATAATGAAATTATGAGAAAAAATTATTACAATAATCTTCCAGAGTTAATTTCATCAAGATCAGAAGGATATTCACTAGTGAGTGAAGTTTACGTTAATGATGGTTATGCTAGCCCTGCCAATAGTGATGATTCAGGTCCTGAAATTTGTTACGAACCTGAACAACCTGGACATTTAACAATCAAAGTCCAAGACTCACCAGAGAATTATGTGAAATGTGATGAGTCTGAATATGAACCAGACACTTTAGATCGAAAGCCAATGAAGCTGAAGATTAATGGAGATGTGATTTACGACAAAGAGCCCGCAAATGAAATTTATGTTGATTCGTTAGAACGTCCAGCACATATCATGTTACGAAGCAAAAGCAGTTTCCGAGATGATCTATCGAGAAATGGCAAATCGTTGAGTCGTGGATATGGAAGTTTACGAGAAATTTATGAGGCCCGACTTCGATCCAATGTTGAAGCAAATTTAGAAACTGGATCTCTAAATGAAAAATACCAAGACTCACCAAAAAATACATTGCAAATGAAATCTAAATATCTTACACCAGAATTAAGGCAAGCAAGACGACAGAGAAAAAAGAATCAACCTGATGTCGTTCCTTTACCACCGGAGCAAAATATTTATGAACATCCTAAATCTCCAAGACCAATTGATGATTCTAGAATACATCAAAAAAACGAATGGGACAGGAGTGCAGCAACTGATGCAGGTAATCAAAATGTGTTAATGTTTAGTGAAGTAATTAATTTAAGATAAATAAAAACTATATTTTCTAATTCTATAGCATAATATTATGCTTCAGGCGACCCTACGGCCAGCAGAAGTCCTCCTGTCTCGAAAAATAATTTCGTAGGGACTCGGAAAAGACGAGGAAATGCGAAGACTTTCAAGAAAATTCATTCCTATAGAAGTAAATATGAAGACAGTGGATATCTCAGTAGCACTGATGATAGCACCAATAAGGACAATAACAAATTAAATAAACAAACTCTTAAGTATGACTTTGGTAGTGTCTCTGAAACTGACGAAACTGAATCAATTTGTGATGGAGCCAGTGAAAGTGGGGCAGAGAGTATTGGAACTGATAGTGTCTTTTTTGGAAATTTTAGAAAATTATCTAATGCTTCTCATAGTAAATCTATGGACTCTGGAATAGATTTTAAGTTAAGAAATTTCTATTATGTAGGTTCTGAAACAGAAGGACATACTCATAATCCTAGTGACAGTGAGAATGAAAGTTTTATTACAGTTCTTCCTTATAATAATAAAAGTAGATCTAATTTAGGATCTTGATAATTGTAGTATTTTTTGTAAAAAAAAGTGCCAGTAATTTAATTTACTAGTTAAACTTCAAATTAACAAGTTCAGAGATCGGGTATTTATGAATAATTTGTTGATTTTATTTAAAAATCATAGCATTATATTAAATTATTTTATTTTTGTTATTATCAATAATGATGATAGAGCAAATAGTGGCCGATAGTGCAATATTATGTCTTAATTAAAAATATTTATAATGAATTTTTATATTTAATTTATAAAATCTATAACATTCTAGTCTTTATATTTCGATGTAATAGAAATCTATGAATAATATAAATGTTAGTAAATTAAAAGATACGTAAAATAGAGTGATTTAATGTTGATAAAATATTTATTGATTTATCAAATGATATAGAAACATGTAAGATATTATTGCAATCAACTGATGCGATATCTTGCCAAAAAAGGTATTATTTTGTAACTGTTATCAACAAATTTTTAACTTTTATTAAAACTATTTTAATGATTTGATAAAGAAATAATAATAGTTAATTATAAAAATAAATAATTATTATATTTTTTACTTTTTTATATTTTTATTTCAAACTATTACTGTTAATAAAATAAAAATATTAATTATTTATTAGTAGACATATTATAAAGTTATACTAGCTCTGGACATTGAATAGTTAAATTTTTATTTATTAAGTAAAAGCGCACGCTTATATGTACCTGTTGAATGTACATAAGAACTAATGACGTTTTTTTTTTTAATTATTTAATTTAAATAATATTTATTAACTATGCTTTTTAATTGAAAATTTTAAATTATTTAAATATTTAAAGATTAATATATTGCTATTATTTGTGTTGGATATATTTATATATAGTTGTAATGTAATTGATGCAATAAGGAACATAATGTATCCTAATGTTAATTATAAAATAAATTTATTGCATCAATTAGAATTAGGGATTGAGAAATGTTGATGATTTGAGAGTTTCTCTCCCATAATGTGGGGCTATGGTAGTGGTTTATCTAAGAATTGTTATTAAATGTGACGTATTTATGAAATGTATATTAAATGTGACATATTTTAATAAAATTTAATACTTTTTTATGTAAACATTGGAATATTTATCTTGAGATATCTTTTAAAATGTGATTTATTTGGAATTTGCGCGCCATCATAATATTAATTCTCACGAATATAGGCAAAATCTAAATCCAAACAATCTATTTTTGACATTCGACGATAAATGTCAACAGTAATTTCTTCACATTAAATTGAGAGAAAAAATTTGTTTGTGTTGGTATCGAAAAACTCGAACGGTTTTCAGTACAGATTAGGATATGACCAAGTCGTGAACAAAAGAAATATATTAACGATTTTCATAAAATTCGTACGACTTTTTAGACAGAATAAATAATTAAAACGAAATAAAAATATTACTGAGGTTACGAATAAACAATTTAAAATAATAAATAATTAATTTAAACGTGGAAAAAAGAATAAATAAGTGAATAAATACATTACAAAAATACAAGAATATAATTTTGAAAAATAACCATTGTGATTGATGGTATCTTTTGCTAATATTAATAAATGTAAGTACAATTATTTAAATAATTTCTTTTATAATAATTAGTGAAAATTCGTTTATTATTCTATTTAAAAGTTAAATTATTTATAAAAATCATGTAAATAATGTTTTTATTTTTTTTTTATGAAGGAATATACTAACATTAAATTCCATTAATTATTTTCTATAATAATTTTTCCTATTTTGTCGTTACTTTTCGAATTTAAATTAACTTTACTCCAAAACATTTAATGCCATTATTCAATCATTCTAACCTTAATTTTCTATTGAATGAACATAAATTGTTATTGAATAACTTCAATATTTTATCTGACAGGCTTTACTAAATTATTGCTAATTATAAAGAAGAAATTACTGTTGACAATTAATTTTTTTCAGGAAACGATGGATCAGATAAATGATTTTTAACGATAAATAAATAAAACGACTGATTACTTATTGAATAATCCACTATCCCATTCTGTATTGAAAATACATTGCTCTAAAATGAATAATTTAATTAAACAATAAAAAAAGAATTAAAAGCATTGATTGCTAGTATTACTTTAATTTTAAAAATAAATATACATATTATTAGAATAAAGGTACTTAAAAATATCAAAATAAATCAATATTATGCATCTATCAATGAATAATAATAGTTGATAATCAATTTCCATGCCCTTAAACAAAATTATATTTTTTTATTCAAATCATTGACTATGTACCAAGCTATTATTCCATCCCCTATAATGATGCAGGTTGTTGGTAGTCAACAAACAAATGGACAATGTCCTGTACAAACTCGTCCCCATCCTTCTCCTAATCCTAGTAATGATCCCCATCAAATTGATCGTAGAATCTCGTCGTATTCTACTAACGGCAATTATTCAAATAAACATCGATTAACTCAGGTAAAGTTACACTATTGACGTTATCAATTTCTAACACACCACTTATACAATTAACGATAAAATTAAATTAAATTTTTTATTTATATAGCACAACACGCGTCCTATAGAGTTATATCCAATGATGCGAGTGGATAATACACGAGCTCGTAAGTCGTATGGAGGTGGTAATTGGAATCGACGAAACACTAATAACAGTCAACATATGCCATCACCAAACAATTACCATTCACGACTCCACAACAACAATAATCGTTATGGCACCAACAATAATCATGACAATTATCGCAATACCAACAGCAACAATAATCCAAATAATAGTTATAAAAATAATAATAATAATAATAATATTAATAATAGCAATATTAATAATAATGAAAATAATACTAGCAATAATAATAGTATCAATAATGTTAGCATCAACAATGATAGCAGCAGTAACAAAAATAATAGCAACAGCAACAATAATGACTCTAGTAATTATAGTGGATCCACAAAAAAACAAAACTGGAATAACAGATCAAACAGACGAAACACACTTAAAGATCACTTGCCACTACATAAAGAAAATAGGAATAATTATAATTGTGATAGTGGATTTAGTTCACGATCTCCTACACCTAATAAACATCAGTCTGATCATGCTGAGAGTTCAGATGATCGAGAGTCAATTGGTTCTAATGCTAGGCCAAATATCAAGTAAAAAACACATTTACTGTACTTAAATGTTGGTAATTCATCAACTTATTCGAAATGATTCTTTTTAACTGAATATTGATTTTTGTTTAAGGAAATTTCAAGACATCTGGCCAAATCCAATGTCAACAATGGGATACACACCTTCAAGACATTTACCAAATATCCCAAATATTAGTCAGTTTCCTAATCAACAGATATTTGGTTTTTATCCAACAGCTTCGAATTATCCTATGCGGATACAAATTCATCAAAACTTTCCAGGGAAGAAAAGGGTCCAAACAAGTAAGTGTTTTAGAAATGATAATTAGAACAGGTTTATTATAAAAAGTATGAATAAGTCAACAAACATGGATGTTGGTATAGATAAAAATAGCCCAGCAACACAAAAAAATCAAAAAAAGAGGAGAAATATGAACATATTTGTCCCAACTTTTGCCAATGTACTTCCAACTTCTCATCTACCGCCAGATCGTTATCTTGCAAGATCACATTTAATTGAAGTTAAGGAGGTACCTAAAAATCTATTTGGGTCAAAAAAATGGGATAATTTATCAAAAGAAATATGGGAAATGTTTATGGAAAATCAACAAAATGAACAAACGTTCAAAAAGAAGATAACATTATGGAAATATTTGTTCATTTTTATAAAGGTTTGTTATCGAAAAAATTATTTTAAAAACTACAAAATCTACTCTTTAAAAATAGAATAGTGAATATGAAATAAAAGTGAACAACTAATAAAAAAGTTATTGAATTGACAGACTATGTTTCCAAAGTTTAGTTTATTCTTAGTTGGATCAACAATGAATGGATTTGGTACTAATAGCAGTGATGCAGATATTTGTTTGTTAACTAGAAATGCAGAAATAATTCAACGAGCTGAAGCTATTATTCATTTAGATGCTCTCATGCATTACCTAGGACACTGTGGTATGACTGTTTGCTCAATTTTTTCTCAAATATTTATAGTTGATCAATATATAATAAATATTCATCTATAGATTTCATCCAAGACTTGCAATTAATTCAAGCAAAAGTACCAATATTGAAATTTAAAGATGCCATTCAGAAGCTTGATATTGATCTGAATTGTAATAATGCTGTGGGCGTACGTAACACACATATGCTCTACTGTTATTCTCGAAGTAAGTTAGTTGCTTGAGTAATATTTACAAAAAAGTAACTAATTTATAAATGGTTTCAGTTGATTGGCGAGTGAGACCGTTGGTGTTGATTGTCAAACTATGGGCTCAAAGTCAAAATATAAATGATGCCAAGAATATGACAATCTCCAGCTATTCCTTAGCCTTAATGGTAATTCATTTTTTACAATGTGGTGTAGATCCTCCTGTTTTACCATGTCTCCAAACAATGTTTGAATCTAAATTTAATCCAAATTCTGATGTACACACAATCAATATTCATGAAGACCTTGAAATTAAAATGGAAAAAATAAATGAACAACCACTTGGAGAATTATTATTAGAATTCTTCAAATATTATGCACACTTTAAGTAAGTAATAGTAAATTATTTTTTTATAATATTTTATCTAATTTTATTAAACTCACTTTGTTGTTGAAATTATTCAGATATGATAGATATGCGATATCAGTTCGTCTGGCAAGAAGAGTCTTAATTTCAGATTGTCAACAAGCAAGAACATTAAAAAATAATCCTCATCAATGGAAATTTCTTTGCATTGAAGGTAAGCTATGGATTGAATTTTCTTATTTACATTGATAGTTATTGTTATGATTAAAAATCATAACATATAAATAAAATAATAACATAAAAACTTTCAGAACCATTTGACTTGACAAATACCGCAAGATCAGTGTACGACTATCACGTATTCTTAAGAATAAAAGCTGTGTTTTTTCGTTCATATGAAACATTGAAAAAAACTAATAATTTAGCTAGCATTTTTGTTAATCAAGTACCACCTGTGAATGAGTATTTTAGAGCAATGACTTCAAACTGATTGAAGTTCATGGAATGTTGATAATTCTATTATTTCCTCAATTCGGTTAATTGTTGTAGGAATTTATTTATTGAGGATATCTAAACAAGGAGAAATTTTTGATCTCCTATTTTAGAGTCTTTTGTACGTGTCATATATATGCGAATCAATGTGATTTTGATAATCGCGATTAAACCTAATAAGGCTCTGCTAATATTTATACAAGATGAATGGCTACTTTTCGATGATTTGATAAAATATATCAGGAATAGGAATTCCTTTATTTGTTCGTACTATAAGAAAGAAAAAGCAAGAGCTGGATAAGAAAAACAATATCAAATGATGAGTTTGGATCGATTTTTCATCGATCAGCAATTTAACAGCCAAGAAAGATAGGCTATAATCGAATGCAGTATTTATTGCTGAAGTGAACGATTTATAAAGTCAAGTTCAGTTTAAAAAAGAATGTCTCAATTATTGAGAAAATATATTTATATTTTTGTACTTTTCGGAAACATTTAACATCTAGTTTCAAACAGAATCAACATAGTGCCTTGATATTCTAAATATTTCAAATCAAATTATTCATAAGAATAAATTCATAATTTCATTATTCAAAAAACTCATTTTATAACAATATAAGTAGAAAAAAAAACTAAAAAAAAATTATAAAAATGAAAAAATTTTAAAATGATTAAGAACGAGAATTTAAAGTACTATTGTTTCATCTTTTTGACATCTGAATCTGGAAAATAAAAAAATTTCATAGCGTAAGAAATATCAAAAGTACTTCTTCCTCTACGCAGAAATTATACAAAAAAATAAAAAAAAAAAAAAATAAAAAATCGATAAATAATTATTTATAATAAAAAATATTATTTAGTCCAGTTGAGATTTTTAGTATTTGTTTCTATCTTAACTAAATTTGTATTATTTTTCGTACTAATATTAATATTTTTCAGATTTATTTTGAGGAAGAAGTCAAAAATCCAAAAAAAAAAATAAATAAATAAATACCATTAAGCCTATTATTAAATCTAACTATTTAATCATCTGCTTATAATCCGTACAATTAATTTTATAAATTTTTGTAAATTTACTCTTGATTACTTTAATGGACTTTGGTATATTTAGATATAACAGATTACATAGAAAAACATAAATCAGATAGAATAGGAGTAAACAAAAAAAAAATTCTATAAAATCTAAAAAAAAAAAAATATTGAGAATAATAAAATTATTCATTTTCTCTAATTAATTTACGATAAAACAATACCTAAACTCATTTTAATGATTGAAGAATTCAACTAATTTATTCAAATATTTAAGTTAACTCATTTACTGTCTTATTTTGTACAAATAGAAACAATATGTGTAAATTAATAAGTCCAAAAATAATACAATTTGATCAAGTCTGAATAGATAATTATTTCTCTATTTTTGAATATCTACTTTTATTTAATCAGCTGTCTACGAATTTTTTTATTTAAATTATAGAAAGAATTGAATAACATTAAAAAAAAAAAGAATAGAGGAATAAAAATCTTTAACACCAGACTTCCACATAATTATTAGAGTCAATTGATTTAAATCTGCTGTATATTTATAATCCTTGTGTTAATGAAGTAAAATATTGTTTAAATAATTGTAATTTATAATTGAATAATGCAGAAAAAATACTCAAAAAAATAAAATAAATACCATAAACACACGTTCCATGTTTTTTTTTCAGGCCAAACATACATTTATTCTCTTTTTATATTAACGAAAATAAAAATTTCGCGGAAAACATGATACTGATTAAAACGACGCTCCGAAAAACCGTTAAAACTATTTGCGTTAACCGACGCCAATTTTTATTGATCGATTTATTAATTTCATGTGATTGAATTCCCGATCGAATATTATATTGTTGTAAACTTATTACTTATGACGAATATTTTGTTAGTTGTTAATTTGTTTTTAGCTAATAAATATAAAATTATACGAAAATAAATGGAGCATTAACACGTGCGAAAACAATAGGTCATGCTGTTGCGTCGTTAGATAAACAACAATTGAATGCAATAATTCTAAAGACCGGAAGTGTGGCGCTGTAACTACTTGTAGGCGGTTTTGAAATTAATTATGATACTGATTTGTTTGTAGATTAAAAAATCACTAAATCAACTAAATAAGTAATTGTTTGAAGTAATTGTAAATTTTATTTATATATTTTTGAAATCGCTTAAATAAATTAAATAAATAGAAATTTTAATTTTATTTTTTTATTACATCACATTTATTGGTACCATTATTTTTACAGTGATTTTTTTTCTTGTACTTAAAATTTTTTTATCTAAATGTGCTAAAATATAATTTAGAATAGAAAAAAAAAAAAATGTTTAAAAAAATCTCAATTTAATCAATAATTTCATATTTTTTTTGCAAAAAATTTTCCAAAAGTATGACGAAGTGTTGAAAATTAATTTGTTGTATTTTGTAATTTAAATTCCCAATAAGGAAATAAAAAAAAAATACAAAAACATCATATATAATAATCAAATAATAAAATATAAATGTAATAAAATTATAAATTAAAGATCTGTAAGTATTTTTTAAACTTTATACAAAAAAAAAAACGATTGGTTGAAAATAAAATATGAAACTACTATCTATTGTGCTCTCCAACATTTTTTGATACGTCATCACTTTATTATTATTAAAAAAAAAAAAAAGTACCCTTATGAAGAAATTTTTTTTTTTACTCCGTCATCTTAATGAAACTCTACAACCAATTAATTAACAAAGTAATTATAATTATACATTGTTATAATAAATGATATCTAAAATGTTAACTATAGTAACAATAAAGATAACCATAATAGAATCAAAGTAATTTAAATTTATTTGAAGTAATGATTATCGAAGGATACTCTAAGTTGATATTCATTACTTGGATCACGTGATGAATTCACTAGTATTTAGCATTTTTCAATACCATCACAAACCTTAACAGCTTGTCATTCACTAACTAATCAAATAACTGATATTGATAATTTTTTTTCATATTCAAACCAAAAATTTATTCATAATTGAAACTATTCCTCGGATAAATGAAAGAAAATATTTTTTTGTAAAATAACACCACGAAATCTAGCAATAATGATAAATTTTCAATCACAATATGTTGTCAGATTCGTCATGATATCGTTAAAGATGATTCCAAGTTTGTAAACCAGTGAATTACAATTTCTCCTTCGATCATCGATAATCATTATCGATTATTTAAAGTTGTTATAAACCGTTTGTAGTTTTTAATTCAATTTTCTTACTTTCTGATGTTCGTTTAAAGTTATCGCTCACACGGTAACGGCTGTCTATCATCCATCTCTTTAAAAAATCATCCACATAAACTCACAATTATCATAATCGTTCAAGTTTGACCATGAAATATTCAATCATCTCGATCGAAAAATTATCAATCTTCATTCCTGATAGTTGCCGTAACATTGTACCGTTCTCTAGCATCAGTTAGTGATGTTTAAATTCATTTTTATTGAAGAAGAATTTTTCAAACGAGCCTTCTCAGTCGCTCCCGCGACATTGCATGGCAAATGCGTTGCTTAGCCTTCCTTAAACGACCTCAGTAGGGTTGGGAAAATTGTCCTCCAGGTTGTGATTGTCCTCCTTGATAAAATCCGCTTCGATCGGCATGATAATTCGAATCTTGTGATAATAATCCATCCATTTGGGATTGGAAATCACCAACAGCAAATGAATCTTGAGATAATTCTGCTTGACTCAATCCTGGCTGAGATAAACTAAAGCCTGGTTGAGACATACCTTGGGTAGTTCCTTGAGTCAAAGGTAACCCTGGTTGGCTATAAGGTTGTGTGTTTTGCTCCGACTGACTAAACTTACCCAATCTGGGTGTTACCTTTTTAATTCCAGTTTGTCTTCGACTTCTCTGATTTTGTCTAGCAGCTAGAGCTTGCTGGTGTTGATTGTAGAATCGTGGAGGAACGTGTGCCATATTCATAAACATCCCTACAGGTACAGGAACATTATTCATTGCAGCTTGAGCCCTTTCGGGACTGATATAGCTAATAGTATCATGAGTTCTGCTAAACATATCTAAAGGAACGTTTCTTTGATAATAAGGATTATGATTCTGATTGCCATTTATTTGGTTCCCTGATCTATCATAAACAGATCCAGGTATAAGAGCTTCTCGAGCATCATACATAGACGTAGACATGAAGTGTGATCCAGGATTAGCTGAGTTAACTAATTTTTTCGGTTTTGCAAACTGAATCATTGACTCTTTCAAATTATTTAATGGACCTTCAACCAAAACTTTCTGTTCTTTATAGAAATTTAGCAAATGATTCCAAAGAGGTTGCTTAGACAGAACTTTCGGATTTCCAACAATAATAATTCCGTATTTAGCACGTGTCAATGCTACATTCAATCGCCTTGGGTCATTTAAAAATCCAATACCTTGATGTTCATTAGATCGTACACAAGACATTATTATTATATCCTTTTCTCTACCCTGAAAAGCGTCAACACTTGCAACTTCTATTTCTTGATATAATTTCTGATGAAGAGATCCTTGATATTGCATATATTGTACTAAATAAGCCCTTTGGCCTTCATATGGAGTAATAACTCCGATCTGTTCTGGTTTTACCCCACATCTAAGGAATCTTGTGGTTATTTTTTCAACGTTCGATGCTTCTGTTCTATTTAAATACGAAGTTCCACTACCTGCAATTTCCTCTTGGCCTTGAGTAACATAAAAGAACATAGGTTTATCAGGTACAGGCCATGGGAAATCAATTTTCAATAATTTGCGTTCATCAGCGCAAACACCATTTTGTAGAGAACCTTCGTAAAAGAAATTTGAAGGGAATCTTGATAAATCAGGATGCATTCTATATTGAACTTCTAGCCTAAATGGTCTTATTCCCAATACAACAAGCCTTTCAAACAACGATTGAGATAATCCAGCTCTTGCTGCTTTTTTATACATAACAACTGGCCCTAATTGGCAGTGATCTCCAACTAAAATTAATTGTTTAGCACCCAAAACAACTGGTACCATGCATTCTGGCTCAGTTGCTTGCATGCTTTCATCGATTAAGATAGAATGGAATTTTAATCTATGTAGTCTTGGATCACCGGCACCAACACAGGTGCAACAAATAACATCAGCTGCTTCTAAAAGTTCTTTTTCCGCAGCCTTCTTCAATAATCTGTATCTCTTTTCATCGGCGGATGACAGTTCACCCGTTTCATCTTTCAATTGTTGAAGTTTTTGAAGTTCTGTATTGGTTTCCATATTCTTTATTTGATTGTGAAGTGCTAAGAAACTTACTGGTGAATCTATAGCTTCTCTAGATTTAGCACAGAGTCTTATAACTTTTAAATTCGACTTATGGATTTTTTCTGTCAATTGATCTACTGCAGTATTCGATGGTGCGCATACTAAAACTGGACCACCATTTTGCTTTACTAACTGATAAACGATCGTAGCACTTGTTACAGTTTTACCAGTTCCAGGAGGTCCTTGAATTAAAGATAGTGGTCTTTGAATTGCATGTTTAACTGCATAAACTTGAGATCGATTTAAATCTGGAAGATTTGGAGCACTGAAGTGTTTAGGTAAATGACAGCGGAATAAAACTTCTTCAACTTCATGACCCAGTAAACGATGATAGATATAAGCTGATACTGATGTATCGTCAACGGCAAATTTTCTCAATGCCAGTTGCATACGATCAAAACTTGTACTTTTCCAAATGAAATCCACCACAAAATTACTTACACACTCAGTTGGAGCACCAGAGTTATTTTTTAACTCAATTCCAACTTCTTCACCATAGTTATCTGGAATCTTTATGACATGACCGATACCAGACCAAAGTTTATGCAACTCTCCAAGATATCGAAGTCTTAATTCATCGCCGTGCATTACTTTCATATCTCCGTCAGTTTTTGCCAGCATGAAATATGCGATTGTTTTTTTATTTAAACCAACATCCCAACGTACTTCGATATTTTCTTGCGTTTGAGATTCTTTCAAGCGTTTATCGTAATCAGCTTCAAGCTTCACTAGTGGTCCAAAAATATTCTGATATTGATAACCGTCTTCATAGCGCAGTAAAACTTGCTGAGGTTCTTCATCCACACCAGGCTTTTCTAGATCTTGAAACGTAGCATCAACATTATCACGCCATAATTCTTCAAGCTTGTTTATTTGTTGTGCAGAAATTTGACGAGCACGAAGTTGCTCTTGCTCAGATGGAATTTTTACAAGCCATGCAAGAAAACTACGATCTTCTATCAAAGGTTTCCATTGTTCTTGATCCCTAAAGAAAAAAAAACGATTTATTAATTAATTAAAAGTTAAAAATGGCTACAACAGCATCATCCATTTAAATATTCTATTTGAATACAACTCACCAATTCATGTCTTTCAGTGAGCTTTGAGCAGCACATGGCTGTCTACAGAGCAACACAACCACGGAATCAGCTTTTGCTGGAATGAATCCAAGAACGAAAACATTTCTAACAGCACAAGAGTAACATTCCAGGACAGTTTCACCCAAGGGTCCGTCTCTATTGAATAAATAATTGATGAAAATTTCTTTCTCATAATTTCATTAATTAAATATTATAATTTTTCATGAACAATAGAATACCTGTGCAATGTCACTTCCTTGTGTTTAGCTCTTACTAAATGATTGATGATATGAGATCCAGAAGTATTTCCTCGTCCGTTGCAGAACCATTTTCTGCATACATTACACATAACAACACAAGATGCTTCATGGATACCGCAATACTTGCATGCATGTTCGGGTAAATCACGATTGTAATAAGCTTCCTCTTCTTCTTCTTCAAACTGAAGCTCAGCTAAATTTTGTGCTGCTCCAGATATTTTTAGGTCTAACGCAGAGCTTCCATTAGTACCATTAATCTGCAATTGTTATTTATATTATTTTTATTAAAAATATGCCACCTTATCACTAGTTACATTGCAAAAATGTTACAGAGATTAAGTTTGATCTCAAGGTCGTGTGATAAAATTGTTTACAATAATATAAGGAAAATTAAACATAAAATATATTAATATAAAAATAGAGTTCAGTTTAACTTCAAATAATATTAGCAAAAAAATTTTCGATAATAAAAAAAAATATTGTTCCAATAGAATTTAAGGTTATAAACTTCTAAAATTCATTGTCCTATATGTGAGAGTTGATTTATTTATTAAAATAATACCTGAACATTTTGACTTTGTGGGTTTTGTACCACATCATGTTGTGAAGCTTGAGTTTGACTTGGAGATGGTAAAGTAAAGTCAGTGAAATCGAATTCACTTCCTTGCGTATCAGCACCGATTAAATCAGCTTCTTCAGTATCCAAAAATGTTAAAGTTTGACTGCTGGGTCCATAAGCATCGACACTCATTGTGCTAAACGAAATTTCTTTTCTTCAAATTTATATTCTTTTATTTTCTCTGAATTATATCCAACTTCTAAAAATTTTAACAGTAATTATTCCGACACGAAACGTTGGCGATAATGATGATAATGATGAAAATACAAACGTGTCTTGTCGAGTCACTTGTACTAAAGTTCTATTGAAAAATAGAACGACCACGATGTTGATGTCTGTTTAGTATACTCAGGTAAACGTTGAAAATTAACATTGAAATAATAGTAAAAAATATCAATGTAACACACGTATGTATATATCTATATATATTTTTGAGGATTAAAACAGGCCACCAAAATTTTTACGCCATATTTCTTACTGCTCTTCCACCAATTTATTCGCGGTATATGCGCCAGTCGTTTGTTACGTCATCAGCTGATTTCTGAATGTGTACACAAACTATAACTAAAATTATGTATATTGACTGTTTTTTTCGATCGATAAAAAATTTACTGTTATATCGATATATCTGTTTTCAATTTCTACTTTATCATCCGGTGAAAATCTGGCGGTTTAATTTTTCAAATTTAAAAGTTTTTTTTTCTCTTGGTAAAATAAATAAACCTTTGTAATTATATAATTTCACAATATACAATTTTATTTCTTATTTCAGATTGCAGAGTACAATGAATATATTTATTGTATTAGTGATTTTAACAATGATTTATTTTATACATCAAATACACTGAACTATATGGTTCTTCTCCCTACAGTGATATTTCGAATAACATTATTCTCTACACTTTATTCACATTAAAGTCAATTTATAATTATTATGAAGCGTAAAAAGTAAGTAAAAAATATTATCATTCATATGTACAGATACTCAAAAAATGAATAAAAATTAGTTGAAATAATAAAGTAATTATTATAATAATAATCTCATAAGTAATTTTAAATGAATGTAAATCAATCCATGACGTCTGTTGATATAATAATAGTTTATAATCATTGAATTTTCAATCCGTGCAAGATAGTCAGTGCGTATCTTATAATTTTTCTCACTCTTCACTTGATATTTAAATATTGTATTTTCTATTATATTATTAAATATAATCTAAGTAATCGTCGATCGATAATTGATATTTATCTAAATATAAAAATTATAAAGTTGTAGTCAAAATCATTGCAATTAATTTGAATACATATGTTCATGTACGTATCATGATATATTTAAAGCGTAAATAAAAGACTAGAACAGAAAAAAAGAAGATTGTACCACTCGATAATTGCTTAGCAATTAATAAAAAATGGTCAATTCATCCACGAAATTGATTTTCAAAAAATAGAAAATAAGCAATAGCTATTTAACAAATAGATATATCATTTCAATAACTAAATAAATTGTATACAACGATGACTGCAAGCAAGTTGGCAAGAAGTTTAGGGACAATCCGTGTCAATATTTATAATAAATTTACCAGTCGTTTCGTTAAACCAACCCATTATTTCACTAGGTGGGGCATAAAACTGAAAAAAATTTACATCAATTAATTATCTTGAAGATTTCAATAATTTATTCCAACTTAAATAACTCCAATATTAGGTCATCTCAATATGTCTAATATTAATTTATTAGTTAAGACATATTATTGATGTATAACTAATAAAAAATTAATTTAAAAAACTCACCTTTTAAAATGTAATCAGTTAATAATGTTGGTACGGTTGGGCTGTCTTCATTAATTGCTTTTAAAACTAAAAATAAATCATCATTTATTAATAATTAATATTGTTTAGACTATATTTAATGATTCACATTATCATTAAGTTAAAAAATCCTTACTTTTGATTAATACTTGCAGTGCTTGGTTGTTTGGTGGCCCGTTATCTGTATGATAAGGAATAACAGTAGTAAGATATTTCGATTCTTGTAGTGTTCTGTGTTGGGGTAATGGACTGGTTCCATTTCCACGTTTTTTCGTAACATGATGTTGCCTTCTACGATTTTGAACAGCGAGAAGTAATGAAATAAATTGATTCTTTAATTCTTTCTCAAATTCTAATTCATCTCTCAATGCCAATTCAGCAATTAAAGTTTCACTAAGAGCTGCTACAAGAGCTTCCATTTCTCCCAGAAGTCCGATTAGTTCACTTGATGATAACTGTTTCAACTCTGCAATGATAATAATATATAAAGATAACATGTTTTTGCTTTCACAATTGAGCATTAAAGTTTTTTCATAATAATATAATATTCTCACTACTTTTCTCGTAAAGCGGAGATCCTAGAACTTCTCGGCTTCGTTCTAAAACTTCATCAGTATCCAGCATAGATCCATCTGTGTCTGGAGATCTTTCTAATGAAGGACTTTCTTCCTGTTGAGATAAAAAAAATTATTTAAATATTTCTTTAATGACGATAAAGAATTAAAAAGAATTAAAAGAAATTACCTCCATAATATCATCTATTTCACGTAAAACTTCTTCCGCAGTTTTTAGAGGCTCTTCAGGACTATGAGTGGCATCTGTGCTGCTAGATAATATTAATGCATGCATATCTAAATCAGTAGCCACTGCTTCATCTTCACTACTTAGGTCTTCTAATTCAGGCCTATAAAATAAAAATTTTTATTAAATTAATAAGTCTTCTTTAATCATCTCTGAATCTTTATTGGTAATTATTCACTTTTCCATTGATGCTACTGGAGCTTCATTGAGATTCAATGCAGGCATATGCATTTTTCTTGCGTAAGATTTACTCCAGTCTATTGGTAGAATGCTTCCAAATGTTCCCGTGATTGTCCACCACATTCTGAAAAATTTCAAATAAAGAAATGAATCATCTTGAAAGAATGCTCCATTTAAACAAGAATTATAATAAGCTTTAATGATCCATCAGAATGAATAAAAAATTCTAGATTTTTTTTTTTGATTCAACTATAGTACTTATACTCAAGTAAACAGTAATTTCTTAATCGAGTTAACAATAAAATTAATCTATTTTTGAGCACATATTTATCAAGCTTCTATTTTTATAAGTATTCAATGATATTTTAATTGGCGTAATTGTGGTTTTATTTTATTACATTTTTTTCTGGTTTGTATACAAACGATATACCTATTGCCCTATTTAATCAACAAGTTTTTACATTGAAAAAGAACGATAAAACGAACAAGATTGAATAGAAATAAAAGGCAAAAGATATAATAAGATGCTGTAGTCAGCAACTATTGCGGCTAGTTAATGGATCGAGGTCAATCCCGCGCGTTTCTCGTGTTAAAATATCACGTGATGCTTCATCTCAAGCAGGAAACCATAATGCGTGTCTCATCATCAGTAGCTCGTGTACGTTAATCATGGGTAACCAAGGGAAATTATCAGGAGAAATACATCAATAAATTATCGGGAGAGTTGTAAATTAAACTCAATACATATATTTCTCTCATGTTTCCAGGATAAATGTATCATTTGAGATTTATCTCATCATTTGTTGAACTACTTGATGACCTCATTAGCTTCTACCTTCTTTAACGTTAAGAGAACAATTTTAACAAGCCATTGTAATTTATGTTATTATTTGTATTAGTGCTTCTTCTAAAATAAAAAAAAATAAAAAAAAAAATACATGTTGGTATTAAAATCAATGATACGCGCACGCGCGCTAATATTGACGTTGTGCTCTATTCAACACGCAGGAACTTGAGTATTACGCATTCTATTCTGTACTCCATACACATACAAATACTTATATTGCTGAAATGCATGAAAAAAATTACTATTATAATTTAGATTTCATTAAAAAAAAAAATTTCAATTACTCTGAAAGATAACTGACTTATGTAAAAACACGAACTCTAACTGATTTTCTTCATGTTTCTATCTTTAAATTATTGTTGATTTCAAGCATGAACTTTAATTATCAACGTCAAACAAAGAAAATATATATATTAGCACAAATTATATTTTAATATGACGTAACTGTTGAGAAAAATAATAAATATTTACTGTAAAATAAATATTAAAATATATTATGGCTTCATGTCAGAGAAATTGATTCACTTGAAAGTTTACGTAAGTCTAGCTTTTAATTATTTTACATGAATTTTGATTGATTTATCTATTTATAATCAAATATTTTGAATGATAGAATACTCGTACAATTTATGTGAAAAGAAATTTCAAAAAGTGATAATGAATAAATAAATAAATTATTATGTAAAGGAAAGTAAAATACACAACGGTGAACGTTAGACTATAAGTAGTGGAGGCGGCTTTACTTTGATTTAATGAATACAATTTACAGCTCAAAAATATTCAAAGAGACAAAAAGGGCCCTATTGTATTTTGCAGTTGGCTGCAGGTGCGATTTCGTGCTCGGCTGAGCTTCAACTGTACTTGGGCTATGACCGAGTGCGAAAAGTACCTGCCACAAATGGGCTTTGGTCGGATGACTTTAACTACCAATAACTGAGTTTCATTATATTTTTTCTTCAACATCTTTGAAGTCTTAAAAAAAGTTGCTTAATGAATTGAGTATTTTAGTGTAAAAAGATATAAACTTACTGGCACTCATTCATTATCTCTTCTTGAGTCCTTACTTGGACTGGAGCAAGAGTTTCTACATCTGTCGCATAATCTCGAAAGCAAGATGTTATTTTCTCATCAAACGTATTGACCAGATCTTCCAAGCTTCCACTAAAAGGACTGAATGTTCCTTCTTGCAAAATATCTGTGCCATTCTCATGTATTTGGGGATCATTATCATTGCGGTTTTCTCCAAAATTCACCTCTAAATTTGCTTCTAACAAGTGCTCTATCAACATAAATATAAAAAATTAATTAGCACATTTATAATCATAACATTCAACACTATAACATGAAAAAAAATAATATAATTATTTAAGTCCAACTTCAAAAGGTTTCTGAATAATTAAATGGGCATAAAGAAAAAGAAATTATTGATTACCTGTTAATAAGTTCATATTTTTTAAACTAGCAGTTTCTTCTTCCTCGAATCGTGCAAGAGGAGCCTCAAACTTTAATTCAGCAATTTTACCCGCCATGTCCCTCATTATTGACCAACTCCAGGGTAGACTAGATTATGCTGAGACCCAAATTGACGAGTTCTTACTTCTTAAGTTGATCTTCTTTTTTAGATCACTCCCAATCCAATGTTTAATCTTCTCCACACAGATTCACGTAATTAACAGCGTTTGTTCATTTCACTAATTTTGAAATTGATACAGACACAATTATCGCAGCATACAGGCCGAATAAAAGAAAACAAAATGCACTGAAAAAGTAAGAAAGAGAGAGTTACCCTCAATAAAACTCACAGAACGACTGATGACTCCTGTGACTCAGAGGGGAGAACGCGAGTCACCCAGACTGGTTATAACATGTTGGTGGGGAACGTTAGACCTTTTGGAGCCAGTATTTTCAGCGCTTTAGCGTACATCAAAACTGTATCCAATGATCTGGAGCCCTTTACTGTACAAAAATCTATCCAAATATACTTTCATTGTAAAAAAAATTGTTTCATGATACAAAAACAAATATACAATGAATGATATATTGAAAGATACAAAAATAATTGTTTAAACAATTATTATTTACAAAAAGTACATGACCTCTTTTTTTTTAATCCGATACGTTACTGCACGTTGGTTAACTGTAGATAAAACAGAAAAGAAAATGACGCGCAGTCGGTAATGTTGATATTAGTCGGCAATGTCGCAGCCGGTAATTTAAATGTTAATTTGATGAATTCGTTAATTTATGCGCAAGCGCCGAAATTTAAAAATGGAACAAAAATTACAAGACAGATGTGTTTGTCTATTTATAATTTTCAACATATCGGAACTTGAACAACTTTACCGTCTCGTTATTTTATATCATTTTTTCAAGTGATTATACAAATGAGTGTTATTATTGTAAGTGTAATAAGTCATAAACACATACTTTGATAATTCATGTAACATAATGTTTATAAAAATCAGACAGGTTATAATTTGACGTATAGCAAATCAATCACGTGTATTGTGCTACTAGACTTTTTACCTATTATTATAGAGACATAATAAAAATAGAATGGTGTTTTCTTGAGAAGAAATAATATTTCTTTTTAACGTTAATATCATGTTAATCGTTGAGAGTTGAAGTAAGATATGAAAAAGAATGCACAAAAATTTTGTCATTCATTCATTCACTACATGATTAATAACATGAAATTACGTCTAATCATTGCAATGCAAAAATTGATCTACCTTGATATCGATCACACAATTATGTTGAGAAACGTCATGAATGTTAGACCAATACTCCACCTGGTAATTAAACTTTTCACAACTTAGTGTCTTTGATAAACAAGCCGCTAAAAAAAATGATATCGAGGAGCTCGAAAGTTGTTTAAATATCAATTTACATCATAAAACCATTCATGTATGTTACAACATTATCAAGAATATTTTTATTGTTCTAGTTCCACGTGTTATTCGAGGAATTTATTTCAAAAAAATCATGAAAAAAGTCGATATTTATTAATCATAATTGCAATCATTGGTTACAATGCTATTATTATGCTAACAATGAATATAGAAAGGGTTTTATATTCTTCTAATTTTTCAAATATCAGAAAATGTAGTTGTTTACATGAATACGAGTTTTATCCAAGAGTTTCAAACAAAAAAAATTCAACTTCATCAACATGTGATCTAATTGGCTCTTACCCAGAAAAAAATTCTCAGACCTGATTCTATCTATTATGTCACGTCTAATCGGATCTAGATATTACTGATTAAATCTATTGCAATTAAGTGTAACATCAATCTCATTGTGATGAGATTCAATGGGCTTCGAACTGATAAATTCATCCCCAAGATTAACAGAATGATCATTTTGGAGTAAATCTGATAATTAACCTATAATAATAGTTGACCATAAAAGATAATAAAACTTACTATCGAATAAAAATGTAATTAAAATTTCAAAAGTCTCCATATTCATTCGAATGCAGCCATTTTCTACTTAATCAGATCTAAATAATCTGCTCTGATAAAATCCAATTTGATCAAACCAGATGTGTTGATATTTTTGCAGGTGAATGCAATCATCTAGAAAAAAGAGAAGAAAAATTCTACCATCATGTTGTAAAATATCCAAGTGAATAGAATTAAAAGGAAAATAATCTGTTATGAATTTACCCCAATTCGATGGAAAATAAAACCAATCAGAAGCAATTGAGATCGATATTCCTTTATTGAGTAAGTGATAGCTTATTAATAGCAACAATACTAACACTTTCAATTTTCTAACGTTGGAATATATTTAACACCAAAGTATACATCAATGATCAGTGTAATTGATGATCACATACAATGGTTATTGTCAAACTATTGAAGGGTGCCATATCCTCTTCAAATTTATTTAACAATGTGCGTAATTTAACTGATGCTATCATCAACCTTATTCGTTGGTGCGTCCGGCTTCTGATGCAGTTGAGTCGTAGGGTGACTGCTGAACGATAGCCTTATCAATCATTTAGTCTTATCAATACTTTTGATTATTTACTCAATACGTCACAGTCAACTGAAATATACAGATTACTTTTTTTAAAGTTTTCCCAGCAGTCATCATACGAAACTGCTTGTAACATCATCAAAAGTTTCAAAACTTTACCAATAAAATTACCATTAATAAGTTAACAATTCATCAATGATGCATTAAACTAATTTGTTATTCATCAAGAAATTATTGTTTTTGACTTTCAGAAGTTTTATTTCATTTTCAACTTTTAACGAACAAAATTGAAAATAATTCTTCAAGGATATAACAAGTAAGGAACTAATAAGTATTTGTTATAATGAAATAAGAACTAATTAAATTAGTAAAAATATAAGAATAGATTTAATTGAACTACGTGAATATGAACTTGTTATGGATACATTTAATTAGGAAGTATGTTTTTAGAACTTGCGAACTTACGTGATATTTTCTATCTTATCAGATAAAAAATAAAGCACAGCTACATTTGGTCCTAATGATGATGACCTACGGACATATTCGGATATAACATTTAGCCTTAAATAAAAATCCTTGGCGTAAATAAACTCAAAGACTATCCTCGACCTTCATTTGGACACACCTTCCATGCTACAGATTTAAAGAATAAGGTATGAATATATCATTTTAGTAGAATCATTTAATTATTATAATATTATTGAACTTAAATTCTTCTTTCTGACTTTTAAATCACTATTTTTTCATTGATGCTTATTTATTTATTTATGCTCTTTCTATACACATGTGTTTTTCTCTACGTTGGTGTACAATGTAGGATGAAAAAAAATAATAGTAACATGGACAAAAAATATTATCATTTTGTTAAAAAAAAAAAAATCTTGAACACTTCAAAGGCGTTATATAATAGAAGTTGAAGAATTCTTTTAGTTTCAAGGTGATCAAGAAATATTAAAAAGGGGGTGTGTGTTGATTTAAATCACCTGGCAAGCAAATATTAATTTTTTGGATTTTAAATATCCTTCATTAATGTCATATGCTAATGAAATTTTATTAGAAATAAAATTGCTGGTTTTTAAACCCAGCTTTTCCTCCTGATAGTCAGCCTGATCAGCCTTTAATTCACAATTGATCTCTACCTGTAACACACGATTCATGTCACGGCTGATTGGTTATCATTTTATCTTGGTAATAAAGTAAATGATTTATTCTATCTATTTTATAATCAGTTTAAAAAAGCTAAGTATCAGTTTTTTTAAACATAATATCTAATTTATTATTCACATAAATCTCCACCACGTATGTAATTAAATTATTTTAGTAATTGATCTATAACTATTTTGTGTCTAATTTACCTTTTAATTGATATCCAACTTGTTTTTTAAATCATAGACGAATTTTTATTAACGAAAGAGAGAGAGAGAGAGAGAGAGAGAGAGAGAGAGAGAGAGAGAAATAAATATTCCTTTCTAAATTTGATGAGAATATGATAAATTCCAAGGTTAATAAATCCGGAAAAAACATCTACAACCTTGGATAATATGAATATAAAATATTCCAAACCTTCTTCAAACAAAATTCAAACGTGCTTTCTAGAAACATTCTTCTATTATTCTTTCTTGACAATACATTTATTTATTCCTACTTGACACGAAAAAGATTTAACTATTTCATATTTAAATTTTAATCCTATATTGTTAAAAAATTTTTCATTTATTTATTGAAAATCGAATAAACGAAGAAATAACTTGATCAGATATAAAAAAAAGAATTTAATTAAATGTTAAAAAAGAAAAAATAGATGAAAAAATTATTTATTTATGGTTCGATGTTCTTTTTATAGAACAATGCAGTATTGGAAACGAGTATTGAATATAATCAATGAAATAAAATAAAATAAAGTATTCAAGTTTTTATAAAGAAGATAATGCTCTTAACAAGATCAATTTCAATATGTGTCTAATCTTTCATTAAATAAATTTGTGATTAATAATGACAGTAGAACAATATTACACCGATTATTCATTGACTATAATAAATATATAAATGTAATGTCCTTGAAAGTTGGATCATTAATTCATTATACGTTCCGTTGTACAATCTTTTCATAATAATTGGGGACAACATCCGGTTCAAATGCACTCTTGAAGTCACTCTAATGAAATGCAGTCCACGAACTAAGATCTTTAAATTTTGTTTCAATACGATACAATAAGATACAAAGTTCTCGTGTAAAATCATCCTAATAATATATTATTACATGATTATACATATATTTTTAATATATAAATATATAATTAATGTTAATATAGGAAGAATAAGTTATTTCCATAACCCTGAATTGTCTTGGGGTAAAAATGTTCAAGGAAGGAGTCTCTATTATAAAAGCAACAGTCTGACTGTCATATAGTCAGTTTGAAATAAACGAAGCCATTGTTAACTAAATACGGATAACATTAATAAGTGTACATTTTTTGTGTTTAATTTAATCAATTAAAAATTTTAAAATTTTATAAATTATTAAAAAACTTCAACTTAAATAGTGACAAAAAATTATTTTCAATTAGATTCAATAGAAAACAAAATTTTTTTAAAGTTTTTAAATTTAAAGTTATCAGCTCACACACACTTTTTTATTATCATTAATTATTTATTCAAAAGCAAAAAAAAATGACCGCTGTAATTACTGATAAAATGGCTTCAGCAACAATTTCGTCCCATGGTTTGACCACAGCTGATGATCCCACATGCCAGATGACGCGTTACTTGGTAAACAATCGTATTAAATTACAAACAATTGATGTGCTTGAATTCAAATCATGTAGCAATTGAATGCAAATTTAATTTCTACTTATGGAATTAAGACAACAATTATACAATTGTAAATCATGAAATGACTGACAAATAACACTGAAGTAAAATCCATAGCCAGTTGAATGAAAATAAAAAAAAAAAAACAATTTTTTTTTACTTAATTTGAATATATCAAATTCAAAATAAACATCACTACATACTATTTAAATTTATCATGATGTTCATTATAATTTATTCAAATAATTAATTAGCATACGAGAGAAAGATAATTGATCGTTAGAATTTCATGTATACGATTATTAGGAGAAATATGATATTTATTGCTCCAACACTCTGAAGACGTTGCATATATGTACATATAAAGAACAAGAGTTAAAAACCTTGAGAAATGTACTTAGTCGTAGTATTTCATAATTTTAAGCTGTACTTTAGTCGATTCAAGAGTTTTAACATAACAAAACAATGTAGCCAAAGTAAATTTGTATGTACGATAACTCAAACACTTATCTATCCATAGCTATCATTTATATTCCTCATGATAAAAAAAATTTTCAACTCAAAAACACACTTTGAATTTCATCACATAGTTAATATTAAACAAGCTGGTAATCTCCAGCCACCAAATAACACACTTACTGTTCATACATTAAATTATCAGTTGTCATTGACTATTTTCCAATCCAAGTAAGATAATTGACAGCTTGGATTCAACGAGATTCGTAATCTCATATTTATTTACATATAAATAACAAACAGTTAGATTATAAGCATAATCGAATTAATTGTGGTATTTACAGCTCATAGATGCAATGGGCAAAAACGAGGCATTAATGGACTACACCATCAAAAAAATAGAACCAAAAGATAAACCTGAAGTCCTGGCATTTCTCAAACGATTTTTTTTCCGAGATGAACCACTAAACGATTCAATTCAACTCATTCCTGAAGGAGAAACAAGCTGTCCACCTTTAGAGAATTATAGCATGTCCTCAATTGAAGAAAATCTAAGTCTAATGGCTGTATCTTCGAGTGGATCTATTGTTGGAGTTCTACTCAATGGTAACAATAAATTTTATTTACAATACTTACAATTGTATTGTTTGATTATGCAATAGTAGTTTACTGACAGACCATTATTTCCATACGGTTCAATGATCCACTGAATCATTGGATTTTTAAAACAATTATCCAATTTATAAAGCTACTCTTATCTAGACATTACATATAAATAACTAGGCATTGACAATAGCAACTATGTATCCAACATTAACATTAAAAAATGATCTAGTAGTCATTTTAAAATTACGTAAAAACTATATATTTAATAAGATAAAAAATCCATTTAAATAAATGCAATATTAAAAATAGCATATGATAAGCTTAATTAAATATAATGTTTTACATCCAAGACCTCCAGGTTGATAATCCATTCATTTATTGTTCTATTATTCTATTTTTTCCTTTCTTTTTTTTTCTTCAGCATTTTTATCTATTCAATGTCCTATTCTAGAGTTGATATTTTTTTGCCATTCTTATTCTTGTATGAGAATACGAAGAGTCCCGTTCACTGTATGCTAATAGTTGATCCATTCACTCTGATTGCTAGATAATAATAAGTGTTATTTAATTCATAGAGAACAGTTGTATATGCAAAATTGATACACTTGATAGTCTCATAAATAATGCTTCTATCTTCGTTTATTCCGTCTTAGCTAGCTTTTACTAATCCAATTGTCTCTGAATAAATTATGTGTGAAAATTTGTAGTTAAAAATATCTTACAATATCTTTCGGTGTACAAGTGTCAATCGTTATTTCTTTGATAAATCTATTTAAAAACATGAGATTACTGTCAACTAGTCAGTAAGCTAATCAATCAATTAACAAACTAATAGAGCTTCAGTATTACGTTGTTGAAAGCAGTTTTGAAGTTAAATTATGATGGTGAATATTTTTGCAGGAACAACAGTAGCACCGGAAGACTCAGAGGAACCAGATTTTATCAAAGAATGTGATCACCAAAAGTTCAGGAAAATTCTTAAATTATTACATCATGTTGATCGAGAAGCTAATGTGGTCAAACGATACCCTGGAAAAAAAATATTAGACATAAAAATTATTTCTGTGGACAATAACTGGCGTGGGAAAGGAATAGCCGCAGAACTTTTCAAAAAAACCATGTAAGAAATAAATTATTAGAAGTTTGTGCAATGAATATCCTGATTAAATATTATCCGTTTATGTTGTAATAAAAATTAATTATTTCTCTTTTTACTAATGTAATAATAATGATACAATAATGATTAAATTACAGGAAAATTGCCAAAGAATTGAATTACGACTACGTTCGATGTGATTGTAGCTCTCATTTTACAAGTAAACTTTGTAAACGTTTGGGCTTCGAAGAAATTTTTGAGCTTAAGTATAAAGATTATGTGGATCAAGATGGCAAACCAGTTTTCACACCTGCACCACCTCATGATTCTATTTCTACATGTGTAAGCAAGTTGTAGTGGCGTATAAAAAAACGTTTTTTAAACGTTTGTTATAAATTATTGTTTTTTAATTGATGTGATTTTCATTTCATTCATTATTGATCAACTTTTCCGCTATATTTATTATGTTAAAAACAATTTTTCATTAAAAGAGAATTTTTAAAATAATTTTGAATCATTCGTTTCAAATTAATTAAATTTTGATTGAAATATTTTAAAATCATTAATTTTATTTTATGCTAAATTTGAAATATTCTCACTCCGCTCAAATACGAAAATTAAATTATTATCTATATTATATCGTATAAAAATATAATGTTATAAAAAATTGAATTATATTTTTACAGTGAAAAAATTATAAACATATTCTATTTTCAGTGAAACATGTTTACTCATATATAAAAATAAATTATTCAACTTTACAACGAATATTTATCTCTGTAATAGTAAATCTTTTGTACATTTTTTAAATAAATATTATAATTACATAATTTTACATCAAAGTAACTATATATATATTAATATACATTTATTGCTACATATTCATAACTTTTCACTCTCATTATATTGATTACAAATCATCTGATAATATTGTTTTATCATCGTCCTTTAGATCGTCGTCTTTTTCTAATCCTGCTAATAATGCAAGTGCTATTGCAGCATTATCATTATACATCTTTCCATTTTCATGAGCTCTTTGGCGTACTTTTTTTTCTTCGGCACTAAACTTCTGAGATCTTTCAAGAAGTGCTTTTCTATTGAACGTTGGTGACTTCATTACTGCCCATACGTGAAAAACATTTCCAAAAATCCATATGAAAATACAAAGAAAAACAAGTTGAGTTTTTGTGAATTCTCTTCCAAATCTGTTTCCATATTTATATTTATATCTAACATTTCTTCTGTTTGCATGGATTGTAGTATTGTAATATGTGTCGTACATATTAAAATCCTCACTGGTTAGGAAAATTATTTTATTATAATTTAATAATTATTATTCAATTATTATCATCTTGAAATATTTAAATTAAAAACTCACGATCCAGGAGAAGACGATGTCCTATAAACTCTTACTCTATTGCTGTTACCATAGCCATATTTTAACTTGTCATCATATTGTGCTTTTAAATCAGTTTTGCTTAAAACATTATACGCTTCATTTATTTTGACAAAATGAGTATGGCTCTCTTTACTTTGTTGAAAATTTTTATCCGGATGTTTCTGAAAAATTTTTTAATACTTTATTAAAAATTTATAAATACTTGAATTGCTAAATTATGAGTTGTTTGAAGGATATAAAAATTTTGAGAATGTGTAATGATGTATTTTAATAAGTATATGACAGTGATTTAATACAACTTTTTATTAATTACTTTACGTCATCTTGAAAACAAATTTACATAACATATAAAACTTACCTCCTTGGAGAGCTTTAAATAAGCTAATCGAATATCTTGTTTAGATGCATCTTTTGATATGCCTAGAACATCATAATAAGTTTCCTCTCTGAGAAAATGAAAATAATTATTTTAATGTAAAAAAAGTTTTCTTAATTAATTGTTGGTGTGAAATGTAAACACATTTTCCAGCTTTATTTAAATAAAATCGTTAAAAATTATAAAATACCTTACAGCTCCATAATATCTATAAACTTGTTTGAACATCAAATGATTTTTAATGATTTCTCGGGATCGATTCATATTTTGTTTACAAATAAAACAACTTAAAAATTTTGTTGCACATTATTTCATAAATGTTACAGCTATATTTGCAAGCAAATATATGTAAATACTGCACACTTGATGTACTCCTAACCTAAACTGTAAATTGTTTGTTTTGATGTATTCGTTGCTCGTAAAAGAACTCCAAAATTTATAAAGTGTTATAGAAAAGATGTAATTATTTTTTTTTGTCTAATAAAAACTACTTTTATACAAATAAATAATTAAAAACACTGGTTTTTCAGACAAAAATACAAGAGCTATACTTGGCTTCATTGATGCCTTCCCTTTACCATAAGAGCAATTGGCGACTAAAATAGATTTTTTTTTTAAAATAAAGTTTTTAATCATAAATTTTTCAATCATGGGTCGTGTTTCAATTAATTCACCTAAGTAATAAAATTACTAAAATTAACAAAATTATGTTTTATTTATTAGTTATTTTTTTATGATTATGAAAATTATTTATGCAAATTGGCTTCAATTGACAACTATTTAAGAGCTATCTGAGATAGTTTTGGAGTATTCTGTGCATGAGTCCAATATAAATAGATATATTTTTTTACATTCTTCAAGCCGGAATTCTTCTTAATTTTACAAAATTAATTTTTATTTAACAATATATTGTGTCCGCTTAGTGGGCTTTAGTTCTATACACAACTACTACAGTGTCCTCGTGCACAAACGTATTAATTTTCAATTTAAATTTTTACCTTCAAGGAATAATCAATAACATTATTATTAATAACATAATAATAACTAATAAAATTAAAATCAAAAAAGATTCAACAAACTAAAATTTAAACATTATCAATTTTTATTTTCATAAAGATTTAGGTCACAGTATAAAATATATTACAATATTCGTGTATTTTTACATAATAATAATAATAATCTATTTTTAAATATTTTAAAAATCTTGCAGCATAATAGAAAAAAATAATTTTCTCATTACAATTGAATTCATTGCAATATTTATATTAAATTTATCTATTTTAGTATACGTCATGTCTTGTGAATTCTTCGGATAAGACAATGTCAAACTTAGTTTAGCTATTTTAAAAATTAATTTATAAATGCAAATATTCAAATTCATCCAAATGTGCGTAACACGTGAAATATTTATCCAAATTGCACATAAAATTTAAAAAAAACTCTGATTTTTATAAAGAATTCGGTTTTCAATCACTTGAATTAAAGAGTTACCTGAGGATATTTTGGAAATTCAACAACAGATACAGTATTTTTTATTTTAAAACTGGGAAACAGACCTGTTACACCAGTTCTTAAATTTCTTCCTTTCGAATAACCATCCCAATGGTTTCCATGAACTTCAATTTTATCTCCAATTTTTAATTCTATTTCTCCAACGTGTGTAGGAGAATGATCCAAAATAGCAACCTGAGGGTTAGGATTTTGACCTCCATAATAGTAAACATCATCTAAAGATGTAAATTTATCATGAGCATCAACATGGTAAGTTTGCATGAGTTCATATGCAACACGGCAAACTTGAGAACTGAATGTACAGACTAAATGATCAGAAAGTGATAAAAGAACAATATCGACAATAATTCCATGTAAAGATGAGTCAGAGTATCGTTTGGAAACTGATGCAGTTTCTGCTACAGCAGGATCTCCTATAATTTCATATCTTGAATATCGTTTCCTAGCAGCTAGTATAACTTTCGGGTCATCACTCGCAATAAAAACTCGTCTAACAGGCGGTTCAGTTTCTAATTGATCGTAATACTGGTTAACTTTTACCATATATTCATCAATATCATGAAACGCTGCTTCAGTGCCAACTTTATCTGTTCTTCTTACATGTACTCCAACAATTGGTTTTTCAAAACCAAGCTTTTCTTTCGAGTAATTAATTACTCTATTCATATTATCTTGAGGTCGCATCAAAAATTTCAGTACTTGACCAACCCACCAAACTATCGGATGTCCATGAAGTTTTTGAATCCTTGGAGCAAGATCAGCTGGAACCCCTGGTGGTTGAAATTGAGGTTTTGGATAAACGTTGTCTACTATTGGCAATGAAACAACTTGTTTTGAAGGATCTCCAGGCCAGTTAGAATGAGAAACACCACTAGGTGAAAGACAAGTTTCACTCAGTGGTTTAAAAACTGATTCCCATCCATCTTTTTGGTATCTCCAGCCTTTCGACTTTAATATTAATGTTCTTTGTGTACCATAAGCTACCAGAAAACAATAAGTCAAGTGATGAATCTAAAAAATAAAATAAATAAATAAATAAATAAGTCTTATCCTAATGACAACATAATATCAAAATTAAAAAATATGAAAAATTACTTGACAGCCAAATCCACATCCTTTATTTAAATTACATAATAGTTTCTGTGCACTATTACAATCGCTAGGATTTTGTAAATGCCAGAATCTTTTTTGAACTAATTCAGATAATTCTTTAGCCTCCTTTTCTCTCCACTCTTCATGGCCATCAGCTTTTTTCAGTCTTTCTAAGTCGAGCATTAAAGATTTTTTATGTTCCCATACATTTTTTAAAGCATCTTCAACATCTTTGCCTCGTTTATCTAATGGAAAATCATCTACATATTTTTTTAGTTTACGTAATTCTGCATTTACATAATACCACATTTCTTGAACATTATTTTTAACTCTTCTTCTTAGCTCTTCATACTCTAATGTAGGCTCCTTATCATCTTTAATTTTATTAGATAATTGTTGAATATTTTCAAAATCTACAGAATTCAATTCTAAGCCTTGTTTTTTCATATTATTATTCATAATAATATCCGATAACGCTTCATTTTGCTTTTTAAGAATGGCAAATTCTTCCATCAGTTCTGATAATTTGGCGGTATTTTCTTTTTCTTGAACCCCAGCATTGTCTCCAGATAAATTATTTTCTCTTACATAATATACAGAGATTATTAGAACAAGTTGCCATGTTATTAATAGTAGTAGGCCTAATTTGCCTAGCCAACCTAGTCTTCCGTTCCACAAAGCCATGCCACATGGAGGATATTTAACATTAATTAATATTGATTGTACTAGAACATCTATAAGTTGAAACCCATTCATAAATATTTATCGTAACCCATTAAATGTCATTATATCAAATAAATGACTATTAGATAAATCAACTTTATGCTATCTTAATGATGATATTCATACCTTATTAGAGTTAATAAACAACATAATACATAGATATGCCAATAAACTGTATTACGCTGCTTTTATCTCGATCAAAAACATATTGTTATTCTCAATACGTATGCTTGTTGGCACATCAATTATTGTATTATTTATATGAGATAATGAATCACGTAAAAAATTTAGAAATACTCCTACATATTTATTTGATAATATCAAATCAGAGAGTTTAATCACCGATTATGTAATATTTTAGAGATAATTGAATCACAATCAATTAAATGAGTAAATCACTATACAATTATTATTTTTATTATTATAACAATAATAACGATGATTATTATTGCTGTTTTCACTAAACTAACCTCTTTTGCACTGTTCGTGTGATAGAACAAAACAGTTTTTTTTATCAACTCAGGCGGTGCTGCCACCACCAGTTGTTAACATCGCATGGTAATCTGAACTTTTGTTACCGACAGTTGATGATATGATTTTTATTCATCGATTTATCGACTGGATTCAAAAGATGCAAATTTTCAAAATATTTAAAATTTTGACACTGTGTTGCATCAACTATATTTTGCAAATAAAGAAATTTGGAGTTTTTATTAGTGATTGGGAAGAGTCATTTTTAAAAAAAAAATGACTGAAAATCATTTTCTTGATTAATAGTTTCAAGACAAATAACTCGGTTATGTATAAATGTTGTTGATAATTTAAAATAATTGGTGTATAAATTTTAGCTAAAATATAGATTTTTATGCGGCTTTGGCGAGTTTCCAAAACACAAGAATATGCCCTGTTGTCGCAGTTTTATCTATCTCGTGTAGATGTACACGAAACGTTCAAGTAGTAGTACCACACCGATAATCAAACGAAGGACGTCTGCCAGAGAAAACAATCTGAAGAGAGAATAAAAATAATAAAAAAGAAACAAAAGTAATTGAGAAGCATTATATAGAAGAAGGGTTTTTTTCTATTATTAAAATCAATAACAATTGAATCGGTTTTAATTATTCATTGAAGTAGTAAAATTTGGACAAAATTATCTTAATATTAAATAATAAATGCCAGAGTGTAGCATTACATCTTTCCCTTTTAGGAAAGTAATCGATAAAGATGCCAGGCGTCATGACGGCGCCAAAGGACATCTTTATCTTTTTCAATGAATTTTCTTGATAACTTGACGGGATAAATACGACCCTTCTTAAACCTATAAAAAATCTAATAATACCCTATTGTCATTAGAAGTATACATTATATCTGTTATTGATGAAATCAATTTTTTAGATTAGAGATTCTATGGGTCTTTGATGTATGATCATGTTTAATTATAAGGACGTTGATTAAACAAGGTAAATGAATTTAATTTTTCAATAAAACTTTTAATAAGTTTTAATCACAGTTTCAGCAAAGTTAAATTGTTACTTGATTAATGTTTATAATTTTTTTTAGGAGCAGTAAAATAATATTTTATCCACTAATTGATGTTTAAAAAATGTAATGTAGCGAATAATGAGTGCATGATCGTTTTTTTTCATCAGATAAAAATTGAAAATAAAAATTAATTGTTAGGAAGGAGAAATTTTTTTCCTCGTCGAATCTATGATCAAAAGAAAATGCTAGTCATGTGGAAATAAACAGTTTAAAGATTATCTTGTCAATATTGTTTGCTTCAATTGATTTTGAATGGACAATGTAGCTCAGTGCTTTGACAAACCATTTTGCCGACGCGTCAGCAAACAATCTCATCCCTTCTGAGGTCTAAAATACCATCACTACCCCTATCAATGTTATCTGCTCGACTAGTACGTCTATTTTCATTGGCAAGGGTGAGAGAGTGTTTCATGTTTCATCCCGGTGAACTAGAATTATTTGAGATGGGTCATAGAATGACTGGCGCCATACAGCCGTCTCTGTACAGACTACATAACTTGCCAGTTGCCTCTGAACCTCATCTGGGGGTGGATAACAGATCCACCCTCGTCCTTTTTACTCTCACTTACTCTCTAGTCTCAAATTAGTCGCACAAATTATGACTTTGGTTGATAAAAAAACTATTCATTTTTTATATTATTTGTGATAGTAGAAATAACAGTGAATCATCTAAATATTTATTGATAATATTTACGAGCATTTTCTTCCTTTTTTAATCTATTTTTAAACTCTTTGACAAGTTTATTACAAGACAAATGTTGCAAGAATGTTGCATAGTTATTTTTAATTTTATTAATAAGCCTAATAAACGGTTTATAAATTGTTTCTCATCACTTATATTATTATTTATAAAAAAAAAACTATTGTGATCAAGTTTTCAAAGTAATTTGGAGTAAATTATTGCCAATCCAACGTTGTTGAAGAATTTGTTTTAAAAATGAACCGAAACAATGAAGAAGTAAGTAATGAAATAAATTGCATCATTTTGTATTTAATTATTATTTAATTTAATTTTTTATTTATTCATATTGCAGCAACGACCAATTTCTCAAACTCTGTGCGGTGCATTGCAAAAAGAAGCAAACTGTAAATGTTTAGTTTTATCAGTATTAATTTATGGTTGTCTCGCTGCTGTCACATGGTGTAGGTGTGCTAATGTTACTAAGGTGTGTCTGAAAACCTTTTAAATTAAATGTGATTAAGCCATCAACTGGTAGCGATAATTTGAAAATGACTACATTCATCAAGTCTTGATTGTTAATAACTGTATTTTTTTTTTTATAAAGATCGTCATAAATTTTTCAAAGTACCCGCTCAAAAGTACAAGACACGTGTCACCCTGTGATGATGGATATATTTATATTCCTGTAAGTTAAAATTAATCTATTTATAAGAGAAATATAACGAAAGATTTAATTAATAAAGGGGAATGAAATGAATAATGTATTTAATTTCGTAGGTTGCCTTTATGGGAATGCTTTATTTAGTCTACTTGGTAGAATGTTATCATTCTCCTATAAGAATCGATCTACTACATGGGGAAAGTCAGGATAGCGTTTTATCCAAATTATCTCAATTAAGACTCGCTCAGCCTACAATTTGGTGGAAGGCAGTATCTTATCATTATGTTCGTAGAAAACGTCAAATCACACGTTATAGAAACGGTGATAATTATACAACAACTCAAGTAATATTGATTTTTCAATATTATTGGATTGATGCAAATTGTTTTCAAGTTTATGAAATGTTTAATTAAGAAAAGTAGCTTCTCTAAGTATATTGAGCAAAACATATTGCATCATTCCAATATATATTTTTATTGATTACATTATCTAATACGATGGATCATCTAGGTTTACTATGAACGGATAAATAGTCATGCAGCAACATCATTTTACTTTTATGATTATTGTGGAGTGAAGGACATTAGCAAAGATTTAATAATGGATCCGAAAATTCCAATAACTAAAATAACACTGAGTAAGGGCTTTGCTTTTTCAAACATGAGATCTGCTACAGAATTTGAAGAAGCTAGATCAAGATTTTTTGCTGAACAAGTAAGTCGGAGTTGAATAGTTGGACATGATTTTTTTTAAAATAATAACTTCGATGAACATTCAAGTACATATTGATTTAATTTTTAAAATAGGAACTTCGAGATGACTACATGGAAATGAGAGAAGGTTTAGATCTTGGGTATAATTTTAATAGTTCAACAACATTAGTTGCAGTACTTGGGAAGCCATGGTTCACCAATGCTTATGTATATTGGTGTTTGAGTGCTCTTTTACTTAGCTGGCCATTACGGATAATTATAGAATGTCACACACAATACGCCAATTACCAAGTAACTAAATTATTTGGTGTCAATTATGACACTCCAACGAGTGCAACGCAAATTCATGCTTCATCGAGCCAATTAAGTGCTCCAGGTTCTTATATGCTTGCTCCCAGTTACAGTGAAGCTTTATTAATGGAACCTGCTGGTCCAACGTCACAAGAGATATTTACAGGAGCTTCCAATTATCAAGATAATAGCGAAATGCTAGTGCCAAGTTATTCAGAAGCTCTTTTGTATGAGCGTGCAGCGTCTTCGTGCAACCAAGTTCACGAAGTGACTTGTTCAGTTGGTAGAAGTGTTACTAACCAGAGTTTAGTTGCAGTGGTCGAAGCACCATCGACTAATTGCAATTGTCCTTGTCATCAAACTGATAATAATGAGGAACAAGTTCACACTAATTACTGCGGGCAATTTCGAGGACACTCTACACCAGATATCCGCGTTTGCAGTACTTGTAATGGTTCTTATAACCCTCGAGAGGAAGGGTTTTCCAATATGGTACGGGATATTTCTGCACCAAATTTGAAATCCCATTCCAGTTTTTCCATGGGAAATCTCAATTTACAATTCCTCAAGGATAATGGTCGGAGTTTAGAAAATATTTTAGAAAGTGAAGAAAATTTTTTAGCCTCTTCAGAAATAAGAGAATGTGATAGTAGAGCTAAAGGTGCAATTCCTAAGCAGAATCTTCAAGGTACAAGCAATAGTTATAATCACTGTTCACAAGATCAAGCTAGATCAAGTAGGATGGTTGATATTATTGTATCATCTCATTTGCCAACTTCTAAAACTTATTTTTCACTAAAATCTATTCTTAAACAACATAAGAGAAGATATACTTTAGTTACAACCGAAGAATTAAAAAATTTTACTGATGTACAAGATAAAAATAATGAAATAAATAATGATTCAGTTATTGTTCTCCATGAAAATGCTTCTAAAAAACGTCTGTGGGTGTCTCCAATGGAAAATAAATGGGATAACAATCCTCATAGGTAATAAAAACATTTTTTTCAAATGCACTCAAGTTGATTATATAATAAATAATAACTTTATGATTTCAGAACCCTTATTTTTGCATCTCCAATTCATGAAATTTGTAAGTCTACTGATCCATTTACTGAAGCTGATGGAGAATGTACAGGAATTAATAATTCAGATCTTCCAGTACTTACACGATTAGGCCAATCTTTAACTGTTTTAGAAGAAAGCAAAGCTTCGTCCAATAATTCTAATTCAAATAGTAATAATAATTTTATTATTAATAATATTACTCATAAGTGTAAAAATAAACCACGTTTCAAGCATCATCATAGAACTATGAGTGATGAGCCTGAATTCTCGAAAATTTTCTCGTCTTCCGATGACCCAAATTGCTCTCGGAATAATGAAATAACTACAAGTTCCAGTAATCGTTTTATTACTAGTGGTTTAACCCGGTCTTTAACTGAAAGAAGACCAAAGCCTCCAATAAGAGACAAGTATTTTAGACACAGTTTTACCGATGAAAGAACTGACTTAGGTCCTGCAAAAAGAATTAATTTAAATATGGAAACTTCGTTGTAATTATAAAATCCAATTATTCACCTAGTTTTTTAATAACTTATTAGAAAATTTTTTATTTATTTTAAATAATTCTTTTTTTAACGACAGGAGTAATGAAAATGCCTTTTAAATTGAATTCACGAGAATACATCAGTCAATTACTTTTGTAATTTGATTGAATAAAAATTTTAGTTAATTAGCTAAATATTGATAGGTAATAAATATTCTCGTGTTTTCTTAGCTCAATATTATGAAAAAATAAAAAAAAATTAACAAAATTTAAACATTATAACGTGATGAAAGTGAAATAAAAAAAACTCTCGCACAAGTAAAAGATACTAAAAAAATAAACGTATAGATAAATATTTGTTGTATACTTTTACTTAACGCTTATACGTAAATTTTCCATTAAAAATTGACAACAGACATACAAGTACATTAACAAAAGTAATAATGATAAATAACATAATGCAGTTTTTTTTTTTTTTAGATTAAATAAATTCTAACGTCATGATAATTAATTATAATATAAAGGCAGGAAACACTGTTATTAAGCATTCCTACTGTCAATTCGTGCTTGAAACATACTGTGAGATAAAAGCGTTATTATTATAAAAATATGATATTGTTGTAATAAATATAATGATAGGGGCTCTTTGATATGTGATATAACCGCTGAATTTATAAAAATTATTGTCAATTGGTTTATCCAGAAAAAAAATTGACGATAATTGAAAATTAATAATAATAATTAACGATTTTTATGTAAAAGACCAAATTACTATTTTGTGCTTAATCGATAAGTCGATTATTAAGTCTTTCTCAACTGCCAGAAAATTAGCTAATAAAATTGGGAAGCATGGATTATTAGAAACAATTATCTAATTTATTGAATTTAGTGTAGTATAATTTTATTGATTTTATTTTTAAAGACAGGGGTATTTTATTTTTATGAATAAATTGTTAATATTAAAAAATTATTCGTTAATTGTATTGAACATTATGTTCAATTAGTGCATTAAAAATGTTCGATAATTGTACATTATTTATTTCGTTTTCGAAATTTAAATGCCAAGTATTTATTAAGAAATAATTAACTTAAATAATTTATTGTAGGAGAACATATGTAATTATAAAATGGTATAAAAAAATTATAGTAAATTATTCTGAGCTAGTTGAAATTTAAATTTGGTAAATTGAATTGAAAGAAAAAAAAAAAATTTCGCAGACAATCGAGATAAAAAAAGAAAATTTTTACATAAAAAATATTTAGCAAATAAAAAAATTACTAATATTATTGATACAGCATAAACTAATGCCGTCTTAATAAGTGCTCTTGTAAGTAAATTTTAAGCTAAAAAAAGTTGGTAATATTTTCCGTTTAAAATGCTTATAATTGCATATTGTAAGTTGTATAATATTTTGAAAACGTAAAAGTGAATAATGAAACTATTGGAAGTGAATTATAATGAAATAAAAATTAAACGCTTAGATAATTGGTCGGATAACATTACTAACATTATTACTACAATAGAATTGTGAATGCTATGATAAAAACTTGTGAAGGAGTAATTATTTAAATGATTTCACTTTTATGATGGGTGGAAAAAAATTATGAAACTCATTTATGCTATTCAGTGTTAACATTATTGTGATTATTATTACATACATTACATTAATAATATTGATGTATGAAATAAACACATGGATTGATAGTTGCAATAAATGTTAAGTACAATTAAAACCAATTCGCAGTATTATTTTTTTTTTTTGTCAACATTTTTTTCACCTGTCAATCAAGTTAAAAAAAAAACAATACACACGATTGGCATTTCAGGCACAAATTCATTTCGAACTTTTTGAACATTTGTTTGTTCGACGACAATTTGACACATTTTTTTAGTTAAAAAACTTAGTTTTTTTTTTTTTGGTTTTTTGTCTTCTTTTTAAAATATTGACAGTTTGTAAAAGTGATTCTATGAATGATAAAACTAAATTTGACATCGATACACAAAAAAGTTTTTAAAAATTGCTATAAAATATCAACATGATACTTTTAAAGTATTAACTGTCCATTAAAAAGATTAAAAAAAAGTAATTTATTCTTTTTATGAAAATATTCAACTAAGATTTGTGTAAACTGTTGTGCTAATTCGATTTACATTTATGTAGTTTGTGTACAGTAATCTAACAAATTAATAATTAATAAACATTCTAATCGCTCTTACATAAATAAACAAATATTTGTAATTATCTTTTAATGACTTTGTTAACGGTCAGACTAGGATAGAAAAAAACTGAATATATATTGTTGACAGTGCGTTTTTAATAAAATGAACAGAAAATAATATTTTTAATTCATGGTCTTGATTTATGACGTCACTTTATTTAAACTTGACTAGAATTAAGATTTAAATGGGCTCATTCGTAAAATCCGGTCGAGTATAATACACACGATAGTAAAGAGTCTTACTTCTCCATAGAGAATATGAATTGTCGAATTTAAGAAGATAAATTCCTTGGCCCGGATATTTATGACTTCCTATATAAACTTCTTCTTGTGAGTCTCTTCGAAAAACCTTAAAAACAAATGAGGTAATTATTTTTCAGTTCCATTAAAATTTAAATAAGTCTTAAACTTCAGTCCTATTTACTTACAGGTACAATGACGCTAATTGGTGGTGTACTTGGTTTAAATTCAGCTCTAACATCTCCATCAACTCCTCCACTTTCTAAATCATCTCTTGATTCATAATCTTCGGCATCGTCATCATAATCGTCTTCAGATTCACTGATGTGGACAGATACTTGATTGGTATCAGGTTTAGACCATTCAAAATAAACACCAAATCCAATATCGTAACCATCAGTTGCAAATTCCCAGAAAAGACAAGAGCCATCTTCATGGGTTGGAACCCTTACAGTGACTGTTTCCCCATGACTAACTTTAATAACAGCATCACCAGCTTCTCTTCTAATGGTGTTTTTAAATTCTTCAACTCCTGGACGTGTCCACATTTTAGGTAAATCAATTGGAGGCCAATCTATTTGCTCATCAGAATCTTCATCGTCATCATTAGGTTTTTCTGTAGCTTCCACACCTTCTTCTTCCTCTTCATCACCCTCCGCTTTGTTTTCATCTTCATTTTCTTTACTACTCTTTTCGATTTTTTCAGTTTCTGGATTGTCCTCAATCATTAACCGATTCTGGTGCAATTGTTGCATATAACGATGATAATGTTGTTCTTGAAGTTGTCTAATCAACACTCCTTGTTGTTCTGGATTACCAGGATATTGTTGTTCTGCATAAGCTTTAAATTGATAATAGGTTTGTTGATTTAGAGCTTCTTGAATTTGTCTTCTTTGATGTTCTCGCTTTTGTTGTTCTTCTTCTTCACGTTTTTTCTCCTCTTCAAGTTCTTTAGCTTTTCTATCTTCCTCTATTTTTCTCTCTTCTTCTTCTTTCTGTAATCGTTTTTGTTCCTCTATGTTTCGTTTTTGTGCTTCAACTACTGTTTTGAATAAAGGACACAATTTGTCTAGTAAAACAATAAATCCTTCCATTGCCTGTTCTTTTGAAATATCGCCTAAATTTTGCCATGCTAATCTTCGATCTTTTCCTATTACATCTAACACTCCTAGTGGCGGTGAGTTGTCGGGCGTACATTTTCCGTGGGTGGCTTGTTGAGTAAATGCCACTAACTTTAATTTGTCTTCATATGAGAGATGAACGGCTTTGCCTTCTTTCTCTATATGATAAAATTGAATGATTAAAAATATTTTAAGAAATGATTAATGATTGTTTTCTTACCTTTGTAGAAATTTAGGGCTATTTTATACAATTCTTTAAGTTCAAATCCAGATAAATGAGGTTGAAAATTTAATTCTTCACCCACTTTACTGTCAATCGTTTTTGTGGTTGATTGATCAGGGTTATTTATGTTTAGTTTGTCAACATTTTCAACAATTTTTGAAACATCACTTTCAGTCGAAGCCATTTGTTAATAACTTAAATATTTGATTAATTGTAATGAAAATACAACAATTTATTTTATGACGTTTTGTTTAATGTCTGTTTGATGAACAAATACCTTGACTTAGTTTTATTTAGGTGTCTCTGTGTGTTTCACTAATGATGGTTACGTGGCGTGAAGTTAAAATTTTATGAGCCTACATTATCAAGTGAAGGCAATTGTTATCGACCTTCAACATTTATTCCAATCTGTATTACCAACATAGGTTATTTTATCTCAAACATAAACCTAACCTCACTCTTTCATTCAAAACCTGTTCTATTTGTTGATACACGTGTTTTTGTTACAACAATAACAAGAAAAGTTAAACAATATAATATTAAATTATTCTATGAGACTTGTATTCTAGTAAATTGAAAGTAGAATCATGTCAAAATTGTTTGATGATGGAGGGTGTGATGACAATGAAGAAGAGTTAAAAGTTAATAGTAGTTATGCCAATAACTATAATAAATGGAGGCAAAAAGAAGAATTGAACAAACGTAAGTTGTGAAATTGTTTACTATTTTGTCATTAGTTATTCTTATTTTGATTTATTTAATTGTTTTATTGTGTTTTAATAGTGAAAACTAAGTATGGAGACCATTTGAAAGATCTTGACAGTTCAGAAGGTTCATCTGAGAGCTCCTCTTCTGAGGATGAAGATGGAAAAGTAAGATTGAATCTGTACAATTATAAAATTTATTTTATATAAATCATTTGTGGTATTAAATATTTATTAATCTATGTTCATCTTCTACAGGAGTTGACAGAAGAATTTGAAAAGGATTTTTTCAAAACTCTTTCATTTTTAAAGAAAAAAGATCCTAAAATATATGAAAGTGATGTTGTTTTCTTTCCATCTACTCAAAATGACAAGGATGCTACTGATAATGAAGATGAATCTTCAAAAAGTAATAAAAACGATAAAAAAAAGAAAGAAAAAAAAGAAAAGCCATTGTCTATACGAGACTATGAACGAAAGATGATTTTAGAACATGATGGATTGTTTAGTGATAGTGAAAATGAACTTGATATTAGTAAAAAATCAGATGAAAAAAAGAAAAAACCATTAACTTATGTTGAAGAGCAACGAGAATTACAAGAAAGTATAAAGCAAGCATTAAAAGACGATGACGATAATGATGATGGATTTTTAAAGGTGAAAAATAAAAGCGAAGAAGAAAAGATTAAAGAGGAGGAAAGTTATAAACAGTGGTTAGCAGGTCAGACTGAAAAAATCGATGATGAAGATAAAGATCAATTAAAATATCTTCGAGATTTTTGGTCAGATCCAAATTTAAATGAAAATGAGAAATTTTTAAGAGACTATGTACTGAATAAAAAATTCTTAGAAAAAGAAAATGATGCTGAAGAAGAATTAAATGAAGATTATCATCATAGACTTCATGATAGTGATGAAAATTTATCCGAAGATGAAAAAAATCTCAACGAGCAAGAAGAATTTGAACATAAGTATAATTTTAGATTTGAAGAACCCGATGCAGAATTTATTAAACGGTATCCAAGAACAATGGAAAATTCTTTGAGAAAAAAAGATACAAGAAGAGCTCAGAAACGAGCAGAGGTGAAAAAAAGAAAAGAAGAAGAAAAAATTCGTATGAAGGAAGAATTAAAACAATTAAAAGCATTGAAGAGGAAAGAAATTATGGATAAAATAGCTCAATTAAAAGAAATTACTGGCAATGATGATCTTAATCTAGATTCTATTGACTTTGACAGTGATTTTGATCCTAACGAACATGATAAAAAAATGCAGCAAATCTTTAATGAAGAGTATTATAACAACGGTGAAGATAATGTAAAACCAGAATTTCCTGAATTAGATCAAGAATTAGAAATCGAAAGAGATTGGGATAATGTTGATCCGAATGCTGTAAAAAATGCTGAGAATTATGATTATGATGATAATCAACCCCACTGTGAAGATCCTGATTTTAATATGGACGCTGATTACGACCCTAATAATAAAAGCAATCTAGAACAAGAATTAGTTGACAATTCAAGGAAAAAACGAAAACGAAAATCTAAATTTGCCAAACTTATTGCAACAGAAAAGCCTAAGTTTGATCCGAAACTTCATTCATCGTTTATGGAATATTTTGATCAATACTATGCCCTTGATTATGAAGATATGATTGGGGATATACCTTGTAGATTTAAATATAGAAAAGTGGTACCTAATGATTATGGTCTCACTACAGAGGAGATTTTGTTAGCAGATGATAAAGAACTTAACAAGTGGTGTTCATTGAAAAAAGCACTTGAGCATAAGCCTGAGAATGTGGAATTTAGAGAGATTCAGATTTATAAGCAAAAAGCTAAAAATGAAGCGTACAAGAAAAAAATTTTATCTAGTTTATACAAAAATAATGATGATGAAGATCAGAACGATGACCAAAATCAACAAGAAACTAATGAAACTGTAAATAAGAAGAAAAGAAAAAAGAATAAGAAGAAAGTAGATGAACAAGATATAAAAATGGAAGATTCAAGTCAACCAGAAATCAAAGTTGAAAATACGAGTGAAGATGTAGTAGTGAATAATAAAAATGATAGGAAAAGAAAAATTGAAGATGCAAATGAGAATGGGGAATCTAAAGAAAAAGGTAAGATTGATAAATAATTTTAAAAATTTACCTAAAGATTAATTGAATTTTGTTTTTTAGTTCCTAAAGAAGATGAAGCAGAAACACCATTGATAGACGTTACAAAAATACAACCAATAGTGAATATTCCAAAAGAACTAAAGAAGGACAAACAAAAAATTAAAAATGAAAACGTTCAGGCAAAAAATGGCAAGTCAAATTCGCCTCCATCTAAAAAATCAAAAATGGCGAAAAACAAAAATGAAAAAGTATCAGCAAAAAATAAACAAAAACACAAAAAATCGAACAGCACTAATATAGCACAGAAACAAGAAGATCTTATTACTTCAATGAGTAATAAACGATTAGAAGCTTATGGATTGAATCCTAAGAAATTTAAAAATAAATTAAAATATGGTAAACAAAAATTTTAATACAATGTTTAAATTAAAAAAAAGGGAATAATTGTAATTAAGTAATTATAAGTTAGTTAAATAATATTGTTTATATTAATATAATATAAGAATAAATAAATTAATTGTTATTTTTTATCATGAAAATAAGATTGAATAAAGTTTTAAAAATTATCAATTTAAAAATATTTGTGTATGCACTCAAGTTTTACAGGGGAAAAGAATGATAAATGACTTTTGCGGATTATCTTTTAAGGATAGATATTCTCTTGTTCAAACGATGTTTGTATTTCTACAATTACCTTCTCTAAGCTCTCCCATATGTTGTTCAAAATTTTTTATTATCGAATACGTGTTCAGTGTTTAAAATCCTTTTATTCATTATTTCTTGACAACCAGGACTTGCACTCTCTGATTCCCCGAATTTCTTTATCCTTTTATTAAATACAATAAATTATATTTTATTAAAGTACTTGAAAAATAGCAAATTAAATAAATAATGATGTTTTTTTTAATTCAATATTTATTTTAACAAAAAATTCGAGGAAAACTAAAGTAATTCTAGTTAAATTGAAGACAGTGCAAAAAAAGATAAATGAAAGGGAAGTGAACGGAGGTGGAGATAGGTAAAGAGTGACATAGTATAACAGTAGTAGTACTAGTTATATTAAAGTACCACAGTTACTACACAAGTAGTACAAGGAAGAATAAGGCAGGCGTGGAGACAGCCCCTTGGGTGCGATAAATCAATTGGCCCCTTTGCTGTGGATTCGAGAGACCAGTTTAGGAGCAGGTGGCTCACACGCCCACTATGTATACCCACCAGTCGCTTCTCTAATTCTCAATTAATGTCATCTACTACTTTAACAGAAAAGTTGATCCTTTCAATCTTTACAAGACGAAACAACACTTATATTTGTATTGTAAAGAGATTTGATAAATTTTTTATAATAAAAATCTAGTGCTAATCTCTGTTGCTAGGGTAAATATCAATATTATTTTATCCATTTTAACTCTAAAATTTTTAAACAAAATGTATTATTTAATTGTTTTTTATAACATTCTACCAATTTAATTCATGTTATTGAACTTTTTGTTCAGGATGAATTAAAACACTATTTATAATCAATAAGAGATGATATTAACCGGACCAACGATTCCATCTGGTTTTCAATTTTCTTGAAGCTATTAGAGTACAAAGTGTCGATTACTATTGTAATTGCGATCCAATAGCCGTGTCAATGAACACATAACTCAATTTGAGTTAGCTTATCTGAAAATCAGTGGATAATTCTATCTTGCTAACTCACTTAGTAAAATGAACTGTAAAAATATAAATATTTAATCCATTTATCAGACATATATGTTTATCGAAATTTAAATTTAAAAAAATAAAATGAACTGACGTAATAAGTTGTGTATAAAGGTATCTAGAAGCAGTAAAAAAAATAATTTCAAATAGTACTACTATAATTAGATAATCTAAGTACAAATAGTACAGTCGTAACTAATGTTTCTCATCATGTATGTTGTAAATTATTTATAAAACATACAGCAACAACAATAACAACATTAAGTGCATTATCATGTCATTGATGGTTTCCTGAGTAATGCTGATAATCTTGGGCTTTTAGAGTATTAAAAGAAGAAATACAAACTGGAATTAATAATAATGAAATAACTTCTACAGGTGAAATGAATGAAGACGAGTATTTTTTTACTTTTATTGGTCGATGAAAGAAATTATTGTTACACTTTCATGTGAGCAGTGATGTATAAAATGTGGGAACCCAAAAACTTAAACGAAGCACAACTACCAATGATGATAGTAGCTTGGATGTGTGGTTATGGAGTTATAGAACATCCTTTGAATAAATTAGGGATAATTTTTTCTCTGATATATTTGATTTTTGTCAGCAGTATTTATTCAATATGTTTCTATTTTGCATATTTATATTTTTTCCATTTAGATTGGCCTAAGCATGAAAATAAATTTATAGAACCTTTCATCATTTTCAATTGTACAATCATGGTGGTAAATTTCATGAAAGGATGGAGTAATAAGCGTGTAAGATTTTTCTTATAAAGTGTCTTTAATTTAAGATGTACTTTTTAAAACAGTCTAATGAATATTTCAGACACTAGCAGAAGTATGGGAAAGAAATAATGCTGTAGAAAAAATTCTGGAGTTTTTAGGAGCACCAGTAAACCTTCAAAAAGCATTGAAGAACTCTCTATGGATGGTTTTGAATTGGATTACTTTTAGTACAGCATCCAACATACTTCTAATAATTTGGTTTCGACAAAATATTCCACTTTTAAAAGGATTTTTAGTTATTTGTATTCTTCAACATCCAATACATGTAAATGAATTTATTGATATCAATTTCATGTTGTCAATCAAACACATCCAACTGCGATTAAAAAGTGTCAACCAAATTCTATCTAATTTTAATAATATCAAACATGATGATTGGATACAAAAAACCAATAATATTTCACCTTACAATTTTTCTTTTTCTGCCCAATTTTCTCGAAGGAGTCAAACTGGATCTGATTCAGCTTCTAAGTCTAATGACTTGGTATCCAATGCTGAGAATGTTCTACAGATTATCAAGTAATTTTAAATATGTAAAATTTTTAATTTAAACTAAAGAATTTATTAGAGTCTATATTACAGATATCTTCATTTAGAAATTAAAGTTTTGTCGAAAAAAGTCATGAGCATGTACGGTCTTTCAGTGGTAACAACGATGACTACAATATTTTCAATGACAACGTATTTATTTTACACACTATATTTAAGTATGTGGGATCCAAAAATTTTTCATCCCGACAGAACATTTAAATCATTTGTTGTTATTATGACAATCGTAGGACATTTTATTAAAATGATAACAATAAATTATGTGTGCGCTCAAACTGCTATGGAGGTTAAAGGACCATTTTACAATTTTTTTTTTATTGCTGTTTGATAAAAAAATCATTCATTGTTTCTTTATAGTACAGGAAAACTGGAGATATTGTTCATCAGTTAAATATGCAATCATCTGATGTAGATATTCGCAATAAAATTCAACAGTTTTGTATACAATTAATGCATCATCCTCTGGAATTTTCTCCATGCGGATTGATACAACTGGGATTTCCATTCATCCGAGATGTGAGTGATTATAAAAATATTTTATAATAATTTATAAAATTATATCTTTAGAAATCATTGATAGAAATTAATTTTTAGTTTGCTGGATCTCTAACGACATACTTGATAATATTAATACAAATGAACGATTCGATACCAAAAATAAATTGATAAACTATGTGTTTATACGAGTTCACTTTTATATTTATTATTTAAAAAAGTTTTTAGTTCAATGCACACTTAGTCTGATGGAACATCAACCGGTCGAGCATCCTAAATTAGGGAAAACTGAAATAGGGAAAAAATTGATGGACTTACAGGGGTGACGATCCGTGAAGTTGGCCTCTAGTAATCTCATTCTTTTTCACTTAGCAATAGATGCAAGAAAGAGAAGTGATCCTGAGGGAATTGATACTCAGATAACGGACAATACTAGGCAAGAGACGTGTCGATTAGACAACTGACAATAATTAGTCTCCAGATGTGAGAGAATTAAACCTCTCAAGTCTAAACTAATTAATACAATTCAAGCTGCTAAATATTCTGCTTAAAAAAATGATTGTTCATTATTTAACTTAATACTAATATCGTCAGTTTTAAATAATCTTTTATTTATTAAATTCATTTATTGACTTATTAGCAATATTTTTTTATAGTTCTAATTAATTATTATCATTATAATAATTTGTTTAGAAATCATTCATTTTGGTATTCAATGTACAAATTGAAATAAATCTAGGCTTCAAGAACGTGATTGAGGTATGCAATGTAGCAGATAGCCAATCGAAGGATTTCAATTTTGGAGAGTTTCTTGTCGGGCGGAAGTGTCGGCAAGAGCTTTCTTAGTTCTGCAAATGCGAGGTTGAATGCTTCCACTCTTACTCTTTCCCTATTGTAAAGTATCTATTAGAATGATTTTTTTGTGAATAATTATTGATTTTTCAATTAATTGTTAATATTTAAAATCATTTAATTATATTGAAAATAATTTTAAAATTTATTTTTCCTGGAAAATCAATGAATTAAAATGAAAAAATGAACATAAATTGCTTTCTAATTTAAATAATAATTTTTTTTCAAATTACAGTAAAGAGTTGAATTGAGTAATTACCGAGTAGCATGAGCAGTTCGATACTTTTGAGTAGCTCTCCGACGCCGTCGGCGTTCCTCTCGTGAAAGAGAGCTTAATGAATTTGTAGAATTCATAACTCCATTTGATCCATTAAGGTTCATATTAATTGAATTCTCTCTTTCTCTATAAATAATTAAAATATAAAATTTAAACAAATATGAATGTTGAGATTTGTTCAATCGACTTTATTTCTACTCTCTAAAAATGAAGCAGTGAAAGAAATGAAATACACTGCAAAATCAGTGAATATAATACAACTGATTCAATCAATGGTTCCATTTACACTGCAAAATTAATGAATATTCACTGATTTTGCAGTATATTTCATTTTTTTCACTGTTTCATTTTTCGAGAGTAAGAACATTCGTTGATTTATTATAATATGATAAAATTTGTGAGTTTTAAATATTTTTACACACCTTCGAGTACGTGATTGAACACCTACATTACAGCATTTTGATATTGGATGCAATGCTTCTCTCTCCATCATGTATTAATGTTGCTAAAATTTCCCAAGAAGTTTACTTTTTCTTTCGTTATTTTAATTATTTTCTCATATTTATGCTTATTAATTTAATTCCAATTCTTTATTGTATTTTAATAATTTTTGTTGATGTGTTAAATAAATAATAAGTCATAGACCAACACTTTAACCTTCTGTTATTGTGTCAATAATATTTTTCACCCTTTCTATTTCCGTGTTTTGGCCATAATGTTTATTCTCTTGAGAGTCAAATAAATCCAAATAGTCAACAATCGAAAATAAAATTACAAAAAAAATATCTCTGATTTTTGCTATTTTTACCATTACAAGTAGATATAAGGGTATTTAGTCAGACGTCGAATAATGATAATGAATTTAGAGACTTCAATTTAGTCGAGTTTTTTGACAACAAAATATCAACAGAATCAAAATTCAAGCTTAATTTATATCTTTATATGTCGTGAGCTTGTAAAAAAATCATAAAAAATCAAAACATTCAACATATTGACATCGTTGGACAAGTCGTGTTATGTGTTATGCAAAGAACACTTAAAAATTTATATATACATAAGTATTACATATTTATTTTTCCAATTTCGATGTAAAACTGACTATTTGTATGGATTTAGAGAACACGTAAGAATAATCTCTTTAATAATTTCGAAGGATGAATTCCTTTACCCTCTTTTATGACATTACTTCTCGTCACATATATTTTGATATTATTCACAAAATATCAACTTTTATTGCATTTTTTTAATCTCTATTTGTTACTATTTAAACACAGTTTCCCGTTACAAAAAAATTTTTAACAATTTCAAGATAATAAATTTATACGAGTAGGCTAATGTAAATAATAACTTGCTAAATGTTTTGATTAAACAATCTTACAAATATAATAAACATTTTTCTGCACTAATAAAAGCAATCCTATTATTCAGTCTTTTATTTACTAATCTTGTAAACTATGTAAACTTCTTGAAGGCAAGAAATATCCGAATTTTCTAACGAGTATGATTCAGATAACTTCTTCAATTATTAAAATATTATGTATCTATATTTTTAAACAATTATAAAACTTACCAATCATTTGAATTCAACCATATTGATTTACCCTCTAGTTATCAAAACATTTATTAATAGTAAATTAACTAAAAATTTGAGCAGATAATAACAATGAGCATTTTTATAAAAAATAAAATTCTTCTAATGGTTTTTAACAAATTTTAAAACACTTGTCAACTGTAAAAGAGAACTTGTGTGAGATATCTGATAAGATTTCTATCCGTTCCGAGGGATGACACGGCACATCGCAGCATCCCTGCGTTGAGGTGGTTTCCACCCTTTATCAAGCCACACCCCAACTTCGTGATATTTTCTGGAATCCACCAATTGTGATTCAACTTGCTGATTTACCCATAACACGCCTACTGTTTCTATAATGCCGCCATTAAACAATCAGACAATTTATCCACTGATAAAAATATTTTCGATTATCAATCTTCTGACTTCTTTAAATTTCAACCGTGGAATCAGTCTCGTTGATTAACTGTAACAAAGAACGAAAAATAGTTGTCAATGTAATTGTGTCAAAATGTCGAGTAAATATTCTATTTGATAACATTTTATTAGTTAAAACTCATAAAAATAAATTTATGAATACAAAAACTCTTAATCAATTCCATTTTTGTTTAAAAATTAAATGATTATATCTTTAAACTGAATTCATACTTTAAAAATTGAATTTTATTAAAATGGTCATTGATAAAGAATACTATTATTTAATTTAAATTGAAAACAGCTAAGTAGAAATAGTTCTGGAATAAAATTATGATATCTTGATGTGATAAAATTAATTAATCATAAATAAACTGTTCAATTAATAAATATTTGTCAAACTCTGGTTTAATCATTAAGTATTATCAACAAAAAAATGGTAAAAAATAATATATTTAAACATACTGTTCAAAAACTAGGAAATTAGTTAAAAAAACATCAACCTCAATGAATTAATAAAAAAAAAACATTGGAATATGTCTTTAAAAAGCCGAAATTCTGTAACTTATGAATTACAGAATTTTTGGCTCTTCTGCACCTGATCCTCTCAGAAAATCCATACTCTTCAACTACTTCTTTCAACCATATCTGAGATTTTTTCATATTTTTTTTCGTTACCTTTTAAAAACATCAAACTTGTGAAGAATTATTGTGCACGATAAGAATGATTTTATTTCCCATGATGAGTTTTTACATGTTAAAAAGATGTTAGACAAGTATTAATCCATCGGTTTCGTAGTTTTTATTTATGGTTTGATCACTGTCTCCTGTGTGTATTGCATGTGCAGACAATGTGATAATTTTAGAACCGATGAGCGATGACAAATTGAGCTGTGGTGACAACACGTGTCGACACGTGTTTGCATATATTTAAAGTTTTGGATATATCTGTAGATTAGTGACTCCGATGATTGAAATTATGTGACTTCACGATTGATGTGTGCATCAAGAAATAATTGTGGGATAGAAACTTGTACACATATTTTTTGAATTAAACTTTTCATCATTACGTCAATGATATTTAATATAATAGTTATCTGATTATTCAAAGTTTTTCTTAACAATCAAAAATAGTTTGTTGTTATTTAATTGTTTATTTTCTACATGATACTTTTGTTTGTTGTAAATAATCAGTAGAGGTGTTAACCTTGATATATTTATAAATTCTTTAACATTCATCTCCAACAAAAATTTGTTTAATATCTTAAATAAGTTAATTTGAGGTTATATAGAGGATAGGTATCCAATAAAATTGAATATTATTTAACAATAAACTAAGAACAAACTCTCATAGCTCCAAATACATGTTCAATGTTGGAGTCCATCTCAATTATGACTGTTTTATCATCAAATGAGCAATCAAGCATTACAGTTTTTACTCTTTTCGATTGTAGTTGAAGAAATTCAGTTAATAAAACTGCACACCTGCTTATCTACCATCGTTTACAATAATTTATGAGGAAATAAAAAAAACAAGTGCATCAGTTGTTACATGTGTAGAAGCATAAAAGTGCACTTTGGACTTATGTTTGTGGTAGGCTGATCGATCGCATAGCTATATCCCTCGCTAACAGCTTTTTTACTGCTTTATTAATGTAATAAGCAATTAACACAAAAAAAATTTCGTTATTTTATTGGATTACTTGCCAGTTAAAAATCTAATTCAATTTGAATGACAAAAGCAAGAAGAATCATTATATAATCGAAATGAAACTTCGAATCTATTTTAGAAAAATGCATTTCTTCTTCCCGTCAATATTAAGGTGTGTATAAATGTTTACTTGACTATTTTTACTAAGGAAATTTGGCTAGGAAAATGACAGAGTGTGTTTTTGAGGTTGAAGGCCTCTGGCAAGTATCTCCAAGGTCTGAAGAGCAAAACTATTCCTCATCATAATGTGTGGGTGGTTTTACATAAGACAAAATGTATTTCATAAGTGCTAATGTTATATTCTGTAATAAAAATAATCACTGTTACAATCTTCTCTCACTTTTTTCCTATTTTACTCTAGACTTTGTCTTAGTTGAGCAATTTGTTGAGCAATTGCCAAATTTTTGCGGTAGCAACTAAAACCCATCCAATTAGTTGAATGTCTCATTTCCGTCATTTATTCAACAACTGAAAACAGTCATTAAAAAAATAATCAGATTTATCGTCAAGTGTTTAAACAATTGCTCTTTACTTTTTGTATTTATTTTTTTAAACTTTGTTATAACTTAACAATTGCTCTGAAAAAAAAAAATTTCACTGATCTACATTTTATTTTTTACAGGTAATTTTTATTTACATGTTTTGAAAAATCCAATAAGAGAGAATCCAGAAATTTATAAGAAAATAATCACATTATTGAGCTGTTGATAGAATAACTCTCAAGTTTTGAAATAGGATCAATAAGCTTGAAGTGTTTTTTTTAAATTAATAGGTGAATCTTTTAAGAGTTATTTACATAACACATCAATAAAAAGACTTGATGGAATGATGTTTAAAAAATAACAACAACAAATAGATATTTCTAACACAAATTCTTGAAAAATAATAAAAAATTAGAGAGTTGGTATGATGAAATTAATTTATTATTATTATTTTAATAAGAATTAAAAGTAAAATCAGTTATTGAATAAGAATAATTCAGTGACCTGATTAAAAGCTGCAAGAACTCAGTGACAATGATCAGAAAACATAGTAATGTTTAAAAGAAAAACAACAATAAAAGAGAATACTTAAAAATAAAAAACAAATAATAAATAATAATAGCATTGAAAGAGATATAAGAATAGAAAATCAATGAAGAAAATCAAGGTGTTAAAAACAAATTTAAAATAAATTGTTAGATAAACGAGGATCTTAAGTTGAAGATGTGCTGCAATTTCTACACTTGAAATCTTTACCGCGGTCCATGAATCTAGGGGTTGAGGGTTGGCAACCAGCTGCGCAGATTATTGGAGGGGATGGTGATGACATAAGCTAGAGCAACGGCGCACAACAGCTGATTTCGCAATAATATATACCTTATATACCACACTTACCTACACCATGTTTCCCATCATACCCTAGGTGCAGTTTTATCAACGCAAACCAATATGTATACCTACGTATTTCATGCTCGGTCAATCCTTTTATAGGAAAAATACTTGTAAAAAATGAACGGAATCAATCATGGCAATGATTAAGAATAATAACGACCCGACACAATTGACCGGAAATTGATGGACGAAATTCAATGAGTGTTTGAGAGAATAGTGGGAGTTGAAGGCCAGTGATTTAATATGTGGAAGGGCTGAATGGAAGGTAAATATGTGTGTGTAGGTATATGTATATAGAAGTAGAATCAGTACTTGGCGGGGGGCGCAAGAATAAGCTGGATGAGGAGAGGGAGAGGGTGGGTAGAACTGAAGAGAGGCAAGCGTCCGAGTAGTCGAAGCCAAACTCAGAGAACGCATTTGGTTTCCAACCCGTGTGCCTAGTTGACACGAATTGATACACACATATTAATGTTATAAATTTTCTTATCAGTTTTAATCCTTCTTATATCTTTGCTGGTGCTATTTAGTTATCACTTTTCACTTCTCTCAATTTTTTTTCATTTTACTGCAAGGGTAAGTGTTTTTTTTGTTTGTTATTATCATTATTTTATAACCGTTAGAATTAAGGCACATCTCCACCAATTATAATGGAATTTCATGTTACCATGTGATGAATGTTCCACTCAAGTTTTATGTTAGATCCAATATAGATTATGTTAGCAGTTTTTTGTTTCATGTAGGCTTGCTAAATCGATTTCAACTGTTTTGCTTCTTCAACGGTTTCTCAAACACTTCATTATCTAATTTAACTTTATATGCTTCATTTTATCCACATTTTAGGGTTATAATAACGTATTAGAAATCAATTTTAATGTTAAATCCTCTGTGATTTAGTTATGTTCGTTTTTAGAAATAATATTCTGAATTTTTCTTTTTATTTTCAAGGACGACAAGTTATTTTGATTGAGTTATACTGGTAAGCTATTTATTTGTTTTAACGGGTGACTTCATAAGGAATTTTTTCTTCAAATTTTAATGACGCGTGAAGCAAATGAAAATTAAAGAAAGTATTGGTTTGACGATTTCAAAATGGGTGCAGTCGTAATTACATAACTTGAGGCATAGCAGGGATGTGTTCACTACTAAAGTGGTGCTCTACCCTATCTACTTTTCATCAATCTAAAAATCATGTTTGAAAAATAAATGTTCTGTTTTGATTGTTGACAATTAGCTGGGAATATACACTCATAATTTACGATACAACCAGACAGTAAGTTACTAAAGCTATTTTGAGAACGAAAATAGAATAGAAGGAAATGTCTGGCAGACAGATTTTGAAGTGGAGAAAACTAGGGTAGATTTGAATCTCTTCAAAACTAAGTATAAGTTTATGTTTGAAAGTGATTTTCTCCATTAACATTTTATGATTGGTAGTCCTGTCATTAATAATCTATGATTTTTAAAATGTTTTTTATTTTTGATGTTTTTTTTCAGATATAAACTCAAGTGAAGTATTTTTTTTTTAGTAGCATTTCAGGCTACCATTTTTACAGAGATTTCTGATAAGATAAATTTTTTTTTATTTACTAAACTTTATTCAACTGATGATATGTAACTACTGGTGACCAATAATCATAAAAGATCAATGGAGAACAATAATGACTTTATAGCTGACATAATAAACAAATAATTATTTATGGGTAGTTGATTTTCTCATTGTGTCATAGAATGTTTCTACTAAAGTTTTATGAGAGCATAATAAAATTTAATGAAACTACATAAAATTTCTTAGAAGTTGAAATATTAAAATTAAAAAAAAAAGAAAAATTTAATATAATATTTATGTAAATAATAGCAAAACTCTTAATATCTATTGATAGATATTTAATTTGAATATAAAATAAAAGAGATAGAGAGAGACAGGTTTATTTATTAAAATGCTTTGGCAAATGAAATTAAACAAACAATAAAATGGATCATTTAACGTTTGCTTTAATATTAAATGAACAAAATAATAATAAATTTTTATAAATAAATTTGAACATTAATGATTTATTTTGACATCATTAGGTGTCTAAATTTGAAATAAAATAAACAATTAATTAAATATGAAACGTAGTAAAACAAACAAAATTAATAAATTTCAAGTATTATTTTAAATATTAATAATAAAAAATAATAATCTAAGATTTTTTCACAATAATAAGAAATTTTTATCATTCTCTTGTTCATAAAAATGTTTTATAATGAAAAAAAAACCTCGTATCGAATAACTGTGGTCATTATGTAATGGTAATATATGTTTCATTACCAAGATCATTCTGTTTGCTTGAAAAATTAAAAGAAACAATAAATAATCTCAAGAAATACCATATTATTTACCAATGACAAATGATACGATAAATTCGATCCGAGTATAATACCACCATTAGCATTTGTGATGAATAATCACAATGAAATCGATAAAGCCAATGTCAGTTTCAAAAATAAAAAAAATTGATGTGCAATGTAGTATGTAAAAGTAGTCAGTCTATAACAATAGTGCAACAACACTAGGATTAATATTCCGTGTTGAGGCAGCATTATTTGAACTTACTGTCTAAATCTGACTCTCAAAGGTTCTTCAAATGTTGTTACCATATAATATTTTGTAGTCTGTACAGTGAGCATACATTATACGACCGGTAATGTAAAACGGAAATTGATCATTGTGCTGCACCAGAAGTGTGTATGTGACCCAGCGAAATTTAACTCGCTACGTTCAGTTTCTTCCAGTGTTATTTGAGTTATGTACATTTGAGTGTTAGACTGAATAAAAATATATTGTAATATATTTTCAAATTTAAACTGAAAAAAAAAAAAAGAACCTCGCTTGCTATTCTCGGAACAAAGAACTCCATCGCGAACCCCCGGGAATTAGCTGTAGAGTCATTTACACATGTGCTCACAGACAACTTCCAAAAATAAATACATTCTGAACTCCTCACATTGCTGTAAATCTTTCGTAGACATTTGACAATAGATAATAAATTTTTTTTACTGATTACAGCTTTCATTAATTTTGTGGTCGCGTTTGAGAAATTATTGTTGACATGCCAACAGAAAGTTGATGAATTGTTGGAAATAAATTAAGGAATTTTTTTTTTTTTTTCTAAGAAATCTTCTGGGTCTCTTAACAATTATTTATGTAGTGGACTAGCATAATTATTTTTATAATAAGAAAGTTGAAAAGAAAATTAATGAGATTTTTCAAGTGAAATATACTAATTTATTTTAATTAATATTCTTGATTTTTAAAGTGATAATTATTTAAATATGCTAATCAATAAGATAATAAAGTGAAAAATATTCGATTAAAGTTAAATAACTATTCATAAATATTTCTTAACACATTTGTTCAAATTTCCGAAAATAAAAAGAGTTCGTTGAACTCTCGTTTTTTAATTTATTTTTAATAGAGTATTGATTTTAACTGAATAAACATTTCAGATAAATAATTAAATTAATAATATGCTTTGTGGTAATTGAACATTATGAATGACGTACTGTGTGAGACAATTACTGATCGATAATTAGAATAAACTTTTGAAAATGACGTCTCTAGTTCCCATAATAAAAATAGTATACAATGTCCCTGACATTATAAAGTTAACAGCGGTTATAGGATCATTTAATTGATCGTTTTAATATAATATATTAATACATATAAAGTACATTAATTGAATAGTGTTGTATAAAAATGAGTAAACCTTCAAAGGCATCAAGTTTATTTTAAAATTCAACTTATAGTTACATAAAAGAAGGAGAAGTTGTCATTTTTATGACCAGTTAATTTTGTTTTACATAAAGCAATATTTTTTATCTTTCTTTCCAAGAATAGGGATTTTTGTGTTACTTTCATTTTACTGTTGTTGTCATTCAAGTGTACATTTCAAATAATCTAATCTTATCAATTCGTCTCGATCGTTATCGTTATTGTTATAATCGCTCATATCGTTATCACCATCGTCTTGGCTGTTTAAATAATAGATAAATATTTTATAGATATTATTTAACTAAAGAAAACTCCAGAAGTATTCAAATTTATTGATTATTGATTCTCCAACAGATGGATCATCTTATTTGCATAATTTTAATTATTATTACAATTTAAATCTTTTTGAATATCAATTTCAAAATTAATTAGTGATTAAATTTCATTTAAAATTATTCATTTGAATACAGTTATTTAATATTTAATTTAATAATCAATGCTTATCAATGATAAAAATGTGTTTATATAAAAATAATTAATAGTATAAATGATAAATTAATTATTGAGTAATTAAAATTAGATCATGAGATATAAATTTTTTTTAAATAATGATATTTTTTATTAACAATCAAGCTGATACTGATAGATGAAGCTGGTTACAAAGTCTCTTATTTATCACAAATGTTTTTTTATCAATTGAAATTTGTAATTTTTTATGTATATATACATAATATCGAATCATGGAATTAAATAAAATGTAAATTTTATAACAATGCAAAAAAATCACGGGGAAAGCTCAATAAGCATGCGCACCAACTGAAATATATCTATATATTTTCATGGAACGAGTAAAAGCCTCGTACTATCGACCGTGTTCTGTTCAGGGTAGTTAATTGCATATCCCTTTCTAACCGGTAACTCTCACTCATATGTTTCAATTGAACCTCTCTATAATGAACTTCTCTGCAACACTAGTACCCGAAACCCCTTGACGAATAATTATTGCTAAATATTTACTACACTTTTAGATCAAATGATAGCATGAAAAGTCCTAGAATCGTGCGATTTTTATCAGTATTTTTATTACCAAAGCGTACAAGGGGGTCCTGTTCGCGGAACGAGAGTAAAAAAAAGTGTGTAAGTTTCTTATAGAAGGCGCTTGCAGTCTCGATTCGTTGGTTGTAAAGAGGAAGGGAGAGAGTAGTACTACCCCGACAGGAGGGTGTCCTCGTAGCCGGCGTTGCGTGCCCCACCCTACTCCTAGGGAACTCGGGGCGTTGTGTTGCTAGCTAGAGAGAAGCTCACGAGCAAGTGAGAGAGAAAAAGAGTGAGATCCAAGAATCATCCACGCAGGATGCCCACGGGTTTCTGCTTAGTGATAGCGTAGATACTGTAGTGTTTACATCACCTTATTTATAATCATATAAACCATTGTTAAATAAATCCATCTCTCATCAACATTGTGACAAAGTCATTGTATTTTTAACACATGACTGAAAAAAAGTTCAAAGTACACTCATAGATCGACTACGAATTAAAGAATAACACGGGTTCATATTACTTTTGTGGGTTCAAAGAAATATTTGCAGTTATTTTTGACAAAATGTGCACTATTTGAAAGTATTTACATACTATTGCGATTAAATTTACATGTGAAATATTGTAATATAATTAGCAATAATTATTTTTGAAGTGTCTGTGAGATAATTGTATTAATAACCTTCTTTTTAATAAATAAAATCTTTTTTATTAATCCAACAGCGAAGATAACGAAATAAAATTAAGTGTAGTGTAGTTTAAGAATAAAAACGCTGTTAAATATTGCACTGAAACAGTGTGACTTTAAAGAAAATCCACTAGTCACCACACCCTGTTGAACACACTCATTTCCTATCAGATATATCTATATACTAATGTGGGACCACGGATTATTCAAAAGTTAGCGTAATATTTGTTAAAAATTACGTCCATTGTCTTGATAATCTTTTTTAACTGCAAATATTTTTGAAAATTTTTGACATTTCATACTGAAAGATTTTTTATAAAAAAAAAAAAAAACTACTAATTTAGTGAATCTAGAATTATTGTGAATTTTTTTTATCAATCATGGGTGGGTGTACGTCCAAGGATACAGCTTCAGGTGACGAGTATGTATCACTTAATACATTTACACACCCTTCATTATCTTTTGATGCAATATAAGCACTTTATCTATCGTCTTTAGTCATGAGATAAGATTTATTGACATGTCTCAAGCATCTTAATTGAAATAAGAATACTAAAAGAAACGGAACAATTATGCATATGATAAGATTTTTAGGAATTGTTTGACAAGAAATATTTTATTAAATAAAATAAATGATTTTTGATGAAATATAACATCATTAATATTAATGAAATGATGAATTTTTTTATTGAAAATTGGAATAAATTTCGACATTGAATAATTTGAAATAAAAATAATATATTCTTTGTCCAGTACTAAAATTATTATCGCGAAAAAAATGAGTATCGATTGTCATGAAACTGAATAATTTAACTAAGGGTATACAATGAAGGTTATATGAAAAATAAATCAAGGCTAAAAGTAGTAATAAGTAACAAAAGTGTAGAATTATTAATAAATCATGTCTTCTAAATCCAAAAAATTACCTTGCAATTGCAGTAAAAAGGACAAGATGGTTGATCAAGCAGTATTGGATAAATTGGAAGCTGGATTTGCAAAGCTTTCAAGCTCTGATAGCAAATCCCTGTTGAAGAAGTACCTTACTAAGGAGGTATTCGATGCCCTAAAAACAAAGAAAACATCATTTGGCTCAACCTTGTTGGATGTCATCCAATCTGGTGTTGAAAATTTGGATTCTGGTGTTGGTATCTATGCTCCTGATGCTGAGGCTTACACTGTGTTCGCTGACCTCTTCGATCCAATCATCGATGACTATCACAAGGGATTCAAAAAGACTGATAAACATCCACCAAAAGATTTCGGTGATGCCGATACCCTTGGAAATCTTGATCCCACTGTAAGTTGGTTTTTTTTTGTCATTATGTAAATATACCTTTTTTTATTCCAAATAATTTCAACTAATTGGTTCAATGATGGTAACAACTAGAGAAATCATAAAAATAAAAAATGAGTTTATTATTCTTTGTGGTAGGCTTTATGCTAATTTTTATTGATATTGACTTATTCCACGACCATTTCAACAGGCAAAATCGATTTTCATGGCTCCTCTGAATAAATATAAAGTGGTTGAAACTGATATGTTAATAAATCACTAAAATAATTACTCTGTAAAATAAAACAAATATTTGTTTGCAATATACTTAAAGAGATTAATTTTATTTATTTAAACAATTAAAAATACTCAAGACATTGATATTGGAAATAATACTAAGATTTACTGTTAATTATAATTTGATCATCAACGTAATTGTAGTATTAAGTTATTGCAATTAATTATTAATACTCAATTAATTAACTACAGGGTGAATACATTGTCTCAACTCGTGTTCGATGTGGACGTTCTTTGGAAGGATACCCCTTCAATCCTTGTTTAACGGAAGCTCAATACAAGGAAATGGAAGAGAAAGTTTCCAGTACCCTATCAGGACTTGAGGGTGAACTTAAGGGAACCTTCTACCCATTGACTGGAATGAGCAAGGAAGTCCAGCAGAAACTTATTGATGATCACTTCCTCTTTAAAGAAGGTGATCGTTTCCTTCAAGCTGCTAATGCCTGCCGATTCTGGCCAACTGGTCGTGGTATTTTCCACAATGATGCCAAGACATTCCTTGTCTGGTGCAACGAAGAGGACCATTTGCGTATCATTTCTATGCAGATGGGTGGTGATCTTGGACAGGTTAGTATTTATAATATGTTTAATCGTTGAAAAGTAGAATAAACAATATAAGTTAATAATAAATTATTGATAAGTCAGTCGAATTTCATCGTTTAAAAAATTAGTTTAGAAACTAGAACAGTAATGCAATTTATTTAAAAAATTTTTTTGCCAAGTAGAAATGCATTAAATATTATTACTTCGAATACAACATGTAAGGCACGAAGTAATTGTTGATTGCTACAAAATAATAGGTTTGATGAGTTTTACAGATAAAGTTATAAATGATTCTCTTGATGATAATAAAAATAAAAAGCTTCTACACTATTATCTAATGCATTACTTCATTTGTTGTTCCATTCTGGCTGCAAGAAATTTCGAGAATAGAAGTTTTTTATTTTTTGAATTACTATGACCATTTTTAATCTGAATATAATAATCATAAATAATAAATAAGTACTTATATCACTAGATAATAATAAAATATTAAATAAATTATTACTTCGATTTTAATACAAATAAATAAATAATGAAATGTCTTTTTAGGTTTACCGCCGTCTAGTAACTGCTGTTAACGAAATCGAAAAACGACTACCCTTCTCTCATAATGAGCGTTTTGGCTTCCTCACTTTCTGCCCCACGAATCTTGGAACAACTATTCGTGCTTCGGTACACATTAAATTACCCAAATTAGCTGCCAACAAATCCAAGCTTGAAGAAGTTGCTTCTCAATATAATCTCCAAGTTCGTGGTACTCGTGGAGAACACACTGAAGCTGAGGGTGGTATTTATGATATCTCAAACAAACGACGACTTGGTCTTACTGAGTATCAAGCAGTCAAGGAAATGAATGATGGAATTGCTGAATTGATAAAAATGGAGAAAGAGCTGTAAAGTGCTTTTTATTGTCATATTGTTTTTTCTCTTTGTCAACATAATAGAGTCGCGCAGTTTAAATGTTTGAAATAATTGAAGTATTTAAAGTATTATCCTGTCAAAAATAAAAAGCAAATAATCCAATAAAAAGTGAAAATTCCCATTTCCCCAGTGAATTAAAAAAAAAAAAACAAAACGTTAAATAATTAATTGTCGTGCGACTACTTGTGCGATTCATTATCAGTCAAGTTGTATAGAGGCTGAAAAAAAAAAAAAATTAAAAAAAATTCAATAAAAAAATGTTAAATCAAATTATTTAGTTTTAGATTTCATGCTTATAAAATATTTTTGAATGCTTCACGCACAATAGACATTGGCAAAAAATCGTTCAGACACAGTAATGTCTTTAAAATTTACAATTTTTTATTTAACAAAAAATATTTTCAATAAATTGCAGAAAAGTATTAACGTTTATTACTGTTATTGATTGAAATAAATTAATAATTAATAATCAGTTGAAAGTAAAACTAATAAAAATATATTTCGTTGTATTTTCTAACTAAAATAAACCAAAGCTTCTGCAAATATGTATAAATAAGCAGTTGATTTATTTTTGTTATTATTATTATTATTTAATTAACATAAATAATGCACTGTTAATTCATTGACGGTTCTTTGCTGTTTATTAGTTGCTTGCAGATCTATTTCTGATCAATCTGTTTAATTGATTAACTAATACATTAATATGTATTAATATAGTATGAATATTATATTAATATATTATTAAAGCATTAATACTTAATTCAGATAGATAAATACCATTATTATTTCAATTGTCTGTGTGCCATCATCAACTAAATGTTTGGTGTGATACCTAGCTGCTTGCATTAACTATTAGAACTAAGAAAATAAAAAATAGTATAAAAATTAAAAAAAAAAACTATCAAATGTTTGAATTTTCTTTTTCATCGAGATAATTACTAATGCAGTATTAAATGTTATTAGTTTCAGAAAGTATTAAAAATTATTTTTGTTCTTTATGTGAACTTGAATGGAATAGCAGGACAAAGTTACTGATGTACCAGAATACAACTCGAGATCACAAATAAAGTAAAAATTACACTAAAACGTATAAAAATTTATTTATTATAAATAATTATAGATATTTCTAGTCAATTTATTTTTGCATGTTTAGATAGCTTATCAGATATTCCATCCTGTAGTTATAAATATACTAGAATTCTTTTATTCTCTCGTGTAGGCATCCTACATTGTTTATTACTAGACAGTAATAATTATTTGGATTTTTAAAGTCAGAATTAACATTTATTTCTATTATTATGAAAATTCAATTTTATTACGAGAAGTATAAAAAAATTCATGAATTGTTCATCACATTAAATTATAACTCGAAGTACATTTATTATCATAAAGACGTTCTTTTACATGGTGTAGGGTATTGCAACTCTGGTAGATATATCATATTCAACAGAAGCAAGCCACCTGTGAAAGTAAAAAAAATTTACATTAATACGTATGAATTATTAAAGTATTATTATTTGATTTATGATAAAGTCTATGTCATTCAAGTGATCTGATAATTTAATTATTGTATAATTTTAGCCCAGTAATAGAAAAAAAAAAGAAGTATGATTTTTTAATAGACAATTTTGCTTATAGAATTGATAGATATTTGTATTTCTTGTGGAGGAAATTGAAAAGAATAATTTTTTAATCACTTAAATCATCTCCAACTAGTACATATCTGATTTGGTATCAGAATATTGAATTGATATAATCAATTAATCAATATCAACATCAAAATGTGATTTCTGGATACTTCAGGAGAGATTGAAAAAATAAAATAAATTTAATTATTGAATGTAAAGTTCTATTTTAATATTGATAATAGAAATAATCAATTATAATTTAGATAAAAAATGATTACTTTAAAGAGTTTAAAAAATTTAAACACTGTTTCTAAAAGTTTTTATCAATTTTTTTAATTGCATACAATACACTGATAATTTTAAATCCGAAACAAAGGTTTCAAATGAGTTAATTGAAAACAATGACTGGTTAAAAAATAATAATGACTGATAATAATCATTTCTCCTGGAAAAAAGTAATCTATGATAATGAAATACACACCTTTTTTCTTCATCAGTGAGAAATCTCTTATACCCTTTTTTTCTTCTGTATTTTTTTGTTAATTCTTGTAACAATTCATTGATACGTCGTTTAATCCATTGAACTTTAAATTTCCAAGAAACTTGAAAATATTCTGATTCCATAATTACATGTATAATTGATTCTGGTCGTGATGAACAGTTCTATTACTCTGTAACACTGCTTTCACTCCAACCGTTGTACATTCTTCTTTATTAATACGATTGAGATTACTGCTATTACTCATTATTATTCATAATAGTCTTATTAAACTTGAGGTTGTCACAAGCAACATGTCGACACTATCAAATGTTTCTGATTTAATGTGAACTGTAATTGGTTATCTTTGACCTGTTCCCACTTCTTATTCTCATCCTTCATCAATTTACATTTTAATTAGATAAAAAATTTTTATTCAACTAAAAAAATTTATTCATAATTGTCTTATTCATTTAGGAATTTTTGCACAGAAAATAAATAAACAATGCTTCTATGTTCTCCACAACACATCATCTCCAATGAATTGAGAGTTGTACTAAAGAGATATCACTTTTCGTCGTAATATTCATACATACACACTCAATAATATATGATAATTTATTGAAGAAGAATAAAAAAAAAAATATTAAGAAACCTCATGACAAGACTCATACCACTGACAATAGCTTAAGTTGAAGTAAAGAAAGTATTTAATAGTACATATCTATATTGACTTAAAAATGATAAGATGATAAAGTCAAGCTGCTTTAATAGTTTATATATTCAATGTTTACATATTTTATCTTACTGATTGGTAGATAGGTATATAAATGAGTATTTCATTTAATTTATGAATAAATGATTGGGTAAGTTTGGGAGTGACGGAAAATTTAGAAAATTTCTATGACAATGAATCTTATTATTAGTATTCGAATATTTTTCAATAACAAAGAAACCTTCTTTCAATAGTTTTTGTTACAAGCTAGGACGAATCTATTTGGTATATCAACTTAAAAAAACCATGTTCTATTGACATTTTTATGAATAATGTACTGCTTTTTTTATCACGGATAGAGTTAGACTTATTTTTCACTAAAATCAGGAGAAAAATGTTTACTTTCAATGGGGATGAGAAACAAACAATGATTTAGTAAATTAATATCTAAATCTTGATTACCTGAAAGATGAACAAATATTAATCATAATATAGCTAACCTAATTTTCATATTTTTAATCATCATCAATACTCTCAAAAAGAATATGTAGGCTCCAGGACCATTGATTATATTTGCAATTGCGTGTATGCCATAGAAAAAATATTAGGTTATCTCATAAGTTCTTGTCACTTTTGATTGTTAGTCGAAAATTTTTTGGACTCCCAGTCTCCTTCATTTTGGAAGAAGGGTATTGAAACTTTGCTCAGTAGGTGGCTGACTGTAGTTGATAATGAGAGAGATTACATAATTTATTAAATGCATCTTGATTAACAAAAAAATGATAAATACTAAATTGCCTTTGACTGCCAAAGATCTATGGGACAATCCAAAATTTGGGTGTTGAGATGCTGAATTACTTCTGCAAATTTGACTCTATAGGTTCTAATAGCTTCTAGCAGAATTTAAGATAGGTGTAGACTTTGGAAAAGGATGATTTCAAGTTCTTACATGAAAGATGTACCAGTTGTCACAATAGAGTTCCATGCTTTTGAATCATAAGCTGTTCCACCTTCTCGCCAAGATTTGAACTCTTCAAGTTCCACACATTCAATGCTCTAGGGTTGACTCACTCCGGTAAAAAATCGGTTAACGATTCAAGGGATGTGGATTAAAAGATCATTTGTAAAAGTTTTTTGTTTAAGTTAGCCAGCTTCAGAAATAAGAATACTTTTTATTTTAATATTCTTTTTAATCAACCAAAAGAAAACTCTTCTAGAAAAATTAAATTTAAACACATTTTTTATTTCTCACTTACTTGATTTTTAATAAATACAAAAAAATATTAAATCATTGTTGATAATTTTCCGTTTGCTTAAAAAATTATTTTGAAACTTTAGACAAAACTTCTGTGTTTTTCTAGTTTTAATAAATATGATGCATAAAATTTTTTAAAATGATGACAAAATGTATAAACTCTTAAACTGAAAGAAAACCACTTCTTTCACATGACAATAGCATGAAGGGAAGGAGTTTTCTTTGAAGTTCTCTATTGTAAAGAATTTCCGCAATACTCCCCCTTGTGGTTTACACCAGGTGCACTACTTCAATCAATTCTTCCTTAGTAATTTTTGTCCAACTTGTAAGCACAAATTACAAACATCAATATCGATCAGATATCAATGAAAAACTGTCGTTTTCATACTTACAAATTACATGAAAAAATTGTCTCAAGTCTTTGAAGTCTTTGATCTAATTGTATTAAAGAAAGTAACGTTGATAATACAACTGGTAGATTTTTTCTTCCTGGAGCTCTTTGATTTTTAATGCTGATGGAAGTACAAAGTTCTATCAATCATCATATCGCCATAAAAACTACACGCTTTTTTATGCGAATGATGGGGATGTGGTATGTTGAAACACGTGGTGATAAAATTCGTGCTAATATCAGTCTCACTCTTGTCATTCTCCTAATGACAACTGTTTTAATTGCGCAATCTATGGATTTTTATTATCGTCTATCTGATTTCGAAGTGAGAAAAAACTATTTTCAAATAAAATTAATTATTTAAATTTTTAATGAATAATTTCCCTGCCAAGGAACTGACAACAGCAATGCCCGCTATTGCAGTTGGTCTATCAGAGTGCTTCAAGTTCTGTCTTTCTTTGTACCAACGTGAAAGAATCATCAATTTAAATATTTACACTGAAATCAATTTCTGGAAAGTTAAATACAATACTCACGATTTGGCAATTTTAAATGATTGCAATCGAAAAATAATTTCTTTATATCCATTATATATTATAATATTATACGTTGTACCTATTCAGTACATGACAATGCCATTAAAAGGTAATATTTATTCATCATATTTTTTAAAAAACTAATCGCAAAAAATCGTTCAGACACAGTAATGTCTTTAAAATTTACAATTTTTTTATTTAACAAAAAATATTTTCAATAAATTGCAGAAAAGTATTAACGTTTATTGCTGTTATTGATTGAAATAAATTAATAATTAATAATCAGTTGAAAGTAAAACTAATAAAAATATATTTCGTTGTATTTTCTAACTAAAATAAACCAAAGCTTCTGCAAATATGTATAAATAAGCAGTTGATTTATTTTTGTTATTATTATTATTATTATTTAATTAACATAAATAATGCACTGTTAATTCATTGATGGTTCTTTGCTGTTTATTAGTTGCTTGCAGATATATTTCTGATCAATCTGTTTAATTGATTAACTAATACATTAATATGTATTAATATAGTATGAATATTATATTAATATATTATTAAAGCATTAATACTTAATTCAGATAGATAAATACCATTATTATTTCAATTGTCTGTGTGCCATCATCAACTAAATGTTTGGTGTGATACCTAGCTGCTTGCATTAACTATTAGAACTAAGAAAATAAAAAATAGTATAAAAATTAAAAAAAAAACTATCAAATGTTTAAATTTTCTTCAGAAAAATTTTTTTCAGAATATTTTCTTTCAAATGGGACTATCAGAACGCTACCATTTACATTATACTTTGGTGTAGAATGGTCAAAAACTCCTGTTTATCAAATAGCTTATGTTGAAGAGGTAATCAATAATAATACTTATTAACTTCGATAATAATTGTTGACAAACTAATACTGAAAATATGAAGATCGATTATAAATACATCAGATTTTAGCAGCGTATGGAGTATCATTGTGTGCTATGACAAGTGCCAGTTTCCTTTTCACCATAAATATTTACGCTGCAGGTCAATTTAAAATACTCCAAGATCAATTCAGTTCATTATGTGAATATTCATATTTCAATAATCCATCAATGGTAGATTTTAAATTAAACAAATGTATCCGAAAACATCAAATTTTGTTGGATTACGTTGGAGAAATAGAAAATCTTTATAATAAAGTTATATTATGTCAAGCTATGGGTACAGTGATATCATTATGTTTCAGTGGTTTTGGAGTAGTAATGGTGAGCAGATCATTAAATATGATATTGCATTTAATTAATTTTCTTTTCTATTGTAGAATTTTCGAAAAAGTATGCAACGAACTATTTTAAATATTCAATTTGTAGTTGGTAGTATTATTCAATTACTACTTTTTAGTTTATCATGTCATACTATTATAGAGGAAAGCGATGCAATAGGTAAAGCAACGTATGATGCTCTCTGGTATAATATTTCGAATAGTTCGAAAAAAAATGGTATCTGTAGATCACTCCAAATTATTATGATTCGAACTACTAGACCTTGTGTAATAACAGTTGGGAAGTTCTCTCCGATGTCATTGAACACATTTGCTGGGGTATAAATATAGATCTATATTTTTATTTCAAAGTTATGATGAAAATGTTTTTCCTCATAATAATAATCATTTGATATTACAGATAAATATTTCGAAATATTACCAATATGATATATTAAAATATTTTCATTTTAGGTATTGAAGACTGCAATGTCTTACTTTACTGTTCTTCAAACGGTCAATGATAGTGAATAGTATTCACTACATCTAAATAATGATTTAATAAATTAAATATTTACTCCAAATATTGTTAGAATGATGAATTGAATCAATAGATAATCATTAGTTTACAGTAATTGGGTAAGTATTCTACAGACTGTGTGTGATAACTTGAAAAGATGACAAATTCTTATGATACTGATAATAAAAAGAAACACTTTTATTTTCTTCAATTGATCTGCTTTTATTTTTAAAAGTCAAAAACAAATAACAGTTAGAACACATCTTGGCTGACTGCTCTATTTTTTTTTATCTATTATTATTACTCATCACGTCATTGTTACCTATATATCTTTGACACACAATATAATACTTAAATTTCGAAATTTTCTCCAAGTTGACTTAAACATTTCATCTATTCAAATTCTTTCTCATATTTTCAAACCAGACTTATTTTCTCATTTAGAAAGAATTTTTATTAAATTAATATCTATTGATAATATTACTAATACTCACGAACTTCATTTAATTACTTTTCGTTTTTAATAAGTAAAATGTTCAAAATATTCATTCAGCAGTCCTTTGTATTCACAAATTTCATAACATGGATAATAAGCGTTTTCACAAAGCGTAACTAATAACTCTAGTAACAGAGGAATGTATGAAGGATCAGTAAGCATTAATTCTGGAACCATAGTTGGTGATTGTCCTTGGAAATGTTTACAAAATTTCGCAAACTTTTTCCTTATTTTATATTTTATTTGATTAGGCAATGGCTGCTCCTATAAGAATGAGTTTAAAATTATCATAATGAAACAGTATATTATTAACAGAATTAATTACCATGAAAGATGGCCATTGCGAGTGTGGACCCCAATATTCTTGGCAAGCATGACATTCACAAAGAAAGTTATATCGATCTTCATGAATTTTTTGTCGATAACTCGTAGGACATTCTTCATATCTATTCATGTAGTTAACAAATATTTGTTCACCTTTTTTAATTATCTGGAGGCTACGAATGCCCATAATGTCTCCAGCATGAACCATGCATGCATTTGGATCACAGCTATGATTGAAAAAGCTCGTTAAACATGAAAGTTGAATTCCACGATTATAAAAATCTCGTTTATTTGAAAGATTTGCCTAGAAAAGATGATTTCAATTTTAATTATCATTTAAAATAAGCACGAAAAAATTCTATCATTAACGGATTATTTAAATAATTTAAAAAGAAACATTTAACTTGAACTAACAATATCATAACAATTCATCTCTGCAATATCCATATTTCTGATCAATAATTCTCCGATGAAAAGAGCTGATTCATTATCTGCAAGATCACTCATAGTTTTAATTTCTTCTCCAAGAATTTTAGTAGATTTTATCAATGCAAAAAGCATCTTTGTACATCTAATTAAATTTTCAACATAATAGCGAGTTTTACATTTGAAAGGAAAACTTCTGGTGAGTGTGTACACATTTTCATATTTCGTTCCATCCATTTTTCCTTCAATAAATCCTTTCAGCAAAGGATCTACAACAGGTATGGAAAAAAATTATGAATAAATTGAAAACATTCTATGCTAGAAACTTAATTTTTTTTTAACAACATTCCTTTTTATTTATTAAGGATTAAATTCAGTACCTGAAACTGCATCAACTGTTTTCAAATTATCTTTAAGAACTTCAATGGACTCTGCTCCTTTTAAAGCTTTGATAGTCAACTTCATACCCATTAACTCTGTATCAGCGAGTCTATTTAGAGACATGAAAGTAAGAAATGGACATTCAAGCTCGTGGTAATTATTCCAAGCTTCATCACGACAGCGTTCATCACAGTATATAACATTGACACAATGTTCACAAGGAACACCAGCCCACGCTCGCTTTGAACAATTCCAGCAGTAAGTATAAAGAAACTGATTAGAAGGTGCTATAGCATAAGCTCTTTGTCTGACTAAAATTTCAGAGGGTTTGATATCTCTTGCAGCAACAAAGTGTCGACCGAATTGCTTTGAATATTTAAGTTCAATAGCATTTGAGGCATCAGAGTAAATTTCATGAGGATTAAGTATATGTGGTACAATATGACTATTATCAGGCTTTTCATAAGGTTTAGGAAAAATCTTTCGTTCACTCAATTCTTGTAGTCTATCTTCCAGAAGGTTCTTGTTATAATCATCATCAGTTTCTTCCATCCAACGATGAGCTGCAGTAGCAACTTCTTCGATTTCTGGACGATTACGTATGTCTAGGGTTAATAAATTTCTTATTTGCCGTATGTATAATCTAGCTTTTAGATCTTCGGAGTAATCAGCCTGTAATACTCGATCGATATCCTTTGATGAATCTTTGAATAATCGTGCATTACTCAGTATTGCAGATCGGTAGCTATAAGCTTCACATAATTCAGGTGAATCACTTGGAGCATATGCTATGGCTTCAGAATATAGCTTCAGAATATCATCTATCATAAATGGATAAGCATCATATAATTTATTTCCTGCACTTATTTTTTCTCGAGCATGTTGTTGGCATTTTTGACGAATTTTCAATTCTACTAAAAAATTTTTTGTACTTAAATTTTGTAAAATAAATTTTATAGCTTCTTTTTCACTGTTTTCTGATTCAGGGTCAATAATATTTTGCATTACATATTGAACAATCTCATCTACTGGCATCGTTTTTTCTATTTCCTCTATTTCTTCTATTTCTTCTACATCTTCCATTTCTGTAATACCATTAGATGATTTTTTTATTCTGGTAAATTTTAAAATGTGATAAAGTGTATTAATCTTAAAAATTGAAAATCAATAATGTTACCTGTATTTTCTTCAGATTCCGTTTGTTCCATTTTTAATCACTAGAATATCAAATATTAAGACTTCTTTGCACTCAACTTGTCTTGACTTAATTTCACCTTTTTACATAAAACACACAATATCTAGTCAATATTTGCTTATTAAATAATAATAACATTTTATGCAACTTTCACTGTACTCACTTTACTTAACTGTTACTTGATGTAATGTGATTTTTAATCACAAATAAATCGCAATTACAAATAATGATAAGAAAAAAAATTTTAGAAGCTCTTCAATCTCTAACTTATTAAAACGTGATGAGGAATAAACGTAGAATAAACGATTAATCAATCATCATAAGAACCTTACTTGAACTTCAAATTAAAAATCGACTATTAATTATAGCCATTGGTTAATTAGTTGATGAAAGAGGTTTTTTGTCCCACTACTCACCTATTGTGCTTAGCTAAGTTCCTCCTACCACTATAAAGAGCTATTAAACTTGAAGACGACTCACATGACTGAGGTAAATGTACCAATTGATGACCCTGATCTTATTACTAGCTATTAAAAACAACACGGAAATTTCCCTGATAATGACCACGATTATGATTAATTATAGAACCACATACAAGGTCAATAACATATTGATGATCATAAATTTTTACAATTATAATACAATTTTTGAAATTTTTACAAATCATAATGTAAAAGCGAATTGCAATGTATTGTGAAACTAATTAATTTTAATGCATTAATATAATCGATAGCATATAACTTTTTGATAGACTAGGCAACATTTAAAATAGATCAGTATCTGATTACGTTGCAAATTCTTCACTACATTAATTTTATATCAAATTACTGATGTTCTTTATACATATATTTATTTAAATACACACGGTGGTGTAATTTTAAAGCTAAAAATAATTATCGAGTTGATGAATAAATGAAATAGGCTCATTATCCACAGCATTTTTAAATATTTAATTTTCGAATATTATTTAATCACAGCATTTTTTAAAGCTTTTTTTCGTGCTCTGTATTCTCTACTACGCTCTGCTGACGTTTTAGCAGTTTTTAATTTTTTTTTCAATACTGTCACATTATTTTGATTGATAGATTGTCCTTGCACATCTACTTGAACAATAGTTGATTGATGATCATTGCCAATTTGCTTGCTATCAGGGTTTTTTTGATGTGTGAGATACTTATAAAGTATAAGATGATTATTTTCACGCGTAACATCTTCATCATCTGTGATACTTTGTTGAGATGATTCTTGATTTATAATACACATATTATTCTTCTTTAAAACACTAGCTGAACATCCTGACTTTAAATGTTGATTGGTAGTATTTGTCAAAGCCTTTTTTCGTGCTCTGTATTCTCGGCTTCGTTCTGCTGGTGTTTTAGCCATTGTTACATCTATGAAATAGCAGAATAAATGTATAATTCAGTATTATGTTATTTCTGTATTTTTTAATATTTATATTTACAATGTCTAGTTGTTGGAGTATTTCTACTTTCATCAATCAAAGTGATAAATGATGATAGTTCACCATGGTAAGTGCATTCAGTGATAAAGCCGGTAACCTAAAATGAAAACATTCATTGATAGTTCAAATAATTAAAGTAACTTATTATTATTATTTCTTTAGTATAATAATTTAATTAATAATAGAGATATTATACTCAATCTTTTTAATAACGTGGCAATAGGAAATTTGAAGTAACATGTATAAATATCACAATATACAATCTTGTATTCTCTAGTATCATAAATATCTATATCATCTTCAGCTATTTTCATACAATATCCAAAGATTGGACACCAATAAATAATTTCTATGGTTTTATCATAGTACAATAAATAACAAGCTTATCTGATTGTAAACAAATAAATAATACCAGCAGATTAATTGGTAAACTTTTTTTTTATCCTCTATTTTCTTTCTAATTGAGTTTGCACACGCGCAGTTCACGTTCAAGACAGTTCATTGCCCACATGTCGACTTACCTGATCAGCTGAGAGTGACGTATACGACAAAAATTGACATTTATTAAAAAATTTATCTATAAAAATTCGAAATTTTTAGTGACAAGTACTTTTTATCAGAAAAATTGTGTATTGGAAAAATTTACTCACCAATAATTCTACAGTTAGGAGCAACTAACCTCAAATTTTACAACTCATCAATTGTATAATTGTAATCAGAGCATATTATGTAATGTTCTTGTTAAAAATGTTACATATTTCGATAAGATATAAATCATCTATTAATTTTATATGATAAATCGACTAAGGAACGATGGGATTGCAGTGGAAATTAAGTAAGCTTACGTGTATAACTGCTTAACATTATTAGACTGTTCTAATTGAAAATATTTATTTTTTAGTTGAGTCTACTCCATCATCTACATTGTTATTTAAAAAAAAGAAACTATGGATTGGAATAATATTAACAAACAATTATTTCCAACGATAAAAGCAACAGATGGATGTGAAAATGATATTGAATTGAAAAAAAATAGTTCCATTGTTTCGATATATCAAATTACATCTGATGATTACAAGGAATTCTTGTGTGGATGGGGTGCTGCAGTTATAAACGTAACAGTGACTTATCCAATAAATAAAATAATTTTCAGACAAATTTTAGAAGGTGTAAAAGTGAATGCTGCTGTAAAACAATTATCAGAAGAAGGAATAAGACTGTTATATAGAGGAATATTGCCTCCACTTTGTCAAAAAACACTGTCCTTGAGTATTATGTTCAGTGTTTATGAAGGAAGTAGATCAAGATTGAATTTATTCACAAAAAATGAAATTCTATCACAAGTATTAGCTGCTAATATTGCTGGAACTGTTGAAGCAGTTTTGACTCCATTAGAAAGAGTTCAGACTCTTCTTCAAGATTGGAGATATCACAATAAGTTCAAAAATACATCCCATGCTTTTAAACATATTTTAACAACGCATGGAATTCAGGAATGTTATCGTGGATTAACACCAATTATTATAAGAAATGGTTTGTCGAATGTAACATTCTTCATGTTAAGAGATGAATCAACAAAAGTGATAGGACGAGAACAAACTTTATTTACGAATTTCATTTGTGGTGCAGTAATTGGTGGATTTACGAGTACCATCTTTTATCCAATGAATATAATAAAAATTCACATGCAAAATAAAATAGGAGGAGAGTTTGATAAAATGTCTGTTGCTTTAAAAGATGTGTGGATAGCAAGAGACCGAAATATTCGAAACTTTTATCAAGGTGTGCATTTAAATTACATAAGATCCTTCGTTAGTTGGGGAGTAATTAATGCGTCATACTATTGTTTAAAGTCCATTATTTTTTGATAAAAACCGAATTTATTAATAATTTTTAGTGAATAAATTCAATTATTCAATTAGATAAATTCAATTTAAATAAACGTTATTTCTGTGGATGTTTTACAGAGATTGATATTTTTAATAGGTCAAGTAATTATTTATTAATTTATTGAAAATTTACATTAGTAAAATTCATTGATTTTTATACAAAATAATAATGAAATAAATTACATAAATCGAATGAATTATTTTAAGTAAAATTGTGAAATACTTTTTTTTAAATATAATTATAGCAATTTGGAATCCTGTGTAATAGTAATTAGTATAATTGTTTATTAATATTGTTAAAGATAAACAAGAATATTTTAAATAGTGATAATAATTGTGAATATTCAAATAATTGCTGAATGAAAATCTCATTTATGATAAAATAATTTTGGCTCCAGTACATAATGACTTTATTTGTACTGGCAAACAAATATAAATATTGCAGAATATAAATCATTCAATGGTGTAAATATTTAAATGAATAATCGTCTTATTTTTATTGACAACGAATACGAAATTAAATTAAGTTTGATAAGTTATTGTGACATTTCATGCAGTTGTAAAGTATAATGAAAGGCATGTATTATTCAAGAGAAAATGAAAGACAGTTCACAAATGCAAATTTTAAGTCTGGTGCTGAACTAATTAGGAAATTACTCTTGTGATAACGACTTATTCGTTTTATTTGACATTATTTTTAATAGTTTGTTATGTAACGTAAAATTTAACAGTTTATATTGATTGTTTTGAAATTGAATGATGAATTGAAATTATCAACATCAATGTGTCAAGTGTTCTATTTTATTCTAATCAAATTTGATAAATGATGTTTAATTTTTAGAGTTTTTTATAAGAATTGATTTCTATCAAAATTACATTAAATCTTTGTATAATTTTCAAATGTGGTAAATACAAAATAAAATATACATGTTGATCTTTCAAAAATAGTTAATTTTATTTTTATACATATCAAATCAAGTGATTGAATGACATTTTCATTGAATAATTAAGTTATAATTGATAAGACAAGCATGGAAGGAATAATTCAATTAAAATCAACGTAACCAACATGACTATTACTAAATTTATAATTGATAATTATAAATATTTGTGTAGTATTGAAAATTTAATTAAACTCAAAAAGTTTTAACTTGATCTGATATTCGTTTCAATAAATTGTATGTAATTAATCTAGGAGAAGCTATTAGCAGATGGATCAATTAATTCTTAATTAAAACCTACAAATGAAAGATAAATGTAGTAATTTATTTTAATTTTTTCGTTTGATAATATATATATAGGAAATAATTCACCCTCCTTATAAAAAGAGTAGAAGATCCTAGTGGGAGGAGACTCTTCAGCATACTTTTTTTGATAAAGGGTAGTGGTCATCAACCCCTAAAAAAAAATGCATGAAAATAAAATCTGTATGTAGATATATCAGAGATTTTACTCTTGCCCCTATTTTTTTTTATCAAATATTTAGGGTCACTTCCTAGATAGGTAATTGGTTTTGTTCAAATAAACCGCTCATTTGTTGCGCATGGCTACACATTTAAATTGATTTGCGCATGCTTGAGACACAGGTCACAGAACAAGTGCAAAGAACGCAGAAGGATTAGTCTAGCGGTACATGCTCGCAGTTTGCAGAAGTGAAGGGTAGTAAAGAGTTGAAAGAGGACAAGTACGTAAAAGAAAATGTCACTTTGACAATTCAAGTAGTCGTAAAATATTTCCGGATGTGGTACTTAGTGAAATTACAAGACCGTACACATTTTAAGCTTGGTGGCAGCTTGAGAATCGATCCATATAAGTAGAATTATTTGATATGAGCTTTGTAAGTGCAATACGAGCGATGGAATTTACAAGAAAACTTAGTATTGCAAATGCAGTCGTTGAATCATCATCCCTTGAAGCAGTGAGCTATTTTCGGCTTACTCTCAGTGCGAATCTTTACCATTTGATATAAAACAAGATTATGAGAATTAACAGCATCAAGATGAATACTCCGATTGAGGAGAAGATAGACCAGAAGTTGAAGGCAAGTATTTTTGATTGTTTTTTTTTTTGTTTTTATGCATGATATAATTACCCAGTTATTATAATAATTATTATTGATTTTTGGAATATTATGAAACCTTAACATTGTCAAGACAAAGACATAGCATTTTTTATTTTCTTATTTTGTTTTTTTTTGTTTTGCTTATTAGAAACTTAATTGTTTTATGAAAGAAACTGTTAGTTAGTAATTATTATATTACCTTCGATTGTTTTTTATCAATTTTTCATGAATATTTGATATAATTAAATCACAAAAAAAATTTATTTCACTAATTGTTATAACAATAATTGAAATGTATTATAATTAAAATTATTATTTGACATTAATTATTATTTATAGTTATTTTTATAACTTCTTATGTTTTTACTTGTGATGTAAAGAATTTTTTTTCTATTTAATCATTTTTTAATAACTATGACTTATTTCTAGGTATGAGTATTTTTTTTCTAAATACTATCATGCATTTTAATTTTAATTATACGTTATCAACCATCCTAGGACTTTTTAAAATTATTGGATTCCATTACGAAATTCATTTTTTGTTTTTTGCTTGAGCTCTTATAGAAATCACATCAAGATTTATCATAGACATTATACGTGACTTTTTAGTACTTAAGAACTAACTTAAGAAAAGCTCAAGGTATAATAAAATCTTCATTCTATCATAAAAATTCAACGATAATGGAATAACATTATTTAATTATTTGATTTTTCTTATTGCAGTGGTTAGTTGTTGAAATAACTTTTGCGATAAAAAACTTTAGACTAATTCTATACACAATTGAACGGAATGTATTTTTCAACTTTATCAAGATAATATTTTTTTGTGTATTGATTTTTACGTTACTTTTAGAATGTTACATTTTTTAAGTATTATTTTTTAAAATAGGAAATTGATTACTTCCATCCTGACCATTTTTATATTTTGAATGAAATTAAGTGAATGATAATCTGAAATAACTCAGACATTGGATTGTTAAATAATTCAATACGTGGAATTTCCATTCTTTTATCGTTATAATATTCAACCACTACGTTTTACCAAAAAAGATCGATGCGGTAGCTTTAAATTCGATAAAGATGTAGTTTAAGGGTTTATCTTTAGCATGCAAACACAATTATCGTACTAAGTAAGTTTAATAAATTTTCCATTTGTAAATTTTCCTACTGATCAAGATTATATTATTAAATTTTGATTATAATCAAAATAAATTTTATGAAACTGAAGAGATTTTAATTACAAAAAGAATTTATAATTCTGCATCAAAAATCATCTTTTTAGTCATTAAAATTTTTACATAATTTACTGTAAAATGAATATTTATTTTTATTATAAATAAATGTAAAGACACGTAAATTTTGAATCCTCTTCTTTCTCATTATTATTATCGTCATCATTAATTTCAAATTTATTCAAATATTCTTCCCTATATTCATCAGTGAAATTAATTAAATTTTTAATTTAAGTAAAAAAAAAAAAAAAATTGCGTACTCCACGAGAGTTCAAAGAGAAATAATTTTTGATATAATTTTTATTCATCAACATCAAGTTTGAGGTGAAGTCTTGATAATTCGATCGGAAAATTTCTAAAATTGAAAAAGTTAAAATCATCAGTAGCTAATCAATATCTATTTTTATACCTAATTATTTTTTCTTTTGAATAATAGAAATAAATTTCATATGATGACCGTATTATTTTTATTACCTTGAATAGATATAATTAATGAAATTGTTTGTAGGTGCGGACGGGGATGGTAGCAGTCAGCGATGGAAAGAGCAAGCCTATTCCAATGCGGCTTCAATTATCTATGGAAGTATTGAAACTCCAACGTGAAGATTTAGAGGTAAATTAAATATTCAATGCTCTGATGAACAAGTAATGATTTAATTTAATTGGAATAGTTGGAAAAATCTTTTTATACGAATATCCTTGGTAGAAACTATATCTAATTAAATGACAGAGTGAAAAAGTTTTATACTAGAAATATATACTTTGAATTTTATTATTCTATTAAATCATAAATTCACGTTAGTTATTCAAAAAAAGTTTATCAAAGAGATGATGATTAAAAAAAATATTTTAAGTATAATAACGTGAATATACAAATGTAGATTATTTGTAAAAAAAAAAGAAACGTGGTAGTAAATCATGATATTATGAAGTAAACACAAAAGATATGCTGTAGTTATACAAACAATATTTATTCATATTTTCCTCATTTTATTAATATTATATTATTTTTTGCATCGTTGCAAACTATTTTAATAAAACGTTATTTTTTATTCTATCAAAAACGTCCAGAGTATGAATGATTGTTGGAAAAAATGAATGAAAAATAGTATAAAAAATGTTCAGTTTGTAAAAGTTATTTAAAGTTTGTTATTATTTTAATTAAATTAATAAATTTTTCCTGGTTTTTTTAGACTACGAATCATAATAAACCACCACCAGATTCAAAGGAGAGAATGGTCCAAATAACGCGACAAAAAATAGGCGGTTTGGGCTTGAGTATAAAAGGAGGAGCAGAGCATAAACTTCCAGTGTTGATATCAAGAATATATAAAGGCCAAGCTGCTGATCAATGCGGTCAACTTTTTGTTGGTGATGCAATTATTAAAGGTAAAGAACTTGAAGACTTTGAAAGATTCAAGTAGATTTGAATATTTTAAGATTCAATAACCGGTTAGCAGCCGTTATCACATACAAGTGATGCTCAAATATATGTATACATATATAGTTCTGTATAATATTTTTTCATAAATCCATGTCAAGTGATGACAGACTGTTTTTATTATCTTAAATGTAGAGCACAGTAGTCAATACATTTATAAATATTTTATAGAATTGATTATTCACTTCACTTCTTAGAATTATTTTACATTTTACTAGATCGAATTTATACTAGTTGACATTTTACCAATAGTTGCGTTCGAGAATTTTCTCTTCGTAATTAGAAAAACAATTAAAATGTAGAAATCAAGAAGTTATTTCAATTAAAATTTGGAAAAATTTCTCCTTTAATGCATTTTTTTAATTGAAATATTTGTTCATAAATTTTTTGATATAAAATTACTCCAATCAAAATGTTTTCAATTAAAATATTCATAATTATAATCTGTATTAAAAATACGTAGCTTTTGTTTATGTTGTTTTATCTTTTCATCTATTCATGTTGCTTGTGAATGAATTTCCTAAATCCTTTCATTTACTGTTTGGTGATTTTAAATTTAATACAGATTTCTGTTTCATCAGTAAGATACAGTATTAAAATTTAATTTCAAGTTTATTTTTTGTTTATTTTCAATTTTCATTTATTGGTTTTAATTATATAATTTAATTACAAGAACATCTAAATGAAAAGTTTAAAAGGATTTCTCGTTTAAATTAGCTTATTTGTACAAATTATCAATACATAGAGAAACATTCTATATCATTAATATCATTCATTGATAAATTTAATTAGCTGAATAATTAAAAATAAAATACAGTTACTAAGTTAAACTCATTTAGTAATATAATTATTATTGATTATACGTTAGTATATTTTTTCTTATTTTAAATTCTATCAAAATTCGAAGAAATTTTAACTAATTATAATGATTCTTTTCCTACTTATTTTTATTTTTCCATTTGCAGTTAATGGAGAGTACATAACAGCGTGTAACCACGACGATGCAGTGAATATTTTACGAAATGCTGGTGATATTGTCGTTTTAACAGTGAAACATTATCGTGCAGCAAAACCATTTCTGCAAAAAAATGGTAATAATTTTCTTCCTCTTTCGAAGAAGTTTGTTAGTTTTTATTTTTTTATCCTGATTGTATTTATGAAAAAATTAATTATAAAAATTTTCGCTTTAGATAATAATGAATTTTTATAAATAACTTCAAAATAATTTAACTAGGATATTGTGACCTAAAAAAGAATTGATTGAAATCAGTAAAATTGTTTTCAAGATATCATCAATGCTTTGTTCGGTTAAAAAGAATTTATAATCTAAAATCTATTTTTTTATTGATGCTTCTCAAGACATATTATAGAACAAAGCTTTATATACTTTTCATTAGAATAGTTCAATAATTTTTCATTAACGAGGGTAATAATTTTATTTTTAAATAAAATAATATGTTAATATTTTATGTTGTCAGAAGAATTTTCTTTTTATATGTCTTTTTTCATTATTGATGAATAGAAAAATAAAAGAGACAATCTTTCAATCAATGCCAAAGTCACGAATACTAAGAATCTCTACGGAACGATAGATAGATTTTGGTTAGCGGAGTAGCACCTTTTTCCAATACATTTTGTGGTCGATTGAAGTTTAAGTTTCAAACTAAATCGATTGAACTATTTTCTAATGAGCGACGAAAATTTTCAAATGTCTTAAAAGCAACTAAACTAATTCCGTTCAAATTGAATTCGATTCCGATCGATAGTCACTTTAAAACGGTTTAAAAAAGATATAGGAAAATTACGCTCCATCAGTTTTCAAATAAAAACAATATTTTATCAATAAGCTTTTATCATCAATACTATTTTAATTAGTACGATATTATTAATTTGAAATACATGAACTATAATTAATTATTGAATGGCGTTCTAATAAATATTTAACAAATGAAATAATTTTGTTACTAAGTGGAAGATAATGAAGAAAAACTGGACAATGCTGCAAATGGTGATGTCGAAGATGAATGGAGTTTGCCTAATAGACGATCTATCAGTCCTAAAAGTGGCCATAGTAGACATGGTTCTACTACATCTACTTGTTCGGCACAATTTAAAAAATGGATTGATGTAATTACAGGTATAGTTAATTGTATTTTTTGTTTCACAGTAGGTAATTAGTGAAAGAAAGTACATTTCTAATTAAAAATAGTGAATATAAAATTCAATAAAAATATGTTCTAGTTGTATTGCCAATTTAAAAAGCTCAATTAATTAAAAGTTTTTCGCTTGTAAATGTTTCAGTACCGTTAATGATGGCATATATTACGAGGTATATATTCGGTACAGATAAATTAAGAAAGAATGCTTTTGAAGTAAGAGGATTAAACGGATCAAGAACTGGAATAATTCATTGCGATGATAGTGCAATACTTAGTCAATGGTTGAAATATATAACAGACAATATAACTGATTTAACGTATTTGCAGGTAAGTTTTAGTAATACCCAGTATTTTATTCTATTTTCACATAAGTAAGTTTCAGTTTGATTTTATTTATTATAATTACTCAATTGATTACTTCCGTTATTGTTGTTATTGATTGCTTATCTTATTTATTCATATATCAACATAATATTGATAGGAGAGATTATGATATAATTAATTACCAAACTGTTTACAGATGAAGCTTTATAATAGAAATTTCGGAATTGGTGACCGCATTGAATACATGGGTTGGGTAAACGAAGCTGTGAGTAATAGCAACCAGCCCTGGAAAAGCTATAGACCACGATTTTTGGCTTTAAAAGGGTCTGATTTGTTGCTCTTTCAAACACCACCCGTGAGTATACTTTTGTGTGCACATATTTTTAAGTGTTCTGATTTTTATGTTGAAGAAAAGTCAACTTTAATATTTCAAGAGTACTTCAAAGCATCAACGATATATATTTTCTAATATTAGAATACTCTTCTAACATTGATATAAGTTTTAAAAAACATATTATTTAATAGAATGATTTTACAAGTTATACGTACTTTACAATCATTCTTGAAAGTATTTTTTTCCATTTAAAATAATCACTATAATAATCGTACATGTGAATATTTTTTATATTTATTTGTAGTGTAATATTGGAGATTGGTCTCGTTGCGCACTGACATTTAAAGTCTACGAGACAATGTTTAGTGTCATTAGGGAGTCAGAGCACATTGATGAACGACAGCATTGTTTTGAGACGCAGAGTCCAGGTAAACCACCAAGATATATGAGTGTTGAAACTAGACAAGAGTTGTTAAGAGTTGAAGCTGCTTGGCATACTACTGTTTGTGCAGCTATAATACGCCTCAAGGTACGCAGCAATAATAATCAAAATAATAATAATGGTTTAAAAAAATAAAAACTCTTATTTACATGTTGTTCTTTAGATAATTTATTGTAATATTCATTATTTTATTCATTACAAAAGAGATCTTAGCTTCTTTAATGTATTTTTAACGTTGAAAAATCTTTCTGACGTGAAATATAATTTTAAAATAATGTACCATGACAGTAAAAAAAAAACTTGTGCAAAGTTTTTCTTCAAATATATTGGAAAAATTTATAATTGGTTTTGATTCCCTTTTCTTTGATAGTTTTATAAAGGATAAAGTATTATGCTCGAAAAATTTTATTTAAAATAAAGTATAGAAACTTAATTAGTATATAATAAAAAACAATCAAAGCAAATTTATCGAGAAAATTTTTTTGACTTGATTCTTTTTTAACTTCATACTTTATTCTGTTTCTACTATTGAATGTTTTTTCAATCAAACTTTTTGAATGAAGCATTAAAAGCATTGAAGAAATTTCATTATAACTAAGTTAATTTTAAAGAAATTGTTAAGAAAAATGATATTATAATTTAATAGAATAGAGTCACGAAGCAAGTTAATTTATTTTTTATTCTTAAACAGAGCAAAACATTTATGGTAATTCACAACGGAAGAAGCTCACGACTAACTTTAGACTGTACCGAAGGATTTATGCTATCTTACGAGGGGCACGAGGATATTGTGTGGAAATATAGATATTGTGAACTTCGAGGATCTAGTGATGACGGGAAAAGTAGACTGAAGTTGCATTTTAAAGAGTTAGAAAAGTCAATAGTCGAGACTAAGGTATGTATTGATCAACTTATAATTAATTATCATCAATAATTTCAATGTTTTAACTTAATTTGTACAAATAATTTACAGGAAATAGAATGCATTCAATTGCAGAATCTTCTTTTTTGTATGAATGCATTTGTCACTGCAAGACTTGCCATGTTGGATCCAGCATTTTTAAAATCAACAACTCTACAAACTACAAACAACCACAATTCACGCCCATTAGAAAATTAAGAACGGTATAATATCATTTTTATTTTTATTTTATTATCTTTTTTCTCCATTATTTTTGGCCAATAAACATCTAGCCATTGACTGATAATGCTATTATAAAATAAGATATCGAATATCGCAATTCTATTCGTTGTAAAATTTGGGGTTCTGCTGGTTAGATGTTTTTTTCAATTATTCTATAATCGAATGATCTTTTAATTTACATAATAACTTCATTTCCTTGAGCTACTCATTTCTAATTGAAAACTGAGAACATTTCAAATTGTTCACAATCATTCATAGTCTCTAGGTTTGAAAAGTATCATTTTACAGTCGAATAAATTATGACTTTGCATAGTTTTCGGCTAGCCGCTTTAAACAAATTTAAAAGAATAAGTGATATTTTATTCGGTATTGTATATAAGCGCCAATCGAACCCTAAACAATCGTACAAATATTTATAAAGTTCAAGCTACTGTAATTATTGGTGTTAATCTTAGAGATAATATTTTAATGAATGAATTAATCTTCTTGAATGATAGGTTGATCGGAAACAATTAATTCATTACTCCAATACTAATATAGATATTTTGTGTTCATTTGAATTACTAATAAATGCAGTATCTTGAAAATTACAAACAATTATCCTATCCAAGTTATGTAATAGAATACAAAAGGCCATAGAATTTATGAAAATAAAATAAGAAGCTCTCGATAACTTTATTAATTATGTACTATTATAAAATATAAGATGTTATCGTACTACAAAGAAAAAATAATAGTAAAAACGAAAAAGAAACAAATTTTAATTAGGAACAGTATTAATGAATGTTTAAAAAAAATATAAAAAATAATATAACATAGACGAAATGAAAAATAATTATTATTTATTACTATTTGAATATTATAATGAAGTGCAATAAAATATTTCTGACGACCATGGTGGCGACCTATTAATGAATAATTCTATTAAATAAATTGAACAATTTTTGGAACCATTATTAGTAGAAAGGAACAATTAAATTAAATTGATAAAATATTATAAACAGAATAATTAATATTGATAATTAATATTTAAAAATAAGATATAATGTTGTGTATTTTTAAAAACCACGACATTGAAAAATCATTGTAATTGTCATTTTGTCATTTCATCTCTTTCACACATTCTAGAAATTGGTATATTTTTAGGTATGTGCCAATTATGTCATTTTGGATGTATTTTTGAAAAAAAAATGTAATATTTATTGAATTGAATAATTACAATTTTTCAATCTAGCGGCCTTTGATATTACAAAGTACTGGTAGTAACTAATGGATAACTAATGGGGGAATTTGTGGTTTTGAAAAATGACAAAGCATTTTTTATTTTGACTATTTCCTTTTATTTAAATTCATTACTTAACCATTTATTATAAATATTCCCAGTGTAAACAGTATTTTAATTCGTAAATATTCATGAATACTCTACTTTAATCATGTATCGAATGTTAATTACTTTTTAATTAGGAAGTTAAGAGTTCGACATGCTATTAATGACCACACCCCCTCGATACTTTTATAATTCTAGCTTTTTTAATTGTAGAAAGTGCCTAAAATAGTATTGAGATGTAAATTTATTCTACTTAGTATGAATTTCTTATGTTACTATGATAGTCATCATTAGTTGAACTTATATTAATTATTATTAGTTAATGATAATTAGTTGGTGATGATTATTAATGGCACTTGAACTAGTCAATTATGTAATAAGATAAAAGGGTGCTTGATGAAATACTTTGTATTTGAATACAATTCTAATTATGAACCAGGTAATTGTCTAGAAGTAGGATTCTACTTGATAATTAAACTTAAATTTTTCTAAAATACATTATTTTTAACATGTTTCCTTTGATAGGTAAAAAGAAAACTTTCAGAATTGTGGTTTGAAATGTCGATTCATTTCAAATTATTGATTCAAATGTTTTTATAGAAGAGTTAAAATTGATTCAAGTAAAAATATATTCATGTAAAAAAATTGCTTTTATAGAAATAATTGCAATTGTAAAAATGCAGGTCAATCAAACTTAAGCCGAAATTTCTCTAATCGGTTTTTACCAAATAATTTTTATCTAAATTCAATTAATCTTTGAATATATAAAATAGAGATAAGTAAGAATGTCTCTGTCCAAACATTTTTTATAATCAATACTTAGGTTGGCTTTATAGAATAATCGTTGATGATAAAATAATATACAAAATGATGAATAATTTTTAAAATCAGTTTTTCAATTACATCATAAACAATTCTAGGCAGTTACCGTTACAAATGAATTAGTTGATTGTGAATAATTTGTCTAATCCAATTACAAATTAATTGATGACATGAAGTTCTAGGATATGAACAATTACTCACAATTCCAAGGTGTTGCCATGGTCAAAAATTTATTAAACAAAAACAACCAAGTCCGCTATGATTAATTAATCTATTATATAAATTATAATTAATTGCTTTAAATGAATCTAATTCAGATTTTAATTAATTGTTGCAATGAACAAAAATAACTTTATTTCAACAAATAAATGCAACAATTACAGATATATGAATATTGATATTGATGTCAATGAATACTAAATCTTAGTAATAAATCAGATAAAAAAAATATTTCACAAGAAAAATAATAAACAAAATAAACAAATGAGAAAATGGTTGTATGCTTGAATGTATTGAATGCAATATTATATTCAGATAACACTCGAGCAATTCGGATTAATCGTAGAATTTATTAGTAAAAGACAAAATATTATGATATTAAATTATAAAAAAAAGGTTATTATCAAATAAGAAAATTAATCTGCGATTAATGCCGAGTGATTAATAAAGGACTGCACAATATATTGGTTAGATATATTATAAATATATTGAATATATATAATTAACAAATGAAGTATACAAATATAATGAAAAATTATTATCTAATAAGATTAAGTTCTTCTCATAATACTTTTAATATTTGCAAAAATTATTTATTAACTTTTATCATAATTTATAAGAAATTAAATAAATAAAATGATAACTACATTGCTTTTATAAAATAAATAATAATTAAACAAAATGAGGGATAAAAATGCAATAATAACAGTTGGTAATTTTTTTTTGCAAATGTACGAAGTATAATAAGAAGGCCAAAAGAGTGAGAGCTCATAAAATAATTGCAACTAGAAGTAAATAAATGAAAAAAAAAAAAACAAATAAATATAAAGCAGCTACCGTTCAATTATGATACTCAAGATCAATTATATATTACGTGATCATAATGAAGCTAAATTAGATACATATCCAGGCTAAAGCAATTCAATATTTATAAAATGTCACCAAGAACAATTCTTTTGCTTATTTTTCAAGTCTCTATATAAAGAATATGTAAGCAATACTTTAATAATAATTTTTTTATAAACATTCATCATTTAAAAATAATTATGTTTCAATGAAATCGATAAAAAAATTTTTAAAATTCTTAAGAAAAAACGTTTCTATTTAGAATTAAATTTAATCTAAAAATTAATAATAAGAAATTTTGACGAATGTGTTTGAGAAAATGATTTTATATTAAAATATAGAAGAATATTTAAGCTTGATTTTTGCAATTGCAATTGGGGTGAAAAAATATGCTGAAGCTTTCTTGTAATTATGTAACTAAAGCAAAAGAAAAAAACGTATGAAACAATGTCAAGTCTTCATTTAGCTGTAGATTTTAGTAACTGTCCAAGTAAACGCTGCTTATATTAAACGTTAATGCTAAATTATTCGCACGATCTTGCATTTAAACATATAGTTTATGTTATAATGTCTATCCCCCATTGACAATATGTTTTAAAATACAATATATCATTGTTAGAAGTTTATTGTCTTCATTTTTTTACCTTTTCAAGTTGAAGTGATGTCCTTGGTTAAAAGGAGAGACAGGAAAATTAGAATAGGAAAATAATTAATTAATAAATGATAGCACAGTTGATCAATACAATAACTTATAGTATTGATGTTAATTTTATTCCAAGTTATAGAATCAAAGTTATTGAAGTTGAATTTTTTTTAATGTAATAAACTATTTAAAACCAGAATGCAATCCGTACCCTTTTAAAATAATTACTGTAATAATTTTTAAGGGATTTCTATAGGTTTATGGTCCAGTTGTATTTTTAATTATTCTCGACAAAAATTATCCTAAAAGTCTAGGGTTTTATTTAATGAAAGTAAATTACTAGCTATAAATTATTTTAACATTTAAATTCCTAGCTTTACGTAGAAGTTACTGAGGAAAAAATTAATGGATGATTGATTATTTTATTTCTTTCATGAACTTGCACAATTTGTCGTTGAAACTTATGATTGATTACAGACATCTAAATAATCAATTCTTTCTCTTTTATATCTTTTATTTTCTCGTTATCATAAATGAACTTTGACGAATTGCTTTTTTACGTTTAATATATATTTACCTTATTTCCGTAATAGTCAAATATTTTTCATTTATCTATTGCTGAATAAATACATTATCAAAAAGTATTCAGAGTCAGAATAATTTTTTATTTACATCGAAATTTTCTGCATTTAATCATGAGAAAAACTTGTAAAAGAATTTGTTGTTTTAATTGTCCATAAATTATTTGAATTTTTCTTGAGTTTTAATTTGTTTTCTACTTGGAAGTAACTTTATTAAGTTATTTCTTCATACTTCTGTAATTATAAGATGAAAAAATTCCTGCATTTTGTAGATTGTCTGATTTTATAAAAATATTCACTGGAATTAATTTATTATTAAAACGAATTTTATTTTTTTTATTGCGTTCAATGATAGAGAAAAATTACTTACTTTATCAAAAGGATAGAAATCAATCAAAGAAATTCTTGACATTTTCTTATCTATTTCCACTTCTGTACCTTTACAATCAAACTTTGCTTAAATTTAATAAGACAATTGAATAAATATTTCATTGAATAATGAAGGAAATAATTACGGTAGATCATTCAAAACTTCGTTTTATTATTTAAATCTTTGCTAACTTTAGTAATTAATCTTTCTTATTTTTCATTGACTTTTACATAACGATTGAGTTCAGAATCCAATGTGGTATTAGAAGATAAGATCTGGTGATAAGAATAGTTAGTATAATCGTGATGAAGGATGAAATACATTTAAACTTTGGGTAAACTAGGATATAAAACTTCTAAATCTCTTTTCATTTTTTATATTTATTAAATATATTTTGCTCAAGATCTGACATTAAATCTGAAGTTAGTATTTATCATATTGAGAAAAATTATTTTTTATATTATTAATCATTATTTCTTTTCAGTATTATCATTCATTAATAAATTGTTAATAAATCTTGAGATTTATAAAAATTAATGGTTTATAAAACCTACAACAAGTCATGAATTATAAATAAATTTTTAACAAAAATTCTTTCAAGGAAATTTTTAGAATAAATTTGACAAATGTTTCTATCCAAGCATTAATGTTAATGGTAGTCTGCAATTCTCACAGACTTTGTCTGTCAAATGTCAGGATTAGCTTCCTTGATGAAACAATAAAAGCCTAAATTAAACTAAAACGTCAGCATTTGTCATAAAAAAATAATTGAAAAAAAATTAACAGCAGATGTTTTTTTATTTGTCAAATATCGACAATTATTTCTGTTTCATCGAGTCGTTAAAAATCCGAAAGGAAAGAAGAACTAGAAATATAATTGAGATCCCTAGAGTGTAAGTTAAATCTTAAATAATTTTATTATGTCAGGTCTTGAGCAAAAAAATATTTCTCTCTCTAATAAGACATATAACGTAATAAATATTGTAATAAAGGAAGAAAATAAAATGATAAGAAAAGACTTGCATCGAGCACGCGCTTTTTAGCGTCTTGTAATCGATTTCTTTAGAGACCTACATTTCCTCTTTTACTCATTAAACTGTTATCTATTGTTACATCTTTTCTCAATAGATTTGCCAACCGAAAAGGATGACCTGGACTTGTTCAAAGTCCCTAGGTTAATTAAAATAGGCCTCAATAATTATAAAAAAAATTATTTCCTTTGACATTTGTTTTTAATTATTATTTATTATTAGTAATATTAATCATTAAAATCGCCTTAACTCACAAGAAATGTAAAAGTTTTTTTTTTTTTATTAAAATATTATATTCGAGTACTAATGAAGAGATTAGAAAAAATAAGTCAAGCAAATATTATAAGCTCGAAGAAATAAGTTGAAAGTTATAATCCTGTTACTTGTTGAATATAATCTGCTTTATTAAAAATATCTTCACTTATTAAAGCTTCTAAAAGTTTGACAGAACTTTCAGGTGTTAGACTTTATATAAAATTTTAGTATTTTCCTTTTTGTATAATTTATTTTTAATTCTATTTATCCATAAATCAATTTAAAGTGCTATTTTTTATGAAATAATATCTTTAAATAGGATTCAAAGTAAAATGTACTGTTTTTGAATAGTCTTATAATTGAATATAAAAACGTCGATAAATGATTGAGATTTTTTTTTCTATCAAGTTATTGAAAGAATAAAATATTAAAAGCTCTAAAGCTTTATGTGTGAAGTGTTGTTATGCAAGTTTTAATGCTCTTTTTCCAATATTTCATAAAATTTCTTATTATATTTTCAAAATAATCTATTTTTCTAATAGATAATTATTTTAACATTCAAAATATCTTTTATGATTGACTTGACAGAATACCATTAACAAATCGAATGGAGTTTTTTTTTTTCTTAATTCATTGTCATTCGATTCAAAAGCTTTTATTTAAATAAAATACTTATTTTATTATTCTTTTGAATTAAAATTATTTAAAATTTTATAAAATAATTAACTTACAAATTCTGTATACATTTTATCATCAATGAATTTAATTATTTTGGTAATTATTAAACATTTCACGAATAATTTCAATTGTTTAATCCCTCAAACAATGTATTTTCCATAAAAAATACCAAAAAAAAATGGAAATATTTTGTATATCCTCTACTCGAAAAATGGATTACCAAGTTGATGTAGTAGAGAATAACTCTCTGAATGAGAGTAAGAGATAAAAGATCACCCACGCACCTTTTCAAACTACAACCCACGAGAGGACTTGCATAGGGCATACAGTCACTTGCCTTCGAGTATATCTACCAGTATATCGGTGACCGTCAACTTGATAGTTCCATCATTATTAATTATTTCGTGCTTATGATTTATTTATCAATATATTATTTACAACTTCTCTGTAGCATCACAAGCACTAGTCACTTCAAATAAATTATTCTCTGGGTTTGTTTTCTGTTTCAGATCTAATTTTAATAATCGATATGAACAATGCCAGTTAATAGTCAATTATTTGAATAATTTTGGTCTGATAATAATGAGGTAGGATTTGGAGAGACAAAAGAAGAAGCAGCAGACATCAATGGTGAGTTTCATTATTTACCATGTATTGTACTGTAGTTCAATTTTAATAGAAAAAGAATTACCTGTTAATAAGTATTGACTCGGAAAGAATTATTATTTAATTAAAATTGAATATTAAAAATGATAAAAAAAGCAAAAATGATTATTTTAAAGCTACAATGAACGAAGTATTAAGATTCTAAAGAGTTATTGATTATTAACTAGTAATTTTTTAATTAATTAATTAATACATTTTATTTTTTTTAATAAATATTTTTCCTTACCACTGTCGAATAATTAACGTAAGGTTTTTCACCTTTCCACAAGATCAATTATTGGTCAGCTATTAGGGCTTTTACTCTCTTCCTTTAGCATGAGTCTTCCTAGATGTGAAATGTTGATTACAAAATCATTAATATTTTTAATGGCAATAAAGAATGATAAAAGAGCTTTAGATGTTTGTAGAAAAATTTTTGCGTGGGTTTTAAACGATTAAATTATACTGCCCTGGGTAATGGATGTTTGTGACAGAAGATTGAACAGTGTCTTTAAAGAGCTAGATTACCAACAACAGTAGTGACCATGATGCTAAATGTTTCATTTATTTGTGGTAATTCTATGGCCTTTTTTTAATTATTTAAATAACTTTTGATTATTTATTTTTTTAATTATGATATTTTACTACATTTGTTGATGACAAGAAAGCTTCTTTGACTAAAATTTATAAATAATAGTTATAAAAAGTATTTAAAAGTTTATATACGAATTTCTTTTTTTTTTTTTTTAAAAAAAGAAATGAAACAGAAATAAAAATAGATAGCATCAGCTTGACAATTTTTTCATTCATAAAAATACAATTGATGATAACAAAAGTGTATTTTCATGAATGTATTCTATTTTTAAATTTTATTCTTTATTTGCTGAACTTCTTCAAGTGCTGGTTGGACTAAATGTAAAAGAAACTAATTTTTTAAATGAAACAAGTACGAATAAAGCAGGATAAAGTTAGGGCTTTTATTTATTTTACTATCACTTATTTTAAAAGTAAGTTCAATTCTAACTGTTGAGAATCTTTTTTTTTTTTTTTAATATTTGAGAAAAGCGATAGAGCAAATAAAAGACGAAATAGCAGGTGAAGTTTTTCCCAACATGCAAGAGTGGATCGACCTCAAGAAGCCTTGTATCGTGAAACGCGATTTTTTCCATTATAAAATTTCTTTCCTCTATTTTGTTTTATCTTTTTTTCTTTATTCATTTTCCTTCATAATTTTTTCCTTATATTTCTTCCCTCCAAGCTAGTAAAGTTTTATTTATTCAACAAGTCGAGTTATAACTGTGTATATTCTTTTGAAAAATTGGAAAAAAATCATTACTATAATAGCTATTAAATAAATAATAACGCAAATTGGTTTGATGAATTTAGTAATAAATAATAACTTCGATAGTTATTTAATATTATTTGACATAATAGGGCAGTGGGAAATGGTAATATTTCTCACCGACAAACTTATGCGATGGCGACACGTGTGTGCTACAGATTACTGCAAATTACACTGTGCAATATGTCTCCAATGAGAATTTATAATATTGACCAATCTGTACCAGTAGTTAGAATTATCAACCCTAGCAATACCAGTAATCATCATTACTATATTTGCTCTTGAGAAAAGTCATATAAAATGATTTGCATAATTCGAATTCAATTATTGAAACTCTAATTATACCAAGTCATAATATAACACCTAAATTTATTCTTCTCATACACTTTTCTTCCTTTCTATCTTACCCGAGGTGTAAAAATGGAACTTATTTTGATTTTATTCACCCTGCTTCAAGATTTAATTTCAGTTTGAAATCATGAACCTGCAGGTTCATTTTATATAATAAAAATTGCGCTAATTTTAAACTGGTAAACCAATATAATTCCACTTTCAGGGCTTAAGGTTCAACTTAGGTTTTTCATTTTCAGGATAATAGAATGTAAGTAGTTTGGATTCAGGTTTGTTAGGGCCAAAGTAGTTTCAAAACTAGTTCCTAAGAATGAATAACCTCAGTTGAACCTTAAGCCCTGAAAGTGGAATTATATTGGTTTACCAGTTTAAAATTAGCGCAATTTTTATTATATAAAATGAACCTGCAGGTTCATGATTTCAAACTGAAATTAAATCTTGAAGCAGGGTGAATAAAATCAAAATAAGTTCCATTTTTAAGTCTCGGGTAGATTCAACCTTTTTATCCTAATATTATTCTGTTTTATTCTTTGAGTAGATAAAAATTAAGATGATAAAGCTTAATTTTAACCTTCTAATCCTAATACTTTTTTTATCCTTCTGAAGTTGGTAAAAATTAGGATATAGACAGAATAGCCTGATTTTAACCTCATAAATTGATTTGCTTATATCTAGAAGTACTTATAGAAGTAGTTGGAATAAGGTCACGATTCATATAATGGATTAATTTTCCAAAAATTATATTTATTACAAATTGAATTGTTTTAAATGATTTGTTACAACCTAATAATAAATTAAATGAAACTGCTCTTTCAAATATGAACATGGTCAATATTATAATAACTCCCATTACAGTCATACTTGTTTTAATAATACATATGATGTCAATGCTGATGGACAGCCCAATTGGAATTGAAATAAAATAAATAATTATGAATAATAATGTTTTTATTAAAATAAAATTACTCGAATCTTAAATGAAATTAGATTGAAACCAGGAAAAGGATGAAATAAAAGTAGGATGAAGCTAAGGCAAAAGAAAAATAAAATTAGGATGAAGATAGGATAAAATTAACATGAGTTTAGGATAAAATTGAAAAATTTTCGTCCTACGAAAACACTGATTTGTTACGTATTCCGAATTTAATTAAAATTTGTTTATCTTAAATAAAACCTTAAGAAAGGATAGTCTTATGATGAAAATAGGTTTTATATTTTGACTCGGGATTTTTAAATAATTTTATTAAAAATAATAGCAAAGATAATTTTTCAAATGAATTATACAAATAGAATTAGCCAAAAAATAGTAGAAGAATAAATGGAATTATTTCCTCTAGTTATAAAATTAAATTAGAAACAACTCTGTTAAGTGTAGTAAAATTTACTCCAATTCTAGTTTTATCTATAAGAATGTCAGTATATTTACTTTTGTATAAAGTCATACAGATGAGAGTGTAAAGTTGTCCTTGAGAAATATCCTTCATGTGGTCTAAGCTCTTATCTGTATGTAGCCTATCTGGGCCAAGGGTTTTGATAGATTTCGTCTGGAGTGACATATTTGTGTAGTCGCTATAAATTATCCTTTTATTGCATCTACAGACATGCTTTATTCCATCTATAAAAATTTACTGTGACCAAATGGTCCTATAAGGATAGACCTTTCATTCATTACAGAAACAGAGAATTTGATTCAACGTAAATTTCAATAAATTCAATATAATCGGCTTATTAATGTGATTACTAATGCATTAAAAGCCACTTTGGATATTCTAGAGTGATATTAGTGTTTGAGTAAATCTCTTGCATGAAAAAATTTGTGTTGTGACTGGAATAAAAATAAAGGGTAAACAGATCTAGTCTGTGGCTGCAGTGGAATGATGATAAGTAAATGCTACAAGAAGAAATTGGTTTCATAATAATCTTTCTCTTTTGATAAATACTTCAGTCTAACTTCAAGCTTACCTAGCATTCTATAAAGCTTTTGAAAATGATCTCTATCAGTTAGGTAGTTTGGATTAATATGACTTCAATGATGAAGACCCTCATGTAGGAAATAACAACAGATCCAAAATTAGAACAGACTCTAGCCAATGCTACTGATTATTGGTTCAAGTTTGATTGCTAATATTGATACCACTAACCAACTTGGAATTGGAAATACTCAGCTACCTAGTCTAGAGCAATGTTTGTCAAGTCTAGCATTTTCTGTATGGATAGCTTCTACCTTCTACCAAAGTGTTCTTAATTACTACATGTTTTTTATTTACTGGAAAGAAAGACTTCTTCTTCTACTTGAACTCCAATAATATCTAGCTTTTAGGTTTGTATTTAAAATGCAATATTTCTTCATATCCATATATATATTGAATGCTTAGACATATTGGTGCACTTCGAAGGATCAAACTTTAAATATAGGTCATGTTCTCGGCAAAATTGCAACATAGAATTCTGGGAGAACTTCATATATTTCTATACATGAGTGTTGCAGAGACAAATGCAGTTCACAAGGGACAGGCTTGAGCTCAAATGTATGTAGTGGTTGGTATATGGTAATCCTTGTCAAATATACCCATACAGCCACATGTTTATGTAGAAATAATATCTACACATACATGAATTTATATTGTACAAAATGTAACATACACATTTGGAATTGTAGAACGACTAGTGGCAGAAGTATAAAAGATGAGTTGTATTCTAACACATGTCTTCATTTAATTATCATGCCATATGTTCATTCTACTATTGTTTCTTGCTGTCAAATTAGGTTTCAATTATTTAAATTACAAGAATAAAGCTCTTGTTACGTAAATATGTTGAATTGAATTGTCATTTATTTTATGACAGCATTATTTTCCTTTTTTAATGACAATTTTAATTACTAAAATATCATAATTGCTAAGAATTAAGATATTTTTTATATAATTATAAACTATCAATTTTTTTAGGACTAGAGTTTAGGTTTTATCAACAAGAAGCAGAAGAAAAAGCATATTTGAATTGATATTAAATCCAAAATCCTCAAGTTAATCCTCGATGACCTAAATTGATTGGTTTCATGAGAAATAATTTGAAAATTTTTTAAAAGAAGTTTGTTTTTCCTGATAATCCTTTCCAATAAAATTATAATAGATATTAATAAACAAAGATGTTAACATCTAGACTATTGTTGAAAAATTTCTTGTCTATTAGTTAAATATTGAACTTTATATTTATAATTCACAGAATTGAAATGGTTTAAACTTCCTTATCAAACAGAGTCATAAAAACTCCAAAAATTCCAAGTACGAAGCTTTCAGTCAAATAAAATTCATTGAATTGTAAAATTTCCAATGTAACACATATGTGTCTCTATTGAATGTTGAATGTAACTATTGTGAAAATTTTATTGCTCTTTTGGCAAAATCATATTTCCACATAATCAGTCATCTTTTCATCAGTATTCTTTCCAACTGAATGATAAAGAAAAAAAAATATTTCCAAAATATTTTAATCATTCATATTACTATTTCCATTCATAAAAACTTCCAAGTATTTTAATAAAAAAATCCACATTGCAAAAATATTCACTATAATTCATGACAGTCATCGTCTCTGATTTAAGACATTGACGCTATATAAAAAGCTCCTTACTAAATAATATTGATGCTTACTCATTTTTTCAATATCAAATAACTTCCCTATTTGGTAGTAAGCACAGATCTCAACAGCTTGTGGTTGATGACGACTAAGGGTGGTAAAATTCTGAGATTTTTCGAATGCCAATTAAACGTGACGTGAGAGGGGATTAATTTATTTCTAATAAATAGCAGTAGAATAGAAACTCGTGTCTTGGCATATGTCACACATGATGTGCCCACTCGTTTCATCATCTACAGTTTCTATATCATGTACTCACTTGGACTCCTGATATATATATGGAAGTTTAAGTGTGGAGGATGAGATTCGGAGTATCAACACGAGTGGCGTAACTGAGAGCTTAGTAAACATCGCCCATACCATACCATCATATTGCGCTTAACGTCTCTCTGCTTTTGTCAGATGTCAGAATCCAACAATTCCACTATATGCAGTCGGGTATTTGTGTTCTAATTTCTTTTCCATCGAAATAAATACCATGGAAATCTTCCCACTCGAACTTGTATTATTATTCATACCACTATTATATTAAAAAATATTCATCATCATATTTCTTTTAGATCTGAATCACTGTAGTATGCTAAATAATTGAAAAGTTCATTATCATTGTTTTATTGACTATTTCATTTCATCTGGAATTAATGAAAGAGACTTGTTTGAAGCAGTTAAATATATTAAAAATTTATTGATGAAACTGTAGAAATTCCCAGTAATTGACATGTTTATGAAAAGATTGGTAAATTAGATCAAATTTGAAACCTCTGTTTAGGTATGATAGACACATATGCTCCATGAAATCAGGAAATAGATTGATGAGTTTGATGTTACATGTTATTACCATATCAAAAAGCACCAGCAGCTTCATAGTTGATGCCTTCAGTTGGAATGATTGGAAGCTCCACTGAGTGTAAGAATGTTTAGTTTACATGACTATTGAGGAATTGGAATATTTAGCATTCGTCAGCTTTTAGAGTTCACTTCAAAACCTAATGTTCTGCTAGCTTTTTGTTGTTTTTATTATTGCTATAAGATAGCAATATGTTCATTAATGTTAGCCACTACTTATTTTTATTAGAATTACCAGTTGACAGGTTAAGCTACTTTATAATAATCAGAGTTAAAAAAATTAAAATAAACTCTGATGATTACTGGGATAGTCACAATTTTTAATGTAGTTAGCAACAAAAATTTTTTTTGGGAATAAAATGCATTTATGCTGCTCAAGTGTTCCTTTCACAAGTGAAAAAGTTTTCAGAAAAGCACGTGTAACTGACATACTTCATGAAACTTTCTAAAATTTATCTCATCATATATACACTTAGAATTCTCTATATAACTTTAATGACAGACGAAAAATGGTGTTTAAAAAAAAAAAAAAACAATTGGACCAACTATTGAGTATCTGAATAAGACTTCTAGACTTTGAATTCTTATGACAGCTTTTGGAAAAGCTTTTAGGCAAGTTGACATTATTAAGAATAAATTGAACTCAGTGAATTTAAGATGGAAAAAAATTAATTTTATTTCACTATATTTTCTTTTTTAAAAATTATTTCCCTTATAAATTATTTCATATTTCATTTCATGTGGTTTAATAGTCAATGAAAAATGACCCTTCAGTTCCACTAAGTCTATTAATTGAACTTGCAAGCACCTGCTTTTTATTTTGCCTTTATATATATGTCTTCTTATTTATTTATCTAGCTTGAATTAAATAAATAAATATTTGAATAATATTATTGAGAAGTCAATGAGACTAATTTCTTATCATTTTATTTTCATCGATTCTCAAGTAACAGCTGGTTCAAAAATAAATGCGAATATCTTCCATGAAAAACTTGATCGAACGATCCAATTATAAATTCTAAAGGCTGGATGTGGATATTGAATTGGACGCTTAAGGTTCCAGTAGCACATCATAATTTAATTTCTACGTTGTATGCGGTTGCATGAAGTAAGGATTTATATTTAAACCTTCATCCAACCCCTTAATTTATCGATAAACCTCCAATGTTAAAATGGATTCAACATTTAAATTTGGAAATGACAATAAATTAAAATGACTCAATATCACTCCTGGCAAAGTATATTTCAATTAATTTATTAATTAATTACAACAATAACAGATAATTAAAATTCATTTATAATCCACAGAATAAATTTGTGTTATAAAATAAAACATACAAACTTCTGATCAAAATCAAGTTATTCCATTCACCAGAGTTTTTTATCAATCAGAAAAAAAAAGAATAAAAAATTGGTAAAGTTAAATCTTTTAAAGTATCTTTGAAATTCTTTTCTACCTCATAAAGAATGACTATTTGATTATAAATGAAATTATAAGTTAAATCTTGAGATAATTGGATGAATTAATAACCAATTATCTGATATTCATTAAATTTTCGACAAACATAATTATCCTCTTTTTATTCTCATTATCAAAGCAATGAATCTTTCATTTTCTTTTCATTCTGACTTCTCTTTCAACTAATTTACACAACCACGTAATATCGGAAAACCATCAGATACTTTCCAACCTACTCACCATACTCTATGTATATTTTTTGGACTCTTATATAAATCAAGTCTACTCTAGTATTAACCACTAAGTAATTTGGCTAGAATCTACATATGTTACTTTGCATTTTATTTAATTTAGTATTTGTTTAAAAATGGAATCTAGAATGAAGGAAAGTGGAAAAATACTTTCAAGTTAGACTTGTAAGGAGAAAATTACTGCATTGGTGCTGGCAGTAGAGTCCGTGTTTTTAGATCAGACATGTTTTCTGAACGTTTACAAAGTGAGCTTGAGTATTTTTTTTATCCCAAGTAAGATGCTGTAGGTAGTAGATATTTTCATTTGAAAAATTTACAATGCTTTGAAATTTAGTGATAGAAGTTTTAAAAAATATCTACTTTTTTTAAATATATTTTTTCCAGACTTATTGCAATGTCGTAGATGAATTTTACATGAAATCAATCAATCTGATATTATTAATTGACTAAAGCTTATTTGCAAATTTTTTAAAGAGTGTGGCTTCATCATCTCAACAATCTTTTAAGATATTACATATCTACACACATGTACATATAGATACTGTAAAATGTATGAATGTCTCTTTTTTTTTTAAGATTGTATAGAGTCACGTTATTAGTTAATTTAGATTATTTTCGCCTGTTTTGGAGATTTTTACCTGCCGCAGGATTTTTCCTTCCAGAAAAATTGGTTTTATTTATTTTTAAGCAGGCAGAGTTGGGAAGCGGCAATATTGGAATCTAGGCTGAATGATTATTTAATTGATTTTCATAATTTTGAATTAGAAGTTTAATTTTAGATTTTGCATGTAAATTTATTTCAGCTTAATCCAATATTTGCCAATTGTCAGGAGGCAATTTTTAGAAGATCGGGAGAAGTGTAAAATGTATGAATATCTCCATTTATGGACTGATTGACTAACGACAGTTTGTTAGTTAACGACGATTACTTGACAATTAGATTGTTTATAGCAACGAGGGGAGAGTTTGTTTATCTCCAGTTTAGAACTGAGACTAACTAACTTTTGACGTCTTGTCTTTGATTCTGTATTTGAATCTGTCACTTTTGATAAATTAACTTTTAATATTAGTTTTTTTCATTCTATCATTTTACAATACATATATGCATTGGAAAAACTATCGCTGTATTGTTGGTTCTCGTTTTTTATTTCTTTTCACATAATGATTGCTATTTCTAAATATTCTATTTACTTATAGATCTTCTATCTACTTATACTTAATGTATCAATGCAATATTTACTAATCATGTTGTAATAAACCTTTTGAAGGTTTCAAAAAATTGACTAAAATGTTTTTCTTATTCTTTTAGTTTAGTATTGATACTTTTTATTTAAAGTCTAATATTATATTTTATTATATTCTTATTTTATTTGTTTTACTAAACAATACAAATCATTTATTTTTACTATAATTATTCGACAGAATCCAAGGCAATGTTCCAAGTGAATGCACTCAGAATTCTCTGGAGCTTATAGTTATCGTGAAAACAATGAAGCCAAATGTATGTAGTTCAAAGCAACGATGCAGGGAAAGTCATTTGGATGAACAACAGAAATGTTGTCTTCAAAGGTAAGTAAACTGTTGACATTTCAACTTGAAATTATTTTTATTTTTCCAACTAATGGATTTTTATTTTTATTCTTATTCTATACTAGTCTTCATTTGTTAAAATTCTATTTATTTACCAGCTTTCATTTTGAAGCACAGAAATTTTTTTTTTTAATTCACTTATTTGTTTGCTTTTTTTCAATTACAATATCTGAATTATCCGATAGTTTCGACAATCGATTAGACATAAATTGAATCTAAAATAGGCTGTGTATATCTCCTAAAGCTTGAAACATTTCTCGTGGGATTATATCTTGATGCTACAGCAACTATTTGTAATCCAGTGAGCTTGCATTTCATGTGCTTAAATACATTCACACATGTACTAGAAATGTTTATGTACTTGTCACTTTGCTGTTTTTACAAATTTTGCAAAGCTTTTCATTCTCTTCGATGCTACTCTTGCATTCAAACAATTATTTTTACTTTGCATTAATTTTTAATACATCTTAAAAAAGAAAAAGTAATTTAAGTAGACAAAAAATGAGTTAAAAATTCATTTTATAATGAAAATATAGATATTATTCTTCATCATTATGCTAAAACATTTCATCTCGTCTTTTAATAAAAAAAGAAATCAACAAAATAATCCGTGAAAGTATTTTGACTTTTACTCTTTCCACATCATTTGCTGCTTTTTCATTAGGAAAAAACCTTTTTAATACCTGAAATTTTTTTTTCAATTTAAAGTAAGTATGAAAGCTCTATTTTATCAATTTTGTAATATTTCCATCATTACATTTATCATGATTTTCAATTAATTTTTAATTAATTCAATAAAAAAATGAGTCTGAGCTTAGTTTGTGACCTGACGACAAACTTCCCATTCATTGAAATCCGTAATTTTGTCATCTTTTAGTTTTTTTGTTTATAAAAAATTACTATTGTTATAAACAATATACAATTGTTTAATCACATCAAGTTACTTATAACAATATTTTATTGATATTCATCGAATATAATCATAGTAATGATCATTCAATAAATCCAAACCATTTTTAATTGTTTATAACAAATTCAATTTGTTATAAACAATACATAATTCTTTAGAGTCATATGGAGTTATTAACAACTATATTATATTGACCTCAGTCGTCAATAATGTTAATCATCTAATAAGTAGAATCTATTTCAAATGTCTTCTTTACTCAACTTATTTTACACTCTTTTTGTTATAAAAAAAAAACGGCTGGACCAAATTTGTTCAAACTCCATTCAGATCTTCTTCATTGTATTATCTTTAAAATGAAATTAGTCCGGAGTCGATATCTTCAGTGGTTCTCGAGATATCGAAAACAAAAAAAAACCTGTCATACGTACGTACAATTATACGTACGGACAATTGTACGTACGTACATAAATATACTTGTAAACCTTCTAATATGCTTTCAAATGTCTCAAAACGTAAAAATATGATAAAAAGACGAATTTTAATAATGAACCCCATTACAATAATTTCTTAATGAGAAGTTAATTAGTTGATTTGTAAAGATTTATCAAGTAGATAAGTAAATAATTAAATCGACAATAAAATTAAAATAGCAAATGAGTTTTTTCTTCGTAAATTGTGGAATTTTAAAAAAAAAAAAAGCATTGTCTACTTTTGTGATCGAGAAGATAAAAGGGTGGTATGTCCAAGAATTTCAACAGCGTTATCGGCTTTCAAGTTACTTGTCATTCGACCAAGAAAATAGAGGAACGTGTGTAAGACGAAGAGAATTGATTTTGCTTAGGGGGTTCGCATTTTTCACTTGATCTCCTGACTTTTATTATCATTGTTGGCATTCAAATATTTATCATTTTAATATTTTTTTTTTTTTTCAAAAACTCTTTACAAGGAAAAAGAATCTATAGTCAAATTTTTTATTAGATTTATCACATCGAAGAAATTTATTATTCAAATATTTTATAATGCTGTTTTTTCTATGCTAATAAATATAAAAACTAAATCATATTATAATTAAGTTCGTATTTCTTCTTAGTACTGCACTTGATAGTTACTACTCTAAAGAAATAAAAATATTATCCTTTATTCATGTACATCCAGGAAATTTATGAAATAACAATTTAATCGAATTTCCAATATTGAAATAAGCAGTAATAAAATGATATAAAACGTAATAAATTGCAGTTTATAAAATGAAATAAAAACAGTAAATTATTTCAAATGAAATATTATTAAATATCAGGAAATTATAAATAATAATATTATTTATATAAACAAATTTCTAAGATTAGTTTAAAATTATAATTTAATTTATTATAAATAGTTTAAATGAACTTTATTTTTTAAGCTTATTATTGAAAAGTTTTAAGAATGTTGTTATATATTTTTTTTAAAGCCTTCCTATAGTATTTTTTTTTTTTTTTGTAATTTAATGACGCAAAAGGAGTACCCTGATACCCGTTAAAGCATTATATCTATCAAGTATGAAAAAAAAATAAAAAAATAAATATAGAAATCATTTGAACGAATGAAAACTCTTTTAAAATAAATTTTCAATTAGGATTTGTTTGTGACTTGAGTCTTTTTCAGTTGAATCGTTATGGTATTAGAGACCTTTCTAAAGTCTTTTGTCCACTTCTCAAGTTCTCCAAGGTAATCTTATTAATCATCCTTCTTTTTGATCTATAAAATAATTTTAGAAAAATGAAAAAATGTTATATTTTGTGATTAATGATAGATAAGACGAAAAAAAAATTTTTATAAAATAATAAATTTATATTTATTATAGATTAATGTAAAAGTTATTTGGAATTATATGACTTTAACGTGAAAAAATGTGAGAATAGTTAATAATAAAATGTAAAACTAATTTACCAGAAAACAATGAGAATTTTATTTAATTTGTTTACAAGTGATATAAATATGAACGACAAAGTCATGAACAAAGTATTGATTTTTAATAAAATTTGAGGGCAATACACTCGACATTGGTCGTTTAAATTCACATCACTTTCTCAACGATGAACCTTTTGTCTTTTTTAATCTGCTTATTTTCTTGTGCCCTTCTTTTACTAGTCTGATCATCATCTTAAATCAGATGAGGTGGATATTTAAGTTATTTTTTACTATCTTGAATTCAATTTTCTGACAGACAATGAAAAAAGAAAAAAAAAAGGTTTCACCATGAATTTTTCAATGTCCATCTACAGAAACTGGACAAAATATAGAGGATGAAAACTCCATCAGAGATATTTTTAAATTATATCCCATCATCAATGACACAAAAAAATTTATTGATCCTGAATGATTTTTTTTTTGTTAATTTTAATCTGATCCTCGGAGATAGAATTTTACATTTTAAATTTATTTTAAAAGTTGTCATTTAAGTTTCTTTTCCATCATCAATCTTCATTCCAACTTCATCAAAATTTTCCTATAAATTTTTTTCATAAAAAATCTAAAGCTTAAAAGATTATTTCTGATGGTATTAAAAATTTTTCTACAATCATTTTTTACTCCATCATCATTTTCAAATAAATTCTCTTCTCTTGTCTTAAAACCTGACGCTAACAATTCATCAACATCTTAACACAATCAGACACTAGTATTTTTTTATTAAATTTCAATAGTTTATATTAAAATATAATTTTTCCTAAAACGAAAGGAAAATCAGTAAAGAAAAGTTTTGAACTTGCAACAGTGTTGAAGTTTTTTATGAGTACTGGAAAAGAATATTAAGACGAGCTTGAACTTGTTGAGAATTCACATTCGCAGTGGTAGTGAAAAAACCATTTTTATCAACGATATATCGGTTTTATAGCACAAAGTGTATAGACCGAGGACTTATAAGGACAATTTACGAGACAAAGCTATTTGCTCTTTCACGACTGCAAGTGCACTTGTAGTAACAGCACAGGCACGTTTCAAGTATCATTGCAACAGTTAAACCATTAACACTTACGCCATAACTTGTATTAACTGTGACATTCCGTTATCATCGTATTGTTATGAATACTTTTTTTTCCGATGTTTATTTACTTGTGCCAACAATAAATATTTTTATTTTTATCCTCCAACCCACAAGTATTAACTCGTCATTCTCTATGGAATATTTTTGCAAGGGCAAGGAATTATCTATTTTTCTTTACCATCTAAATATGCGGTTTTAATTCAAATAATGAATTTTATATTAGTGTTTTGATAAAAAAATATACATGCAATTTTATTTATTTATTAACTTCCCATTAGGAAGTTATTGTAATAGGGTTCATTATTAAAATTCGTCTTTTTATCATATTTTTATGTTTTGAGACATTTGAAAGCATATTAGAAGGTTTAAAAATATATTTATGTCCGTTAAAAATGATATCGCCCATCTGATTAACACTGTAGTCACTTTTTTTACACTTAGAAATGCATTAAAAGTGACTAAAATATTAATCAAATAGGTGACGTTATATTCAACACGTTTAGATGTTGACAAGAATGCAATTTGATTTGCAGTGAAAGCGATGTTTATTATCAATAAAAATCAAATTATTCAGGAGAACACTTTTTGGTAACTAGTAAAAGAGTGGAATTGATTTATTTGATTGTTTCAAAAAAGATTGATGAAACTCTTATTGATTCTTTGTGGTAAATCTAATGTTTGCTGATTAACCAGACTAGATTTGTTTACTGATCAATGAAACTGAGTCCATATCAACACCGCTAATAACAGAACGGCATATTTACTTGATGGATTTTAACTTTTAATGTAAACTTTGACGTAGAATCTGAAATATTACGTTCGCTTTGAGCTCAAAATATTCCAATATTCCTCCTTTTCAACTTTATTCAAGTAAGGCAGTATTAAAAAAAAATTATCTCATATTTTTCTTTTATTTTAAATGACGATGAATATTTATTTCTTATCAAAATCACAAATATATTCAACTAGAAGGAATTATCAAGTATTTTTAATCCCACTATTTTCCTATGAAATTCGAACAAAAAAATGACGGGATTATTTGGC